AGGTCCAGATTGGACAACTGCAGTGCATTGTATGTGGGACTGCCTCTAAAATTGCCAGGAAACTGCAGTTTCACCCCAAATTCAGCTGTGATTAACTGGGACTGATCAACAGGAATATATTATGCTAGTTCTTCAGCAGCTATGTTGGCTGCTGTGCCATTTCTGAGAAAATTTTGAACTGCTGGTGCTCGCCTTCAAAGCCCTGCATAGTTTGAGACTCAGGTATTGTTTATTTATTTATTAAATTTCTTTACTGCCCCTCATCTGAGGATCACAGGGTGGTTTACAGCATCCTTCAGGTATCTGCTCCTACCTGACAGGACCCATTGCAGCCACAGGAGGGCTCAACAAGGCCCACTGTGGGCTTGAGAAGGCCTCCTTGGGGGGCCTCAGCCCCCCCCCATGGCATCCCTTTAGAAGATTATCCTTGCCAAGGCAAACTGCATGAGAGGCAAGAGTGGCTAAGAGTCCACTGCAACAGCTGAAAGCTTGTTCACATCTCCTAGCACTGCAGAGTCTCAAGTGATCAGCAACAGACACTAAATTCCTACCTAGAATTTTAGAATTCCTAATCCCCTAATACAGACCTGGAAGTCGATGGAAAGGTGGTCAGGAGCTATTCAGGCTTTTTCAGAACTCAGAAAAGCACATACAGTCCAGGCATACTTTATCTCACCTGGCAAAGGTGCAGCTTGGATACATAGAGTGAGAGGAGACAAACCTGACTAACAGAATATGTTGAGGAAACCCACCCTTTGTCGAGGGGGAAAGGTTCTTTGAAGTAGAAAGGTGTCACAACCCTATCTTGGTGAAAGATCAATCTTTTGAAATTCCAGTTCTAACAATGAATTAAGTTAATTTGCTGCTTAACCCGGAGGGGGGTCAGGGAGGGATGGGCTGGTTGAGCATTATTCACACCATCAGCAAATATTGCCATGGATACTGAGTCAGATGCCTGGAAGGAAAGCTTCTACTTGGTTATAAGCAAAAGCATAGAATAGGCGATACTAATTTCAGTTGATGTTGAGGAAAGATAGTGTACAGTGCATTTACTATGGCAGGTTCAGAATGCTTATCCTTGCCTTATTAATCCAAGGAGAAATCCACATAGACAGAGCAGGTTTGGGGTTTTTTAAATATGTGCAGTGGTTTTGGCAAAGGGGCCCCATTCCAACAATTACTAGCTATCATGTCTAGCCAGAATTTACACTGACATGTGCTGACGGATTTTGTAGCAGAAGGCAAATTCATATGGTTTGGGCACCAGGTACCTTAAGGATGACTTTCTCCCAAATGAACCTGCCTGCCAGGTGAGGTCATTATTAGCTGAGGGCAGCCTTGCTTTGGGGCATGTTACCGGACCCAAAGGACTGGCTGGTAGTGGTGGTGGAGGCGGAAGCTGCAAGTTGGTGGGGCTGCTCAGGGCAGCATTGACAGCAGCAGCAGCAGCCCAGTCCCAGGCAGAAGGCCCTCTTAGAGCAGTGGTGGCAGCTGTCAGCATCAGAAGCCACTGCAGGTCATTAAGGGTGTATGGGACACGTGGAGAGGTGTGATGGGTGGTGGATGGATGGATGGATGGGAGGTCAATGTTCTCTAGAATGTCTTCTAATGCTTAACACTATGCACAGCTTAATATATCTGCAGGAAATTACAGTGGCGTAGCGTGGGTTGTCAGCACCCGGGGCAAGGCAAGTAATTTGCGCCCCCTAACCCATGGATTTGCGCCCCCTAACCCGTGGATTTGCGCCCCCTAACCCTAACCCCCAGATGTTGCGCCCGGTGCGGCCGGCCCCCCCTGCACCCCCCACGCTACGCCACTGGGAAATTACCTATGTGCACACCCCTAAATTGAACATCCTACCCCCACCCGGAAGGGACGCGGGTGGCGCTGTGGGTAAAACCTCAGTGCCTAGGGCTTGCCGATCGCATGGTCGGCGGTTCGAATCCCCCCGGCGGGGTGAGCTCCCGTCTTTCGGTCCCAGCTCCTGCCCACCTAGCAGTTCGAAAGCACCCCTAAGTGCAAGTAGATAAATAGGTACTGCTTTATAGCGGGAAGGTAAACGGCGTTTCCGTGTGCTGCGCTGGTGCTGGCTCGCCAGAGCAGCTTCATCACGCTGGCCACGTGACCCGGAAGTGTCTCCGGACAGCGCTGGCCCCCGGCCTCTTAAGTGAGATGGGCGCACAACCCTAGAGTCGGACACGACTGGCCCGTACGGGCAGGGGTACCTTTACCTTTACCTTTACCCCCACCCGGAGATCCACTAGCCAGATACAGCAGTGTCGCTCCATATTTAATACTTTGGGGAGCTAGTAAGATCAAATTGTTGATAATATTGTAACGCAGGAAATGTATACAGTTCACCACTCTCCTCTGCGATGGACCACCCATCCCTGGAGATGGATAGATCCACACGGTTTCCATAACTCATTAGTGGGTTTTGTAGAAGATCAAGGCAACAGCTTTGTCGCTGCTCTAGTGGTGGTTTGGAACAGGAGGAGGACTAGGGTAATTGAGGGGATCATTTGATGGTGCCCTCTTCTCCCACCTCACAGGACTGTTCCAAAATGTCTCCCCCCAGTTTGCCCCGAGGCAGGGAAAGCTGTGTTGGTTGACCTGGCTTATGAAGTATGGTGAGTTTGGGAAGAGCAATGTACTTAGCCAGCCCCGTCAGCCAGTAAGAGCATGAGCTCTGCTGGCAGGGACATGACTAAGCAGGAGCTGCCCCCGAAATGCTCCACAAAGCGCATAATTATAATGTTTGGAGTCTGGGAATTAGTTTTGACCCAGCCCTGGGTTTTTTGTTTTGTTAACGTTTGGAGTCTGGGAATTAGTTTTGACCCAGCCCTGCCCCTTCCTGAACACAGAGGACCTTACAATGCCAGTGCATGCTTTCATAACCTCCAGGCTTGATTATTATAATGCACTCTACAGCCGGCTGTCCTTGAAGCTTCCCTTCGTGCAAATGCTGCTGCACACCTTATGGATGAGAGCCATCACAAACACATTCAGCTGGTTGTGTTCCAACAGCACTTACTGCATACAAATCGGATTTGATTCAAGGTGCTGATGCTCACCTATCTCTGGGTGATGGCTCTAGATTGTTCCCCTGTCAATCCCTCCTTCCCCAGGCCCTGTTTTGAATGGCAGCTTTACTCAGTGAGATGCAGGCTTTGGGGCTGTGTACATAGTCCTGTTTACTCTGCACCCAGTGCACTCCCACCACAGGTGAGTCGCAATCCTGCAATGTAGTTTCTTAAGAAATACTGTGTTTTGATGCCAATTTCCTCCAGCCAGTTTTGATCTGATTTGAAAACGTAAGCCATAGGAAGACATCCATGCCCCCTCTCTGGTATGGACAGACTGTGGGCAACTCAGAAGCACATCCAGCCGTATTGGCGTGTACAGCAATGTGCAAATGTGATTTGAGACGCAGAGCAGGGTGGGGTGAATGACTTTCCTGCATTTTAAGCTGGTAAGGAGTACACTGCCTTTGAGGCAACCTCCCCAGGCTGTGGGGTGAAGGGCCCACAGAGCTTCACAATTTCCCATCACTACAGGCCTTCCAGATGAGGTGCAAAACACATCGCTTCTTTGGGGCATTCAGGTCAGCTGGATAGTTTGCCTTTTCAGCGCTGTTTTTAAATTATTATTTTTTTGGTATCTGTTTCATCCATTTTGCCTTTTTCATGCTGCCTGAAAAGGGCAAACAAATTATTTGAATTATACATAACAAACTGGAATATCAAGTGCCTGTATTTTCTGCAAGGCAGCCCTCAGTACAGTATCAATAAGGAGGGGCAAAGTTTTGCATCTGGTGTGGTGGAGAGTGGCTGTGAAATACTAGCGCCATTTTCTTTTTCCAGTTCTGCACCATTTCCTGGTTTGCTTTGGGCTAGGGAGACCATATGCGCTACTTTGCAGGTAACAGCCGCCAATTTGAAAGGCTGTCAGAGAAAAAGACCCCTGTTTGTAGGGCTGTCTGCTCCAGGTCTGGTTTGAAGTGGAAGAAGCCTGGGCGGGGCTCAAAGGTTCCCTTCCACAGTTAGCACCTCTCCAGAGGACTGAGAAGGGGCAAAGGCCACTTTGCCATAGCCTTCCCACTATAGTGACATGTATGCATTGAAATTACTGTATTCAGAATCTTAATTAATTATAATAAATTATACCTATACATACACATTTGCACCTCCAAATCCCTGTACTTTTTCACTATCTGTAAGTGGCCTCTTTATTTTAGGTGCCAGTAAATGAGACACTCTTAGATTACACAGAGAAAAGTTTATCACTTGAGGGAAAATGCCTGGGAGAAGAACCAAGAATGCGTTAAAAGGAAAGGCTCTTGTGGGAAATGCCTTCATGCACCGAGGGCCCCCATTTTGGGAGAGGCCATTCAGAAATGTAATTGCTTCAGTGCACTTCCTATATCACCTGTAGGTCTTGTGTATATCATTCTGTGGCATGCAGGCCACAGAAGGAGCAGAGCATAGAGGGGAGCCCTGAGTTCTCGCCGCTTCCCCTATCACATGTGCAGTATTTAAAGTGAGCCGTGCACTCGGGAGCTGCTCACGACACAGGAAGAATTCCGATGGTGCTGGCCACCTAATTTCTCCATGCATCTCCCAGGCCCCCCACGCCACAGAGCCCAGGCCCCATCCCCATGGGATCCTGCGGCCACTTAGGCTTTCTTCATTACTCCATTGTCAGTTCTGCTCTCTGCAAACCTTCGTTCCTTTTCAATTCCTTCACACCCAGCCCTGCCTGCCTGCCTGCCTGCCTGCGGTCCCTGGCACTTCTGTCAGACAGCTGGGGGATATGAATGGAAATAGTTAAAAACCGCACTTCTCCACCCAGAAGTGGGTGTTGCCTGTGTGAAAAAACAGTATAAGAACAGTAGGAAGTTTCAGCTGGTGAGAAAAACCTTGAAGCAGCACTGCTGGGGCATTTACATCTGGCAGGAATTGCCTTTTCCTTGGGACTGTAAATATACTGCCTGTGCAGGATGTCTGAGAAGAAGAGGAAGGGCAGAGGAAGGGGCAGAAAGAACAAAGAAGGGGGGACAGAGGAAAAAGAAGCAGGCCCCACAGAAGGTACTTTCCATTTTTAGCACATTTTACTGCATCTGAACAAGAGAGCTTCTGAGCTAATGCAAATGTACCAAGATACGGTTTCTGTCTCCTTCAGAAATACATTCCTGAACTATTTAAAAATAGCAACAAAAAACTAATCTCAGCAGGAATCAAGGCAGGGTGGTTTCTGGAAATATCCATGGTCACGACTCATAAAGTGCTGATGTGCTGATTAGAACGTTTCATGCAAATAGGCTTTTTCTTGTGTAACATCCAGAAATTCCCTGGTGTAGCAGCCAAAGAAAAAGAGAGTGTTTTTGAGAGACAGAAGCAGTAACAGACCAAACATGACCCAAGTAACTACTGTTGTCAATGCAATTGTTTTCACAAATGATGTGCTTACTATAGTTCTAAATGCTTTGGTGTAATCATTATAACTCCAGATTGTTCTGATCTGGTAATTTACTGGTGTTGGCTATCAGCTGCTGACTGTCAATTAGTGGGCTAAAACGGCCAGAGGCTTGTGCGTTCACTGAACGTTTTCAGTGAAGCAGAGAGAACAGTTGTGCAGTTTTAATGCTTCCTTTTTTGCCACAAAAAAACAGAGCAACAGGTTGTATGGTTCAACAATGCCAGTTTATTTAGAAGGAAAATTTAAATTAGTAAAGATGCAGCAACAAGCCTCTCTCCATCTCTCGCCGCACACTTGAGTGATGATTTCTTGAAGCAATGAAGCATCTGTCTGCTAATCGATCAATCTAATCATCTGTCTACACACACAGAAAACAACAATATTATATTGGAATGGTGAAATAGTTTATTAATCTCCATTGTTGCTATATTTTTAACTTTCCATTCTTACAAATAGTTGCATTTGCAAGCACACATGGTCCTCCCTATTGTATCACAACATTTCTGTGGTAGGCTTGGCTGAGAAAGAGTAACTGTCCCGGGATTACTGAGTAGGCTTCATGACTGAGCTGGGGCTATGAAGCACTCATGCTCCTTGGGGGTCTCAAATTTCAACAGCACCTTGTGCGATGAGCCCCCTTTTTTCTAGAAGTAAAGTACTGGTTGTGGCACCCCCTGTGTCCCCCACCCCAGGCTCCAGGCTCAGTGTGACTAAACTGGTTGAGCTCCCCAAATCCGCCTCTGTATGAAGTTGGATCTTCCTCGTTTTGAGTTCAGGATTGTATCTGCCACACCACACTGCCTCTATATTTTATATTTCTAAGCTCTCATCAGGTCATGTCTTAGTGAGCCCCTGTATGAGCCCTTTTGCTGTAACTCCCAGTGCATAGATGCCTTTAGACGGTTGCTCACATCCACATTCCTGCTCTTGTTTCACTGAGGCTGGAGACATGTAAGGGCAGTAATAGTAGCCAAATGGCATGTGCTATAGGAGAATAATAGACACACCATAGCAGCTGTGAGTGTGAAATATGTGAAACCTCCCTCCAGTTCTCAAGCCTCCCACCCCCACATGGTGTTCATAAAACATCAAACTTCCAGAGCACTAGATTTTGCGTCATGCACTTCAGAATTCTGGGAGTGAGAATATTATGAATAATCTAAATGCCCTTTAGCAAAGGGAGGTGGTTTTTATTTTTAAAAAAGAGGATCAGCAGCTGTGCTAATGCTTAAAGTGGAGGCAGAGAGCAGACATTTATCAGCTGCAGAGGTGACTGGATTAGATGAAGGGCAGGTTGGCATTCTTTGTCTCCAAAGGAGCTGTGCCTTCCTTGTTCTCTGCAGGCATGAAGTGCGGGATTAGAAGGAACAGACAACGAAACATCTAACTCTGAGTAAACTAGATATTTTAAAGGTGGGGAGCGCCTTCTTCTTCTTCTTCTTTTAAGGAGAACAACCTTGTTTTGCTTTTTTAGAATTCTCAGTCCCCTGGAGTGTGCTGTTGTTTGATGAAGGTCCCTTTGCATGTGGATCATTTGGTAAAAAACAGATTATCTGCATTTATTTCTCTCTCCCCAGCATGAAAATATTTCTTTTCCTTGCCAAAGAGTGAACACCTGGAGGAGAGGAGTTTGAAGGATGCATATACAGGAGTGCAATAGGCACAAAACGCCAAGCACCCCTGATCAGATATTCACAGAATATTGCCACGTCTAGCCCCCAACTAAAGCCACTCCAACCATGATCAATGATCTATAGTCCACTATGGACACTGAAACTCCCCCCTCACAGGCCTTGCTTGCAGGCAGCCCCCTAAAGAAAGCTGCTGATTAGCTGGTCACATGCCAGGCCATGTCGCCTGCATCTCTGCTTAGGCCATGCCGACCTACTCATGTCAGTCACAACATCCAGCTCATAAATAGGACTGTTTTTTCATTTACTTTCAACTTCACCATTTTATGATTTTATGATTCTATGAACATTCAAAGAGGCCACAAGGCGCTTCTTCTGAGAGCCGCATGCCAGTGGAGGGTAGCGCTTGTGGGGAAAGTGGGTGGGGCCAGTTGGAAAAGTGGGTGGAGCAATTGCATTTGACACACATTTCTCTATTCCCATTGATCCCCTGCTGGTGAGGCTCGCTGACCTCCCGGAAAAGCAAAAAAATGACCTTTTCCTGTTAGGCAAAGATCATAAGACGACCTGGATGATTGCCAGATTCTATGTACAGATCTGTAGGCACAGACCACCCTGCAACCCAAACTAGTTCATTAAGAAAATCCCCAAACTGGGTGACTCTGGGTCATCTCTCTGTGGTAGCTTATCTTAAAGTTTTAAGTGACTATATGCTTATCGCATTTATAAATTTTAAATTTATTGTTGTACATTGTTTTAAATGTTTGCTTTCCTTCTGGGATTGTACCCCCAAGTGTGTTTTATAAGCTGGTCTCCGACTGTAATAAATTTATCTATCTATCTAGCCTATATCTGGGCATTTTAAGCTTGTGCCAATCAAGGGCACATTCCAGCCAGGCAAAAGCACTCCAGCAGGATGTGAAACAGGGCCAGTGGCCTGGCGAGAAGGTGTGGGGGTGCTGAGCAGAGCCCTGAGGATCGGGTAGAATCACTGCAGCAATTTTACATTTATTTAAGTTTAAAAATAATGGTCACTACCCTTATTTTTTCACTTCATTTGCTTCTAATCTCAGTGATTAAACACACACCCAAACACCAACCATATGTATGTATCTATGTATATGTATGTTATCTATCTATCTGGTAACTTAGGATAGCACTTCTGATGAAATATACTCCAGGCCCAGACCCTCCCAAGTCTCCCTATTTTCCAGGGACATCCTTGATTAAGAGAAGCCATCTCAGTTTCTGATATCGTCCCAGAATGTCCTACTTTTCCTTAGGATATCCCTATTTTCATTGAAGAAATGTTGGAAGGTATAGAGTTATCCAACCTCCGAGCCGTCTGAAGGCTATTCTGTGTAGGGAAGGCCTTTTTTGTTTTTTAAAAAATATTTATTAAAGGTTTCAGAATTACACGAAAAAAAGAAAAAATTAAAAACAACACTACAATACATAAAAAGGAAGAAAGAAAAAAGCAAAACACAAAAACCAATGCAACAATACAGCAAAAAGATACAAAAAGAAAAGAGAAAAAAAAACACAAATCCAATATTACATATCTTTAACTTCCATTTGCTTGTTTCATTGACCTCCTCACACCTCCCTTTTTGTATTCTAATTTAATTAGTTATTTCAGCAAATTCTTTCCATCTTTCTCAATTTTCATTAAATAATTTATCTTAACAATTTAACCTATTAATTAACTCAACAAATCCTTTCCATCTTTTCCCCATGTTCTGTTATTCAAATTGCTTTAGTTTATTTAACCTTATCTTACCGTAACATACTTTAGAGCTTAAAGCTTAATACTCGATTATACATAACTCCTGGTATCATTTCTACTAGAGTCATATAGTTTCATTCCAACATTTCCCCTAATATTCATTAATTTTAGGCCAATTCCCTAGGGAAAAAAAATTTTCTTTATAAATTTTGTTCCAGTCTTCATCCAACGTCTCTTCTTCCTGGTCTCGGGTCGTGCCAGTCCTTACTGTCCTTTCCATCTAGTCCATCAACCTGGTAATCGTATGTCCGAGGCCCTTAAGTCTCTTCCATGTCCCTTCTGCAGATCTTCTTCTTCTTGTTTATACTTGCCCTTTTCCTTGTCTTTTGTTGGTCTCTTTCTTAATTTCTTTCCTTTCTCACTGAGGAGTAGGTCTCTGGGGGATTCCAACCCAAAATTACCTCCATCTCCCTTCATCAAACCCGCCCATTCCCCACAGTCCCACTCCCCACAGTCATCAATGTAATCCATAAAGTATTTAAAAGCATATTTCAAGGTCTCTCCAAAGTTAAGAACCTCCTCAGCTCCAGACTCCCCCTGGCTCCCTCCAACTTCAATCTTCAATGACAGCGGTTTATGCTCCTGTAGGGCCTCGGGTCTCTCCATTTGTGTTATTTGAGGTGCAACCGCATCCTTTTCCATTATCTTCTGCACTTGCCCAGTCAGTACTGGTTCATGAGTTGGTCCCTGAATAGTTTCTGTATCAATATTCCCTGTTTGTCCACAGTTATTAACCACAACAGTCATCAAGTCCATTTTCTCATTCATCAAATCCATCTTCTCATGCATCTGTTCCAACAAGGCACTTGTCTTGCGTAAAGCAAGCACCCAAACTTCCTCCCAGCTCATATTTAGTCAAGGTCAAAAAAGACTGGTCCCACGATCTTAATCTCACAGCTGTTGAGTCCTCAAGTAGACTGCAGCAACAATTTAACAAGCTCCCTCTAGAGGAGACAATTTCTATTTGTATCCATTTTTCTTAAGGCAAGTCCAGCAAAGGAAAATTACTATCATTTTTCAGATATTTTGTTTCTTTAGAATGCAAAAGGCAACATTGGAATCAATTTATTTCTCTTCTTTAGCTATCTGTCAAAGTATTCCATTCACAGTCAATGAACCTCTCCAACTATTTCTGTCTCTGACACCCCGTTCCCAGGTTAGAGACGGTGGAAACTTATCTTTCTTCACTCCCTCTCCTGCAGGGGTTAAACAAAGTCCCCCCTCTTTCTCCTACTTCCAAGGGGGTTTCAGTAGTTATAAATGAAGGAAATTTAGACTTTTTTAACGACTTTCCAGGCTTTAGCTTACAAGGTTTTTGCTTTAGTCTATATACAAAAAGTGGAAGGCGGACTTCCTGTTTTGAACCTTCCCGCTTCGATGCCAAATTAAGATATTTCTTGATCCTATTTTCCGTTTCTACTCACGGGTACTTGTTTTAAATCCAATTGTCCACAGGAAAAAGTCAGCGCTTTCCGGCAATGGCTGTGCGGCTTCACTCCGTGAAAGTAGCAATCAGTTAGCAGCACCGCGCCGCTCACCCCACTTCGCTCCGGCGCCCCAAAATGGGGTTCCCGGTGAGTAGGGGGGGCGCTCCTGGTGCCCTGCCGAACCCCACGTTCCCAGGCTTCCTCCGCCTGGGATTTCTAGCGGGTCCCTGCCTTCGCCAGGGAAGACCCAGTTTTCACGGAGCTAGTTCCTCCGGTTGGAGGAACTCCGCCATTCGCCGATGGCGCTAACCCGGAAGGCCTTTTTTAATGTTTAATGTTTTATTATGTTTTTATATATGCTGGAAGCTGCCCAGAGTGGCATAAATAGTAAAATTATCATTATAGAATGGGACGTCCCTATTTTCACCAGAGAAATGTATGCAGTCCAGGAAAACTTGCCCCATAAATGTGTTCGTCTTTAAGGCACCACAAGGTTCGTTAATTGTTTTTGTTTGCAGAAGATCTCTCTGATCCTTTTCAGGGAGAATATCATTCAGCTCTGGCCTTTGCGTTATGTTGCTAGATTAACCAATGTGGTTTATACAGGTAACATGTTTAGTTCCCATCTTTTATTCTGTCACTTGGAGCAGGGCCTGCTTTCCTTTCTGGCTGACAGGCACTTGTGTTCTCTTCCTTGAGCAAAGCAGGCTTTTGATCTTTTTATGCCTGAAACAAAACTTAAAAATTACATCCTCCTGCTCTGCAGCTTCCTTTTTTTTTTTTTTAAGTGGCGCATACATTGTTTCATCATCATGTTATTTCATGGGAATGCTGGTGTAGCCTAATAACTGCTGGCTTTAATTTGAATGCTAGATGTTTAGTGCCTAGGAGCAAAGGTGTTCCATAGCTATTGACAGACCTTTCCTCCATTGATTCCACCAACCCTTTTTGGTCCGTAAGAAAAATATACTCCCAAATGCCTCTTGCTTTCAAGTTTGCCAGAACTTTTCATGTGCCTCATTTTGGAACATTTTGGTTGCCCCTAATAAAGGTGTTTCCCAACCCTTCCAACGCTACAATTCTATTATTCTAACTGGGGATTCTGGAGTTTTGGTCATTTTAGTACTTCTTTGTATTGTTTTCCAGCTCTATTATACCCTTTTTGAGAGCAAAACTGTACATAGTGTTATGAGTATGGGAGTGGGGAGTAGGCAGAGACCCCTCTGAACCCTGGATCCAACAATAGTTAAAAGCTCACCAAGCCTTCTAATTCTGGGAACTAGCCATACTAGCTTCCTGGTGAGGGGATGAGGGATTAAGGGGCCTGGTGTGAGACGGCAATTGGGTTGTGTCCCCTCCCTCAAGTGCCTCAAGTGAAAAAAGCAGAGTTGAGTTTGGCTAGTGATGTGACCTAGATGTAAAGCAGCAAGTTGGAGAAAGAGAGTCAGAGAAACATCTGAGAGTAATGTTTGCCTTCGGCTTGAATCCAAGGCTGTGGCTGTGGAAGAAAAAAAATTCGGGGGTTTTAATGCTGCGAACCCCTCCATCACAGGCTCAGGTTGTAGATACATGTAAATAAACCATGTAGCATACAGACACCACAGCATCCGCTGTGCCACAGACTCTGAGTAAATGCCTGGAACCCCTGGAATCTCACACCGCTCAGAGATTGGGCAACAATATTTCCCCATGTGATTATATAGTGGCATTGTGACAATGGCTGCATCGTTTTCAAACAACTTCCTAAATCTGAACTATTTTCACTGCCACAGAACACTGAGTTTGTAAGTGAGCTTTCCACGATGACTGCAAGATCTCTTTTCTAAATAGTCACCACCAAACTAGTCCCCAAGCATGTCCACCTCTAAACCTCATCCAGAGTACTCTAGTAAAACAGAACCAAAAGCAAAGAACATTGCCTGGTGTTGTTAGCAATATCTTATTTACCCTCATCCAGACAGATTTTTCATCTTTACTGGTGTGAATTTAACATTTGTAGGAATGTGTATGTTAAATCCACAGCCTGTGGGAATGTAAGAATACTGCCTTGTTTAAACAAGACTGTGGGTGGTGATCTATCTTATGTGGTGTTATGTGGCGTTTCCGTGTGCTCTGGCTTCCATCACGGTGTCCCGTTGTGCCAGAAGCGGTTTAGTCCTGCTGGCCACATGACCCGGAAAGCAGTCTATTGACAAACGCCGGCTTCCTCGCCTGAAGCCAGATGAGCGCCGCACCCCATAGTCAAGTTTGACTGGAGTTCACCGCCCAGGGGTCCTTTACCTATTTACCTTCAAATATTTTCCAGGGAAACCATCATGCTTGGGGAAGTTGAAGGCACTGATGCATTTTTTGTACAAGCAAAAAATGGGTGTCTGCCTGTGCGCACACAGGCAAATTAGAAATGAATAAATCAGTATCTGAAGGGTGCAACTACTAAGGAAATGAGCCAACCGTCTAGAGAGACAAGAGCTGATAATAATCACTCAAATACTTTTGAAGGAAGGAAATAGTGAAATGTGTTAGAAGTGGCATTTCTTAATCTAAGCAAATTGCCTGTACTTAGAGTGCTCTAGCTCCCATATTGTTGAGATCATTGTATTTTTGTTTAAATAGATCTTTTGCATTTTGTGTCATGAAATGGTGAGGTTTATTTTAATGGACAATGCTTGTAAATTACAGTCCTCCCAGATTCTAACAAAACGCCAGACTGGTGGGCCATAATGCTCAATGTGCTTTCAATGCTACCATTTTTGTTTTTTTAAAAAAGCAAGAGAAAATATCTGCAAGAGTGCCTCCTCCCCTCCCTTGCCAGTCAGGATGTTATGATCTGCAGGAAAGGCTCCTGTTATTGTGCCAACTGCCTTGGAGGTGCTGTGAGGTGCCCAGGAGAGAACCTCTGTCGTGCTCCTCCTCAGCGGGAGAACTCCCTTCCTGTGGTGCCACATCTTTACAGCTTCAGGCAGTTACTGAAGACACGCCTCTTTTCCTGGGCCTTGGGCAGTTAAACCATTGCTGCCAGGGCCTCCCTATGGCTTTGTTGATATGAGTTGTATTTTGGAGTGGGGCTTTTGGTTTTATCTATTTGTATCTATTTGTATTGTATTTTCTTTTTCTATGGCTTATGAAGGACAGGTAACAAATATAACTACAGTGGTACCTCGGATTACAGACACTTCAGGTTATATACACTTCAGGTTACAGACTCCGCTAACCCAGAAATATTACCTCGGGTTAAGAACTTTGCTTCAGGATGAGAACAGAAATTGTGCTCTGGCGGCGCGGCGGCAGCAGGAGGCCCCATTAGCTAAAGTGGTGCTTCAGGTTAAGAACAGTTTCCGGTTAAGAACTGACCTCTGGAAGTACTTAACCTGAGGTACCACTGTAATAATACTAATAATAACAACAGCAGCGACAATAATAGCAGTAGTAGTAGTGTGTGTGTGTGTGTGTGTGTGAGAGAGAGAGAGAGAGAGAGAGAGAGAGGGAGAGGCTAAAGGTGCAACTGAAAAGGTTGGGCACAGCTGTTTTAGGATGAGTGGACATTGCTACCTTTGCTCACATCCACCCTTTGCTGTTAAAATTACCATCACCATCATTTTTACTCCACCTTTTTCTCCAGGGAGCTGAAAGTGGTGTACATGGTTCTCCCCATCTCAATTAATCCTAACAACCCTGCGAGGTAGATTAGGCTTACGCTTGCATCTCCTTTTCCTTTCTACCCTTCTCATAATTTAGATTGTAAGTTCCTTGGTGAAAGAACTAGCAACCGGTGTAGATCTTTGAGCCCGGGTTTTATATGCTAGCCAGGCCTCGCTCCGGCCAGCAATCAGGCTGCAGCATTCTGCACTAACTGCAGCTTCCGGATCAAGTGCAAGGGAAGCCTCAGATAGAGCGCCTTGCAGTATCCAGTCTTGAAGGAATGGCCCAACAGTTGAACCATGCCCTTTCCCAGGATACTCTATTTGTCTCCGGGAGACCTTTTTCTAAGTTTTCATTGAGCTGTTTCTCCTCCCCATCTTCCACCCTTTAGAGTGTTGTCTGGCCCTCTTTGGAAAAAGTTTGGACGCCACTGTTTTAGAGTGTAATAATGAAGAGCCCATAGTGGATAAAGTCTGTGGGAGCAGGCCAGGTTTAAAAAGCTGTCCGGGGCTGAAGCTCACTGTAACACCAAGGGAAGGCAGTCTGTGTTTTATCTACTGCATTTCACCAGAGTCTGAAGTACAGTAATCCCAGTCTAGGCTTCATACACAGTTTTGGAGTTTTGTGGACTAGTGCCTGAGGCAGTTGGATTTCTGGCGGGCTTTTCTCATGCCTAATGTGAATTAGAGTTTGTTCTGAATAAAATGGTTTAGGCATCCTTTGTGTAAACAAAAGAACACATCTTACACATACCTTGCTCACCATCTTGAGCAAGACACTCAGCTTAACCTTCCCTGCAAGGTTGTTTAAAAGAATGAATAATATGGATTCATTCTAGTGTGATCCCTGAAAGTGTGAGAAACTACAGGAGACTTGTAAAGGCTCTTGTGGTTGTGTGCCTAATGTCTGGTGGGGCCTTTGTGGGTCAAAGGAGACTAGCGCCTGTTGGAGAACCATTCTAGATGTGGCCTCGGGGCAGTTGCATTTGTTGTGTCCACATGTCTGCTCTGTTCCTGTATAAATCAAGGGGGTAGGGGGGTTTCTAATGAAAACAAACAAAAGGGGCATACAGGTGATGGGGATACCAGGAGAATGGAGCAGAAATGTGAATAAGCAAACATGTCCACATCTATCATGCCTAGATCCATCCTGATTTTCTGGTTGTTGCTCAAATGACTCTTCGCCCCCCCACCCCCATTTGTTTCTTTAATTTCACAGCATTTATTTACATAGAACTTCAGAATGCCCAGATTGCTTCATATTCATTTCCTTGTTGCATCCATTTCAACTGCTGTGGAAAGTAGGTCGGAATTATTATTTCCATAATGCAGATAGAAGAGGCAGGATGAGGCAGAATTGGCTGCCTTAGGACTCACTTCACAGCAGAGGCATGATTCAGACCAGGGACTTCACTTTCTTTCTTAGCTACTGTGCAACTTAGCTCTCTAGAATCTTGAATTTGACTTAAGTGAGACTGGAATGACAATGCCAGATTAGGCTTGAAGATTCCTCAGGGTACTGATGACAGGATTCAGAAGGTTAAAGGAGCTTTAAGATGATCTACACTTTTGTTGATCTTCTGATACCTGCATTATGGATTTCTTTTGCCTGCAGGCGGAATATGAGGAATGTAGCTACATTTTGCTGTGATGCGGAAATGATATTTTACTGTCAAGTTTTTACGATTCTGTACATGTGCCTGGACTAGAGTTTCCCTGACAAGCAAATTTAATCTCTAAAATAAAATTTCAGGTTGCTTCTTAGTAGAAATTCTGCATCAGATACCAATCATGGATTCAGAACAATATGGGGAACCTGCTCAAGATCCAGGAGTAGTCATTTGGGCTAAAAACTATTACATTAAAAGTATGGTAAAAAATAATAACATAGACCAGGCTTCCTCAAACTTGGCACTCCAGATGTTTTTGGCCTACAACTCCCATGATCCCTAGCCAGCTGAACCAGTGGTCAGGGATGATGGGAATTGTAGTCTCAAAACATCTGGAGGGCCGAGTATGAGGAAGCCTGAGCTAGGATGTGTAGTGCCTGTTCCTTCTCTTGTGTTTGGGAGCTTCAGTGACCTTTCTCACTGCTTTCATGTAGGGGCTGGGGAAGGAGCTGGCAGGTGAAGGTGTATATGGCTGGAGCGTACCAAAGGATCAAGACTCTTTTCGGTTCATTGGAGAGATGCTTAAGCATCCCTGTTCAAAATCCACTGGCCATTGTGTAGCAACCTTTTTTATTTTGGGAGAAGCACTGGAAGAATGTGTGAAGTCTTTTATGTCCCCTTGTTATTTTCCCAAGAGGGATAGGGAGCTTTGTCATTGGTAGAGATCTTTCCTTACATAGCTTTCACACAAGTTTCTAGTCCTGGGCATCCATATGCAGGCTGACGGAGTTTGGAAACAAATAGTTACAGAAGATGTTACGGCGCTGGTGAACAGTTGGTTTGGCTTTGCTGCAACCAGATCAGTAGCAGCTAGTGGTAGGGGCATGTTTCAACCTGATCACCTTCAAAAGTTGTTAGATAATTTATTAGATAATTTTTCATATTCTTTGGTTTGTTTTTGACGTTTGTTTTGTTATGTTATTGCTCACGGCTTTGGGCTTCCTTTTGGAAAAGCAGTGAACAAACATGAAATGAAAAGCTCTTAGTTCCTCTTTTTTTACATAATAGGGAAACTAACCTAAAAAGGAAAGCATGGGTTGGGATAAAGCAGATGGATGCTGTTCAGAAGAAATGAGTCAGCCATGGTATGCTTTGCCTCGGGCCCTGAGAAACAAAGGCAGGTCCGGAATAGGAGCATGTTGAGAACGTGGGTGCAACTGTTTGGATAGAAATGAGAAATAGGATCAGTCAGGTTTTTTTAAAAAAGCGTTTCCTAACTGACATAGCAATCTTATACAGTAAGCCTGCAACTTACGCAACTTACGTGTGCACTGAGCTTTATGCATGTGGCAGAGAATAAATAAATCAAAGGGAGTGGGACATCCAGGAATAATGGCTTTGGCAATCCTCCCTGCCATTGAACCCAATGGGTTTTGACTTGACACAATTTTGCCTTTAGGCACGATCCCTGGAATGTAAACCCTGTGTAAGCGGCAGGCTTTGTGTACTACCATCGCAACAGGGCCAGAGGTAAACCCCTGTGACGTCACTGGAACGGTCACCATATCCAAAGTGTGCCAAGTTCAGGAAATGGAAAATAGGAGAGTGGAAAATTCTTGTCTGATGATGTTTTCATATATAATGGTTACTTTAAAGTTGCAATGTTTTGGCTTTTGGAGTGGTAGGGTTCAGAGACAAAGGATATTGGGGGGGGCTGTAGCGGAGGATAAATGTTGGGTGCTTCAAGACTGTTGCCATTTGGGGGTGGGACGCAAATCACATACTGGCAAATTCAGCTTCTGCAATCAAAGTTGATTTGGAGCTCTTGAACAGGCAACCCAATTCTCCACAAAATTTGGCTTTTTAAAATAAGAAAAGTGACACGGAAATGTACTAGAAAGTACTTGATGCAACATCATAAATCATCTATGCAAACAAACAAATTAGAGTGAATATGCAATAAGCAGGTTATCTGGAAGCAACTTTCATTCATTTTAAAGGACTTCTTTCCCTCACTTTCTCCTCTAGCTCCCTCTGCTGATTCTTGTTTACAATACTTTTCCTTCCTTCAGTTTCATGCCATTGCCACGTTTCCAGGCAGCATAGTCAGGTTTTGCTGGGAGTTTTCTCTTAAGGTAAGAACATAAACATAAGAGCATAAGTAGTGCCTGCTGGATCAAGGCAATGGCCCACCTAGTCCAGCATCCTGTTCTCACAGTGGCCAACTAGAGGATTGTGGGAAACCAGCAAGCAGCACATGAGCAAAAGAGCCCTCTCCCTTCCTGGCCTTATATCAGAGCCCCTTGCCCCTTGGTGCCATGGCCATTTCCATGACTAGCAATGCTAGCTGCTGCCCAGCCATCTCCAGATGACCCCTCACATGGCCCGGGGCTCAAAATGGGATTCCAAGATTGTAAGATGATGCTTTGGAATTGCTAGCCTAGCAGGTATACTAAGCAAAAGCAGTTTAGTTTATTCAAAGACCTAATGAGGAGAATGGAAATGTCTGCCAGTAGTCATCAAGTGCTTCCCTTAGGAAATGAAAAAAATGGGTCTCGTGGTTTCCTTGGCATCTGCCAGCAGAGATCAGAGTGAGCCGGTGCTGTTTTCCAAGGCACTTGAGTTAGGAGCTGTGAGAAACTCTGGGCATCTTCACACAAAATGGAATATAAGCTGCCTAAAGCACGAAGCATATTAGACTCCATATTACGTTTTGTATTTTATGGGAATTCAGAGTCCATAATTACCTGCTAATGGGTTCCAGCAGGATTGGGATATGTCTGGGTAAGTTTAATATCTAGCTATTCTCCCCTATGAACTTAGATTGGATGTTTTGGCACATATGTTAATGGGAATGGAAGGAGGTGGCATTCATCCCACACATGATGTACTCACTTCCTTCACTCAGACAAATAGAGAAGGTCGGTATCCATTCCTCCACCATTACCCGACAGTCTTATCTGCAGAAACACTAGTTTCTGGACCCAAATGATACTGATTAAGTTAGACCCAGTGTGAAGGAAACCCTGTTCCAAAAATTTCCAAGTAAAGGTTTATTGGCCCTCTAGCTTAAATCTACACAGCAATCTAGCTCAATATATTATTATTATTATTATTATTATTATTATTATTATTATTATTTCCTTTGTGTTCTAGATGAAAAGGTATAAGCCAAAATGTGAACTCCCCTAAACAGCATGTGTGTGTCTGTGTAAAATCCCACCTTTTTCACTTCACTACAGGTTTACAAGTTTTGTGAAATTTCTCTTGGCACATATGTCTGCTTTAGAAGCTCTGTTCCTAAATCTATTTAATTCATAGGGCAATTATCCTTATTCTCTCTTCCTATATCAGCCAGGACTTTTGCTGGCTGCCCTATGAGCAGAGACTTGCAGGCTGCTAGCACTCTGCTCAGCTGCAGAAAATTCTGTGCTGAATTCTCCTCACTGTCCTTATGTAGCCTCTCTACCAATCTTCCCCGTAAACCAGTGAGTCAGCTCTTTTGGGCAGGCTATGCAGTCATACCTTGGATCCCAAACACCTTGGTACTTGGACGTTTTGGCTCCTGAATGCCACAAACCCGGAAGTGAGTGTTCCGGTTTGCGAACGTCCTTTGAAACCCGAATGTCCGACGGGACCTCCCTATTTATTTATTTTTGACTGGGTACATATGTGTGTTTGCCCCTCTTAATTTTAAAAGTTTTCAATTTATTGTGTAATTAGAAGCATTGTGGTCTTGTGGTTGAAATGCGTGTGATATATGAACAAACTTAGAAGCTTTAGAAAACTTAGTTCTGGTTTATGGTAGTGGATTTGGAGTTGTAGATGCTCAGAACTGTTGTTATGAGGCATAATAATAATTTCTTTTCTATAAGCCTTTTCTGCTAGGCTTTTTGAGTGCCTTCAAGCAAGAAATACCTGGGTTTCCATTTCAATGTGTGTTATAGATTCAAATAAAGGATATATCTCATTGTATCAAATAGCATGTGACTAGTAATTTGTGAGAAATTATAAAGGCTATTTACATAAACCTTCCGCTCAGTTTGATAATAATCGTGTCCTTACTTACTTGGGAGTGAGCACCATTTAGCTGAAGGGGAGTTGCTGCTGATCCAAGAGGCATGGGATCAGGCTGCCTGGGTTGGCTCTGGACATTGAAAAGAGGACGCATGCGTGACTTGTGCTTCCTCTTTCCACAGTTCCACATAATGTCTAAAGTGGTGCCTCGTGCTTCTTCCCCAATAGGCCATCAGGTGAGATTCATTTTTTTCTGTTATTTTATGGCATTGTCTAGGAATGACTTTCAATCCATCTATTACTAATATAGCACAATGCTTTACATTGTGACATTTTAAAGTCTCTTTCCTGCCCTGAGCAGTTTCCAATCTAAATTTCAGCAAGAAGGGAGGCAGCTGAGGGAGGGGTAGCCAGCAGAGGGAAGAGGGAGGCAAGGAGATCAAGAGGCTGCGCCTACAACCATGCACTTACACATATTTAGGCTTTATTTCTTTATTTTGAACATTTATAAACTAGCCATAATTTTAAAAAATGGATTTGAGGGTAGTATACAAAGAATTTTTTTTAAGATGCCAGAGTTCTGGCTTCTAAACCATTTTCAAGGACAGCCTCAAGCATTTTATTATTAGTTCAACCTGGAGGTTACCAGAGCATGAATAATGGAGATCAGCCTATCTCTATTTGGGGGAAAAACTGCAGCTGATCCGACTGCACCTTGATCCAACTCTGGTCTCAATGACATGGGGTTCCGTGGAGTTGGTAAAAGGTACCCCATGTCATTGAGACCACTTGTATCTGAAGTGGCAGAGTTGGATCAAGGAGCATCCCTAAGCTGTGTACCTGCTCCATTCAGAACAGTCAATACACCAACTATCTTACTGTGGAACCACAAACTCACAGTGCATTCATCTCATCAGGACTCAGCTTCAGTTTACTAACCCTTTCTCAATGCATTCCTGACTCCAGACAGCAGCTTATAGCTTAGCACTTTCACAGCAATGCTGATGATAAGAAAAAATAGAGCTGGGTGTTATAGGAGTGTGTATTGGTCTCACATTTTGCTGAGTACTTGTGCATTTTATTTTATTTTTTAAAAATCTTATCTGTTTATGAATTGCTTTGTTCTTTTTCCACCTTGTTCTTTGTTCTGGGTTCTGAGCCGCTCTCTATAAAATGAAGCTCTCTGTTGCTCTTTCACTATAACAGGGAATTTTAAAAACAACTATTACTTTCCACACTTTTGACCAAAGTGGGTTAAATTTACAGGCCCAGAGGTCTATATACCATTTTCATTTTCTGCCAGAATTATTTTCAGAATGACAGGCATTGTGATTCTCCTGCAATGTCAGACTTTACCATTTTGGGGTAGGAACAAACAATAGGAATTGCAGGGGGTGGGGAAAAGAGCAGGGATCCCATGGAAAGACTGGAATTGGGAAAAGGTCACACACATCCATCAATGACCTTGCTACCCCAAAGACTAGGTGGTGGCCTCTTCACTGATTTCGGGATATATTGTGTGAGAGATCTTTAAATATTGACTTGCATAGGGAAGGGATGGTGCAAAAATCCCAAGGAAACAATGGGATGGGGGAAAATGTTACTCTGTTACCCAAGTGTAGTTGGTGGGGTGGACAGGCTTCCGCCCCCCATGTTTTTTATGGAGATACAAGTACCCCTCAGCCAGGACCTTGTTACAGAGTGGGCTTCTGCCCCTCTCCCCACAGATTCTTGGGGATACAAAGAGGAGCTCTCTATTAACACACACAGGACCACATGACAAAAAGACATAGGCTTTAATACTTTCTCCAGATCACTGTGATTGGAGTGCATTGGGAAATAATTCCCTATGATTAAAATCTAGACCTGTCTGTCTCCACTACTTTTGTCTCAGCCTCTGGTCATTCCCCCAATCAGTTTGGTTTTCTTAGGAAAAAGCAACTTCTGTGTGTGTGTGTGTGTGTGTGTGTGAGAGAGAGAGAGAGAGAGAGAGAGAGAGAGAGAGAGGGTGCGTGTGTGAGAGCAGAAGCCATAGAAGTACTTGGAAGCGGAGGAACTTGCCAATATTCACCCCCCCAAGGTTTCCTTCATTTTGTAAGGGGGGACATAGTGGATTTAAAGACCCAACTAAGCTTCATACTTGGTTGGTATGAAAAATGGACTTGCTTACTGCACAAATCCACTGGAGAAAAGTAGTTCTGAAAATCATTCTTCTAAACACATTCTTCAAAGTGTATGTGCAGCTGTCTGCAGGAGTGTTGTCCCAGTCATCACTTTGGATGTGACACAGAAGTGTAGAAGGAGGATGAATCACACATGCATCATTTTTAGCACTTCCAGATAATGTGCAAAGCAGTTTGCAGAAGGGACATTGTAGAATATTCAAACCTTGTTTTTCTTAATTATGTACAAGGTAGAAAATATATAAACACTGGGAGAACATTCCTCTCTCTCTCTCTCTCTGCATGTCCGTGTGCGCATGTGTGTGTGTCCATGGAAGGAGCTGAAGGCAGCTTATTTCCTTTTCTATCCTGGTGTTTTTACACAAGTATCTCCCCTCCCATTGACACTACAATTGCCCATATTATGTAAGGAATACCCATATTATGGGATGCCAGGGTTCAGTTCTGATTTGAGCCATTAAGCTGGGTCTCTCACACTCCGTGTAACCTATCTCATGAGGGTAAAGGAGTGAGAATATGCATCCTTGAGCGCTTTGGAGAAAAAAGTGGTATACTGATGTAAAGTAACAAGTAAGTAAATAATAAACTCAGATTGAGGTCTTTTGCAGCAGCCTTCATATGAAAAATTTAGTTAGAAACTTCGTAACCAAGGACCAATAACTCATTCCTATCAGTTTAGATGGAATGGTGATTTAGGTTTGAGAGCTCTTCTCTTTCCTTCTTTCTTTCAATATGTACATTTATATGTAACTGTATACAATGAGTATTGCTACTATTACTGATAAATGTAATCTACATATAAAAAAGGTAAAGGTAAAGGACCCCTGACAATATACTAATATCCAATTTATATGTATGTACAGTGGTACCTCAGTTTAAGAACAGTCCTGTTTACAAACGATTCAGTTTACGAACTCCTTAAAACCAGAAGTAGTGTCCTGGTTTGCGAACTTTACCTCGGTGTAAGAATGGAATCTGAATGGTGGAAGGGCACCGGCGGAGGGAGGCCTCATTAGGGAAAGCGCACCTCAGTTCAAGAACGGTTTCGGTTTAAGAATGGAATTCCGGAACAGATTAAGTTCGTAAACTGAGGTACCACTGTACAGGAGTAATGAAGTGACTGGCTAATGTGCATAACAACCATCCATTGTGCATTTTTTTGTGCCTCATGGAGAATGTACACATAATCTGTCCATGAAGAGGGAATTGTGCAGCCTTCCCGGTCAATATACATAACTCTCCAACAAGCCTTGGGGAAAATGCATATCTGTACATCATTTTACACATTCACGATACATAATCTCCAACAGGACAGGGGAAATCTGCTTATCTCAACAGGATTGTGTGCATTCTCCAGGCATTATTAGGATCTTTAGGTTAGCTGGAACAGGAAACTTGAATGGCAACTCATTGTTGCAACATATTTAACTGAGATGACTCTATATATGGGAACTGGGACTGGAATCCTATACATACCCTACCTGGGGTACTGTGCCAGTTCTGGGCACCACAATTTAAGAAGGATATTGACAAGCAGGAATGTGTGCAGATGAGACCAAGATGACCAAGGGTCTGAAAACCAAGCCTTGTGAGGGATGTTTGAGGGAGCTGGGGATGTTTAGCCTAGAGAAGAGGAGACTGAGAGAAGATAGGACAGCCATCTTCAGATAGCTAAAGGGCTGTCACATGGAAGATGGAACAAGCTTGTTTTCTCCTGGTTCAGAGGCTAGGACCTGAACCAATGGATTCAAGGTACAAGAAAAGAGATTCTGAATAAACAGCAGGAATAACTTTCTGACAGAGCTTTTAGACAGTAGAACAGACTCCCTCAGGAAGTGGTGGATTCTCCTTCCGTGGAGGTTTTCAAGCAGAGGTTGCATGGGCATCTGTCATGTATGTTCTAGTTGAGATTCCTGCATTTCAGGGGGGTTCAGGGTCACTTCCAATTCTACAATTCTATGATTCTGTTGATTCTGTGATTCTGTACCTTAGAGAAAGTCTACTGAACTCGGTGTTACTTACTTCTAAGTAGACATAGGATTGCACAGTAAATGGACTGTCTAGGAAACAGGTCAAAACGGTGGGAAGTTTACTGAAATGTCAGGTTAGTTTGCTGTAGACCAGCTCAAAAATATTTGTTCATTTGACAGCTTTACCATCTGTCACATAGTTACTTTCAAAGAAATAATTAATGTTGGGGGTTTTTTGGTGGGAGGAGGACTTTTTAGTCATTGGTGGTTTGGTACTTTTGCCACTTACAAAAACAATTAGGTAACTTATTTTGAAAGTATGAACTCAACTTTCAAATTGTAATAAATTTACATGTAAATTATTCCCTGAACAAGCTTTTAACCTGGAATATTAGGGTCAACCAAGAATTGCACACTTTTTAAAAAGGGGGATGACATTCAATGCGCTGCCCATCCACGACTCCCAAGCCCACCCCGAGCCGTTGGCATTCCTCCCTTACCCCTTCATTTTGACAGCTTGGGGAAGGCTTGGGAGTCGTGGGAGGGCAGTGTGCCAAATGACTTCCGTGGGTGGCTCGCTTCGCCCCCAGCTATAGAGCACGTTCACCGCTCCGGGCACCCAAGCGCCATGCCCCCCTCAGGAGCACGTCCACCCTGGGCAGCACCCGCCCTGGGCAGTGTGGCATATGCTCCGCCGCTGTCTATTGCCCCTGTGAATCCAGCCTCCCAAGGTGGTCGCCTCACCTTGCCTCATGGGTTGGTCAGTTGAAATTCAATGTTGCTCTGTTACAGATGTTCTGTCTGCACAAGCATTTCCGTTTGCCAGGTGGAACAATTCCCCTTGGTTGCTGTTCTGCAGGTTCTCCCAATGTCCCCAGGCTGGGGGGGGGCATGCAGGGGGGAAGCCCTGTTGCGCAGAGCCTTGTGCAGGACTTCTGCTGATGGGGCTCCTTGGGTGAATCCTGCCCAATGGGTCTACTCTGAGCAGCAAGGTGGATACAACTCTGGTTTGGTTTTAGTTTCAGAAGAAGGCAACAATTAAGAGGAAGGCAACACCATAGTCATTTATAGCACTATTCACATTTAATGAATTGTGTAGGGTTAAAGGAAAAGTTATCATCATTTTTGACTAGGGCACCCAGTGAAATTTACTGGCAGATGAGAGGAAGCACATCTTCACACAGTGCCTAATTAATTTACAACACTCACTCCACAAGCTCGGGTGGTTGTTTCTAGGCTTATCAGTGGTTCTAAGTGAGGATAGCTGAGGAGAGACCTCAACTCTCTCTGCATATCAAAATGAATGTGTATAGATACATGGAAGCAGCTTCTTTTGTTGTTCATTATGAAAGCAAATGCAAATCACCTGATCATGCCTCTTCCTTGGACCGCATACCCTTTTTTGTCCTGAAAAAGAAAGTGCATCTTCTTGAGAACTCTGCATTCTTTCTGCTGGGCTGCTATCCCTTGGGTATTGTACATTATTTTTTGAGCTTTGCGGACGTGCTCAGGGCTGTTGCTAAAATATCTGTGTTTGTATTGATTATTTGGTAGGCTTCTGAATCTGCGCTGCTCAAACAGGAACTTACATAAGATTTCGTACTCCCCAGGATAGTTGTTTTCAGACAGACTGAGCTGGCTTTTGCCTGCACTGAGCTTTTGGTTTTCACAGATTCTTCTTCAGGACATTGAACAAACCAAAAAATAAATAAAAACAATAATACCTAAAACATATATTTTTTAAAAAAGCATGGTGGTGGACCCTGCCTGAAGTTTGCTGCTGCTGATAAATATAAGATGATTTCCATCCTTGATACAGTTCAATGTGTTGTAGCAAAAATATGTTTAATTTAATTCCTATATTTATATATGTTTTTATACTAAAACAGTCCCTAAGTCGTTTATAAAATTAACAAAGATTATAAAGCATTCAGAAAAATGCATACATTAGTGAAAATAACAAAAATGTATTAGGGAGAATTGCTTGGAAAGCTTGCATGTTTGGCAAGAATGGATAAAATGTGTGTATTAAGGAGAAATTCACACTGAAATGCTGATGAGAACTTTTAAAGATAAATAAATTGAAAATTGATGTGGAATTGTGGAGAACTGAATTTAAGATTGGAAGAATGATTAACAGAGAAACCAAAATTGTCAGATTCATCCATCCCTACCACTGAGAGATACACAATACACAGAAATTATGTCTTACATCTACACAAATCATACTGTGCCTACCCTTCTCTAATATCACTAATTCCATACCCCCCTGTACCTCATACACATCCGTAAACTCTCCATCTATTTAATCACTCCAATATTCATTCTCTCTCCAATATCTTGTGCTCTGTCACCAAACCACTATCTATCACCAACCAGTTCTTCCACTCCACTCTAAAATATGCTGCAAAACACCAGGAGACAGTGGAGCAATTCACTTACAGAACCATATAAAGTATCAAAACAAATTTCTCCCCGTCCATCACACAGATGTACTATATGCACCCTGGTGCTCCTTCCTCTCCTCCAGGAGAGCCCTCAGGCATCTCAATAGTTTAGCAAACAGCTAAACTATGGGATAAATGGTGGCCACAGACTTGGGGGGCTTTAAAAGAGAAGTGGACAAATTCTTGGAGGAATTTGCCTCTGAATGTCAGTTGCTGGGAAGCACATGAGGGATGAGAACCGTTGTGCTCCAGTCCTGCTTTCAAGTTCCCCATGGAGGCCTCTGCTTGGCTCCTGTGAGAACAGGATGTGGACTAGATGGGCCTGATCCAGCAGCCTCTTCTTATGCTCTTATCCTTTTTAAAAACCCATTCTCAAGATATCCTCCCAGGAGTTCTGCAGTCTAAGGTATATTGACATTTCTACCATTTTTATCTACGGTACATTTTGGAACTTTTTACTACTTCCAGTATGTATTTTTATCTTTTTGAAATTATTTTGTAGTGATTTTTAACTATCTTAGGGAGGGCGAGACAAGCAAGGCACAATGCGAATTCTAAGAATCTGACACTGTGATTGCCACTCCGAAAATATTTTGGTGTACGGTGGCCTGTAAGTCTGGTAATATCTTGAAGCTTAAATACTGAATTTGGCAAGACATAGGGGAGAGAGGGATGCGGGTGGCGCTGTGGGTAAAACCTCAGCGCCTAGGACTTGCTGATCATATGGTCGGTGGTTCGAATCCCCGTGACAGGGTGAGCTCCCGTCGTTCGGTCCCAGCTCCTGCCCACCTAGCAGTTCGAAAGCACTCGTAAGTGCAAGTAGATAAATAGGTACCGCTTTATAGCGGGAAGGTAAACGGCGTTTCCGTGTGCTGCGCTGGTGCTGGCTCACCAGCTGCAGCTTCGTCACGCTGGCCACGTGACCCGGAAGTGTCTGCGGACAGCGCCAGCTCACGGCCTCTAGAGCGAGATGAGCACGCAACCCTAGAGTCGGACACGACTGGCCCCTTACGGGCAGGGGTACCTTTAGGGGAGAGAGAATGCATGAACAAAATTTCCCTCATTTGGTCTCACTGTTGCTGCTCCTTCTAAAAAAAAAAAGCAGGCTAAGCAATATGTTTTGTAAGAATATATCTTAGGCAATGCAGAATAAATAAAAGGAAGGTCATGCTAAGATAACTGACATCAATAGCATGATTATTGACTTTTGACATGCTCTTTGGCATTAAGACAAATGAGGTCTCCATAATTTCAAAAGAAATTTTATTAGTGAAGTTTTATTAGCGAAGAGTAATTATCAGGAAGCTTGCTATAAGCCTCCTTTCATTATGTGGCAGTGGCAGGTTGGTTGAGGAACATTTGAATTTGTGCATCCTTTCCTGGTGCATAGTTAGCTAAATTGCTACAAAAGCATCCAGTAAAGGTCATAGGCACAGCCGCCGCCACTGATACCTGATGGTCTGGACTGTTTATCTGGTGATGTTGTAAAGAGGCATCTAATTACCTAATTGCTGGATTTCTGCACTCTTGCGACCCAGAGCCCTCCTTGTTTATCCTCTTTCGCAGGCAGACTTTCCTTTTGGGGTCCTTTCTGCTATTGTTCAGTATGGAACACTGTCATTTGGAAAAGCCGAATGACCTTCTCAATTCCCAGTTACTTTCTCTACGGAGATGTGCTTTAGCATTTTCCCACTTGGCAGCAGCAAAGCTACTATATGGTACGTTCCCAGAATGAATAGGCAGGCACATGAGCATCAAAAAACCCCCTGCAGTGATTGTAGCTGAACTGAGAGGAAGAGAGTCCTCCTCCCCATCTCTCCCCTTCCTGTAGCCAAATGCTGCCATTCAGATCTGCACAGGCTGTGCAGTCAACAGCATGTCTGCCAACAGCAGCAGAGGTAAGAGGGAGAACGCAGCGCAGGAGATTGTGGCAGCAGCAACGCCAGAATGAGGGCAGGAATCCTTCTCGGAGAAAGCCCTGCCTGAGTTGATGCTGCTTCCCAGTTGGATGTGATGTGCATTTGTGTCTTTTGCGCATTTGGGGAGGAATGAGTGCTGTCATCCATGCTTAAGGAGAGTGGGGAGGTACCGGAATGAAAATGTGCAGCAGGAGTCAGGGATGGGAAGTGCTGTAGAGCCTGAAACTCAAGCATCTTTTTATGCCAAATGCAAAAAGTATGAAATTCAGCTGTACGTCTGTGCTTTGACATTTGGGGTGGGGAGACCCTCCCACTGTTAATGATGACTTGTAGTTCGATAAAGGATCAGCTGCTCATGAAATGAAGCCTTTAATAAATCCAAAGACTTAGTGGTCAAGAGCAAGACTTCTCTTGTTGGTTTCTAACACCATATGTGGCTGGAGAGATCCAGTGGCGATCTTAATAGGGCTGCTTTTTCTCTCTCTTTGCAGCTGTCCGTCCAAAGCTCAAGAAATTGAAGAGCTTGAATGTGGAAGTGGGAGCAAAAGTTTCTATGAAATGTGAGGCAAGTGCTGGAAATCCCCAGCCATCCTACAAATGGTTCAAAGATGGCAGAGAACTGAAGAAGAGCAAAGATATCCGCATAAAATATGGGAATGGAAAGTAAGTACATAACTGCTTCTTTTCACCCTAAAAAATGAAAAAGATTTAATGTGTTGTTCATATAAATGTCATCTTACACCTCCATTATTTAGAAAAAAAACCTGGGTTAGCTAGATGATTTCTAAATAGTAGTGATCAGGCTGAAGTCTGTTACTTTGTTGAAAGAAATGCATTCATAACATGCTCAGACATGCTTGTTCTTATTAATGTCAGTGTTTTAGGGCTCAGATTCAGCATTTGTAGCATTCTAGAGCTCAGAGAAAGAAGTTTATCCAAGCTGAACCTGTTGCTACGTATTGAGAAATACCAGTCTTCCTATAGTTTGCTACATTATGGAAGTTCTAGAGCAAGAAAGGTCAACTAAGGAAATATTTTTAATCACATCCCTTAGAAGTGGTGATTAAGCTGCAAGGAAGATGGCATAAATTGTTCATTAGAACAAAACTGAACTGTAAGTCTGACATTTGCTCCTGGTGTTTAACAATAGCCTTCTCAAAGCATGGTAAAGCCATCTGATATTGGCAAAACTTTGTGTGGTGTGTCAGTTTGGGGACAAAAATAGGGAAGAGGAGCCAGCTCCATACATACAAATACATCTTCCTTGATATTGTTTTTGATGTGTCTGGCCCTTGACTAATTATAGAATCAGAACAGTAGAGTTTGAAGGGACCCTGATGGTCACTGGGTTCAACTCCCTGCAAAGCAGGAATCTCAACGAAAGCATCCATGGCAGATGACCATCCAACCTCTGCTTAAAAACCTCCAGGAAGGAGAGTCAACTGCCTCCCAAGGGAGACCATTCCACTGTTGAGCAGTTCTTAATGTCAGAAAGTTTTTTCTATAAAAGAAGAAAAAAGGGGGGGGGATTTTCCCAGATGTTTAGTCAGAATCTCCTTTCTTGTAACTTGAAGCCATTGGTTCGAGTCCTGTCCTCCAGAGCAGGAGAAAACAAGCTTGCTCCATCTTCCATGTGAAATATTTTAAGATGGCTATCATGTCTCCTCTCAGTCTCCTCTTTTCCAGACCCTTGATCATCTTGGTTGCCCTCCTCTGCATACATTGGAGCTTGTCAATATTCTTCTTAAATTGTGGTGCCCAGAACTGAACACAGTACTCCAGGTGTGGCCTGACCATGGGCGTAGCCAGGATTTTTGTTGGGGGAGAGGCCTTTTGTTCAGGGGTGGGGCAGAACCTCAGTTTGCTATGTATTCTTATTGATTGGGGGGCAGCCGTCCCTCCCTGCCCCCCTTTGGCTACGCCCATGGGTCTGACCAAGGCAGAATAGAGTAGTACTGTTACATCCCTTGATCTGGACACTATACTTCTGTTGATGTAGCCTAGAATAGCATTAACTTTTTTTGCTGCTGCATCACACTGTTGACTCATGTTAACCTTGTGGTCCACCAAGACTCCTAGACGTTTTTCACATGTACTGCTAGTAAGCCAGGTGTTCCCCATCTTATAATGTGCATCTGGTTCTTCCTGCCTAAGTGCAGAACCTTACATTTGTCCCTATTGAAATTCATTTTGTTAGCTTGCACCCAATTTTCCATCCTGTTAAAGTCATTTTGAATCTCAATTCAGTCTTGGTGCTCTTTATACCTATATTCCCCACAAACATGGGCCACATGTCATCAGGAATATTATTTCCTGACAATATCACAGTATATCTAGTCATCACTCTGTTACTTGATACACATTCACAGTTACTTCTGCTTTTAGGAGCACATGCTGTGGGCACTTGCATGATGACTCCACAGTAAGCTAACATTTTCATGGCTGACTTAGATCATAGCTGTCAACTTACAGATTTGAAAATAAGGGACCAGCAGCCTTGAAAATAAGGGATCAGCAGCCAAAATAAGGGACCTGCAGCCTCACCTGTTCCAGGCACTCCAGTCTTCCTGTCCTCCTGCAGTCTGGTCAAACTCATGCTGGTAGCTTCGAGAACACTGTCCAACCAACTTTGTAACCAGAGGTTCAACTGAATAGAATCTGAATCACATGCACCACAAGGCCTATGCAGCCTCAACTTAAGATGGCTCCCCGGCCTGGCTTTGCACTGCAAAGTTTGCAGCAGCATGTGCAACAAAATGGCGTCCAGCATTCAAAACCCCCCTCAGTTTGCATTAACTAGCCACACACACACAGCCTCCCCCCCTCGCCATGAGATCGCCAGTCACCCACCATTTTAGTCAACCAGCTCATTTCTTTCCCCCCATAAGATAATCCAAGGAGCCTCCAAAAGCCCCCCTCCCACGAGATCTGCTTTCCTTTCCCCCCACCATGTGCCCCTTTTCGCCGGCAAGGGTGAGTGGGCCGTCGATGACATATCCATCCGATTCCGATCCGAGTACTCAGCACAGGTATGTTCAACTTCTGAGCCCCTCTGAGCCAAAGGCAGAAAGCCCAGCCAGCAGCCAAACGAAGCCTCAAGGAAAACCACCGTCACCTCTCCACTGGGAAGCGCTGAGCAAAGGCGAGTCCCCAGGGAACACAGCCGATTTGATCAGCACAAGGCATGCAAGCTCCACCCCCCAGTCGTTCTTAGACTTCTTATTGGGTGAGCAACACAGCCAAGCAACACAGTTGGAGCCTCCCTTCTCCCTGGCCGGCAGGGAGGGAGGGAGAGGAGCTGCTTCCTTTGAAATTTAAGGGACATCATTTAAGGGACATTCATCAATAAGGGACAGCAGCGGGACATGGCGCTGGAATAAGGGACTGTGCCTTCAAATAAGGGACGCTTGACAGCTATGCGTAGAACAATGGGTTCTCAACTCCTGTCCTCAAAAAGCTTCTGCTTGAGTTACACTGACAATATCTTTAATACATGGACCCATGAATGGGAAGCACTTGAGAAGTTCCATCAGGAGTTCAGCTACTTTTAGCCTGACTGAGCCTAAAATACTGCGCACTGCCTTTTGGGCAGTGCTGTTCAATGGATATGTGTGCACCACCTTATGTCTGAAACCTATTGCCCACTAGACATATATTTCTTTCTTCTGGCTTCTACCCAAAGCATACCACAAAATCCTTAGTCTACAGCCAAGCCCTAAAATACAGTCAAATCTGTTATGACTTGTCAAAGGGAGACTCACAACCTATGGATTTACACCAGGCATTTCTTAGACCCAGCAAATGAAGTGCGGAAGCAGGATTGATGGCCCAGCAATGACCTACTACTGGAAAGAAGAGAAAGTTACAAAACACCACTTTCACCTATAGCTCCCAGCTGAAGTATCATTAGTGACCTACAGCCTGTTCTAGAAAGTGGTGCTTCGTTCTCACAGACTTTCAGTGACAGGCCTGATCTTTCCTACAGCCACCTCCCACAACCTCCAGCAACAACAGGCTTCATAATGGAGACACGAAAGGTCCTCCTGCAGGAAAACCAGAGACCATCATTTCCACCCAAGCACACTATTACAAGACCTAATCATGTCAGCCTCGAGATTCATTCATCTGCTCATCTTCACCTGTCTTTCTGCATTCTGCATAGGACAAACTCGTTAAGCATAAAATAATAAATAAACACAGATTTCACATAAAAAGCGGCAATACTCAGAAACAAAAAAGGAAAACATTTCAACCTATCAGGACACTCTGGAACTGGCCTTAAGGCTGTGATTCTTGAACAAAGGAACTTCAAAGGAAAGCTAGAGTATTAAAGCTTATCAAGAAATTCAGTTCTATTATCTGTGTCCTTAATAGGGATCACACCACAGGGGCTAATTAGCTGACCAAGGCTACTCCAAAGATACTTTTGCTAATATCACACTGTGAATGGTCATTGTCATTATTTTTACATTTACACTTTTGCATTTCGTTTCACTTTGATCTCATGGCTAACTCTCTCTCTCTCTCTCTCTCTCTCTCTCTCTCTCTCCCCACCCAGCATTCCATACATCCAATAAAGTAGCACTGTAAAAGCTTATACCACAATAAATTTGTCAGGCTTTAAGGTGTCACAAGTCTCTTTGTTGTTTATAATATATTCTGGATTGTAGATTTCATCCTGCACTTGATATCTGCATTTATTCAGTTGAAGAAAACAAGATAGGTAATTGGATGTGACCCTGAAATTATCAATAATAATTCTACGTCCAATACCTTAATTAATTCAGACAGTTAATATGGTTAGCTATTGTCTTGGAATTTGTTCCAAATCGTTGCAGATAAAACATTTTCAGGGAAACCAAACTGCTTGTTTACAAAGCTATTGTACTACCAACTTAACTGTGTGCTTGTGAAACATGGATCACTTATAAACTCCATCTCCAACTCCTCGAAAGATTCCATCAACAGTGTCTCTGAAAATTTTTGCATATACTTGGGAAGACAGGCAAACTAATGTCAGTATCGTCTTCCAAAGCAACTACTTTATTCCCAACTTAAGAATGGAAAGCGTAATGCCAGTGGACAACAAAAGAAGTTTAAAGATGCTCTCAAGGCAAATCTAAAAAGAAGTACTATAAACACCGACAACTGGGAAACACTGGCCTATGAGCACTCCAGTTGGAGAATAGCCTCTACCAAAGGCATCATGGACTTTGAAGAAGAAAGGAACTCAGGAGGAAAGGGAGAAATGAGCTAAGAGGAAGGCACGTTTGGCAAACCCTCCCTGTGATCAACTCCCGCCTGGAAACTTATGTCCCCACTGTGGAAGGACGTGTGGATCCAGAATTGGGCTCCATAGTCACTTACGGACACACCGTTAAGACGGTGTTCATGGAAGACAATCTTATTTGGCTACAAATGATCGCCTTCTTGGCTACAAGAAGAAGATGTGGGCTGTCAGACATTCGTACAAAGTATCTTGAAGTTTCTTGGGCTTTATGAAATCTGGCTTTTGCTTAACACACTGTTCCACCTTCCCACTCAAAGTGAAATTGGGACTGGAAATATGAAGCAGCCCCACACATGCTCTGCTAATTGGATTACCAATGCCAATATGTTTGTGATATCAGCTGCTCTCCTGCTTTCTTTCCTTACACATACCCCCATCATGAAAAACGGCAGCCTGTGCTTTGGTTGCTGTCTCACAGTGTTGTCCTTCCATAATGTCTCACCATACCTTGAATATCACATGCTGGGATCAAGCAACAGGAGTTGTCTGCCACCATCATGTCCTGACTGTGTGGCTTCCAAAGGCATTCTGCAAACAGAATGTTGAATTGGGTGGATATTTCTAGTCTAGCAGAGTCTTTAAAAACAACACAGTTTTTGTCAACCATAATTATGTACTAACTAGAATAGTGGCAGTCATGAAATTTTGACCGTTGCCTATTACAAATGCTTGCCTGAAGTTCCGTTAACTGAAAACTTAAAATAGTGGTTTTTAAGGCCAGTATTAGTGACATTTTAAGGCCAGTTTGTGGCGAATGCCACATGTTATTTAAGACCCGTGTGCTTTCAGCCTTCTCTGTTTCCCATTCCTCAAGCCAAATGAGTTTAACATCCCCTCCAGTAATGATGTGCCGTAATGGAACTGAGTACAATGTTCTTCAGAAAGTAGCAATTACCTGTTTGTCAAATCTTCTCCTTTCCCATCAATTTACCACTTGCACAGCTTCCTGGCGCCACTGGGCAGGGGAGTTGTCCTTTTCAATGAATGTTTGCCGGAGTAGAGGGGAAAACTCCTTACTTGTGAGCTGCATGTTCTGTCACTAATTAGCAGCAGGCAGAGGCAAGCCTGTCTTGCTCAGAACAGAAGGAGATTTGGGGAGGAAGATATTTCCTTCTGCTCAGTTTAGCAGGAATTATTATGTTGTTACATTATTGCTCAAATCTTTTGCCATCTTATTCACATTGTAATTAGCAGAATACAATGTGAATAAGGTAGCAAAAGAGTTGAGCAATAATGCAATAACTTAATAACTCCTCTGTCCTTGAGTACCAGCATAGTTTTAATGATTAGTACAGCAAGAAAGGAATACTTACTATAGCAAATTTGAGTTATATACATTCACTGTATGCCCTCCCTAGAAACCTCAAGCCAGTTGAACCAGGACTCCCTCTTAACCAGACTAATTATTAGAGATTTGTTCTGTACACAGTTAACAAATCTGATTGTTTTCATTTTAACTGTCATTTTTTCAGAGGTGAATTTTTCCTCCATATTTAGTTCATTCCTTTTTGTTTTTGCATTGACTCCAATGGGATACCCAGCCAGTCTCCTTGGGTGTTTTCCACCCAAATTGCAATTGTAGAACTGCAGCTAATCAAAGAAGGGGCATTGAGTTTGGATGGATGCATTGTCTCAGAGCATGACAAATCTCTTCATGGTTGTGTTCCAGATTATTCCAATTTCCCTTCCTACCTAGCTGACCCCACTACCTAGCTGACCCCCACTTTGGTCAGTCTCTTTCTCTCATACCCCCAACCCTTATCCCATTCATTTCCTCCTCATGTTCTTTTGGTTGTTTGCTGTTGACTGGCAATGGTTTTCCGTTCCTTATGGCACTAGCATTAAAGAGGTGGTAAAATCTGCTAACTTTCCCTGTTGCCCTGTTGAGTCACAGTGACATTTGGACCATTGGGATGAGGGACACAGTGACCGTTCCCTTCCTTCTGTTATATAAAATTCACCGGGTGTTAAAAGTCAGACAAAAAACAACAACAAAACCAGAACAGAAGTCATATTTATTTTATGCACAAATGAAACAGAAACCTTCTGAAATCATAGGCAAATTGCTGTAAAGCATTATTAGGGATAGAAATGTCAAGCATGTAGAACAGCAGGACTTGTGAAAAATCAGCATGGTTTCTGCAAAGAGGAGTCTTGACTCACCAATGTTTTTGAATGCTTGGAGTGAACACAATTTGACAGACATTATATACTTAACTATATACATGTTTCGACCATTTATTTCCTTTTAAAAGTTCTGGTGAATTGTTGGGATAGCTCTTATTTTTGTTTTAAACTGATCATATTCGTAATAGAGGGAAATAAGCAGTGGAGTTTACCAAGGGTCTTTCTGGGAACTGGTTCTGTATAGCAGGTTCAGTTTACATCAGGACCTGTGGTACCAGACCTGCAGTCAGTCAGTTGGAAGACCAGAAGTCAGAGATGAGTTTGTAGCTCAGGTAGAGCCAAAGTCAAGGACCAGAAAGTTGAGGGCCAACCAGAGAGGCCAGAGGCAACAATATACTCAGGTCAGCTAAGAGTCAAGGTCCAGAGCAGTGAACAGAAATTCCTGCCCTCTAGAAGCTGCTGTTGTGAAGTTTTCCAAATTTGGTCCTACATTCACAAGTTTGTAAATGCATCAAATCCCAGAGCCCTAGTCAAGCATTAGGTTTACTTGCTTGCAGATGCTGGCTCCACTTCTGACCTTTGTGCACTCAGCATTCTCAAGTGGGATTTTGTGTTTAGTTGCATGCTTAAAACCCCCTTCAAACCTGCATGCTGAGTGCATGAAGGCTGGCAGTACAGCCATCAACACTGGGGATGATGGCAGGTGGGAGCGGTATATATGACCCATTCTTGGAATGCAAATAGACCTTAAGGACATCACCAACAGGTATGTTATGTAGAATTCTGATTCCAGAATTTGAAAGTGCCCTGATGTCGCTGGTCACAGCTTAATGCCTTTCTCCTCTCTGTGTCTCACTCCTATTTGTTTGTTTGTTTACTTTGCAGAAAAAATTCCAGATTGCAATTCAATAAAGTGAAAGTAGAAGATGCAGGTGAATACACTTGTGAAGCTGAGAATGTGCTGGGCAGAGACACCGTCCGGGGCAGTCTGAATGTGAAAAGTGGTAAGTTACAGAGTTGAGCCAAAACGATCTATTTAGTTTAAGTTTTGCTGTTGCTATTGTTGAAGGGGAAACATTTGAAATTCCTCGTGGTATTTTATTCCGTGAAGCTCATGAGACCTGGGAACAAGAGAGAAGTACTCTCTCTGAACATCTCTGAGCCTGACCAGATTTGTGAAGCTTCACAGCCTAACTGAGCTAACTAGACCTGGATATAGTCACACACAGTGGCCTGGACTTGGATAAAAACCAATAAACACTTTTGATCTCCATTTGATTTTTATTAGCTTTTTGATGCAGCTATTGACTTGAAAATCCAAACTGAAAAAAGTTCTGCCCAGCCCTAGTTTCTTTGCACCTGCTTGGTGGTTGTTGCCTTTAATTCCTTCTTCATATAGAGGGGGACATAAGAAGATCCTGGCTGCTGGATCAGGCCTATGGTCCAACTGCTTGAGCCTCCTGCTCTCACCGTGGCCAACCAGATGCCCATGAGGGGGGGGCCACCAGCAGAGCCTGGGTGCAACTGGACTTGCCTCACTTGTGATTCCCAGCCGCTGGCATTCAGAGACATGCTGCCTTTGACAGTGGAGGTAGAACACAGCCCTTGAGGCAGTAGCCATGGATAACCTGATCTGCCATGAATTTGTCCAGTCCTCTTCAAAGTCATCCAAGTTGGTGACCACCATTACCTATTCTGAGAATGAATTGTGCAGTCTAAATGTGCTCTGCATGAAGAAGTGCTTTCCTCATAGGGAAGTTCCCCCATCCCCTTCATATTTTTGGTTGCATTTTATGAATCTTTTGGGGGTGAGCTGACCAGAACTGTACACAGCATTCCAAACGTGGTTGCATCAAAGATTTGAATAACAGCATAATGATGTTGCCAGTTTTATTTTTTAGTCATTGATTTCTAGTATGGAATTCACCTTTTTCTCAACTGCCACACACTGGGTTAAAGTCTTCACTACGACCCCCAATGTCTTGTTCCTGGTCAGCCACGGCCAGTGCAGACCCCATGAGCAAATATGTGAAATTAAGGGGTTTCTCCCCTCCTTAATGTGCATCACTTTACACTTGCTTATATTGCAAGCTTATATTGAATTGCATTTAACATTTTATTGTCCATTCAAAATAACTTTTTGCTTCAACCTCCCTGAAGAATTTGGTATCATCAGTAAACTTAGCCACCCTAAACTTAGCTTATCGCTGTCTCTAGATCACTTATGAGCAAGCTAAAAAAAACCAGGTTCCAGTATCAACTGTGGGAGGTCTCTACGCCCTTCCATTGGGAGAACTGTCCTCTTATTCCTCTTATTCTGTGCATCACATTTCTTAGCCAGTTACTGATCTACAAGAGGACCTCTCCTCTTACTCCACTGTCACAAAGATTGGGTGCCACCCCCACTCTCTGCTGAGTGGTAGCAAGATTCTGGGGGGTTCCAGGTGCTCACCCAGAGTTTGTGCTCTTTTGGAGAGTTGAAGATGCTGTGGGGACTGTCACAGCTTTAAGCAATATGTTTTTTTCACCTATTTACACCTTCTGTCTGCATGGAGGAAGTCCAGATCTTACAGCATGGTCTTCTCAAACAGGGCTTGCTCCCCCCTAGCAGTGCAACCCTGGAGTCAAAGTAATCTCTCCCAGCCAGCCTTCAGCCAGCTTGCCCAAGATGGATCTCTTCCTTTGTTCTCTCCTTCTTCTTCCCAGAACACCTTGCTAAAGACTCTCTTTTCCTGTCATCTCTCACATACCCCATCACCTTAGCAATTTCCGCCTTCCCAAGATTCCCCTTAGATGGTTCATCAACGCTTTTTGCCATCTTAATGCCTCTATCCAAGGTGAGGTCCTGGCTTGGGAAGGAAGCTTAGCCTGCATTTTTCCACTGGCCTGCAATCTTCCCTTCAATACTCCAAATAATTAATATCCTACCATTTATTAATTTTTAGGGGGGTCCCCCCCCAAATCTACGACACAATGACTGCTAAGCTTATACAGGAGTCTTTTGTGGGGTACTTAGTCATAAGACTTTTGAAAATCTAAATACACAATGTCAACTGGATCACCTCTGTCTATATGCTTGTTGACACTCTCACAGGTGTCCAAAGATACATACATTAAAAGCATCTTATACCGCTTTAACAGTTATGACTTCTCCCAAATAATCCTCAGAACTGTAGGTTACTAATGGAATTGTAGGGGTCTCTTAACATCTATTAGCACAGTTCCATGATTCTTTGGGAGAAGCCATGACTGTTAAAGTGATATAAGAGTGCTTTAAATATATGGTCTGGATGTATCTTTAACAAGGTTTTCTATCAGTTTTCCAGGAACAGACATCAAAACTCGAACTTTTCAGGTTCCTGCCCCCAGATCCTTCTTTAAAAGTTGTTGTTACATTGGTCACTTTTTTCAAGTCCTCAGCTGATCTTTTAGGGACAAGTTACGTGTTTTTTTTAAGAAGACCAGCAATTTAACATTTGAGTTGTTTAAGGACTCTCAAGTGGATACTTAGGATTACATTAAAATGAAGCCTGAATCAGTTATAAAACAGGAAACTGAGGGGAGGGGCTCTTGTTCCAGCAAGACGTGCTTTTCATAGTAAAAATAAGACACAAGCAAATAAGAAAGGAAGATTTATATTTACATTTTGCGCTAGTGAAATTCCAAAACATTTTGGGCTATACAGTGATTGAATAAGTTGAACTTACGTTGTGGGCCAAGCGCCATCATCCTCTTATCCTGGGGTGCGGTGGGTTAGTATGTCTGACTGTTAACCAGAAAGTTGATAGTTCGAGTCCACCCAGGGACAGCTGTGGACAGGATTCCTGCCTTGCAGGGGGTTGGACTAGATGATCCTTGGGTCCCTTCCAACTTTACAGTTCCATGATTCTATGAGTCCGAGATCTAGCTGTGGCAGCACCAGCAGGCACAAGTCCAGTATTGCTCTCTCCCCTTTTCTGCAGCTCCCTTTGAGCACACACCCCGTGTGGATATATATTATGAGATCTTCAAGATGAATACAATCTTAAGAGCAAGCCTCTCAGCTTGTTCAGTTCTACTTCATGCTGTTTGAGATAATTAGCAAAGATTTGAGTCCAGGACACTTCCTTGCAGTACATATAAGATTTAATAGCTCTGCCATACATTTGGAGATCCAGCCTAATCCTTTGGTGAAGGATCTCCAACTGAGATCCAAATGAGGCTTACTCCCTAGTAAGTGTGATTTGGAACGGAGACAGCATCAGAGAATGGAGCCTAATAATTATAATACAGTGGTACCTCGGGTTACATACGCTTCAGGTTACAGACTCCGCTAACCCAGAAACAGTACTTCAGGTTAAGAACTTTGCTTCAGGATGAGAACAGAAATCGTTCTCTGGCAGCGCGGCAGCAGCAGGAGGCCCCTTTAGCTAAAGTGGTGCTTCAGGTTAAGAACACTTTCAGGTTAAGAACTGACCTCCGGAACAAATTAAGTACTTAACCCGAGGTACCACTGTATTAAGAAGTCTGTGAGAAAAGTGGATGGGTGTTAGTTTTTCATCAGCGCTCCTGCCCAATTTTATTCATCTCATTTTTAAAAAATAAAAATAAAAATCATTTTATTAATTTAGATTTTCAAGATAGCCTACAAAAGAGAACCATAAGACACACAGAGAGAGAGAAGAGCAAAGAAGCTGCCTTGGAATTGTTCACCCCCTCACACAAACACTCCCGGCATTTTAAATCTTTCCTAGCGTTGGAAGTAAATCCAATTGATGTTTCCCCTTAGCAAGTGTGCTTTGGGTCACAGGCTGGGGGGGGGGGTAGGAAAAACTATTTGCCTTTCTAAGCCCCTTTTACTGTCTTAACTGCACCTCAGTAGTTTTGGTGAAGCTGGATTTTACCACAGATCTCTGGTTTTAGCTTTGCCATGCATTCTTTAACCTCCTTCCTTTGGCAACTTCCATCATCTTATTTATGTTCAGTGTATATTGAAATATACAGTCCATCATTTTTCCTCAGTCACCTTTAAGTCTTTTATGGCTTATTGCCTGCCAGAGAGTACATCATATGGGACCACTTTTAACCTCAACCATGCCAGATGTATCTCCATTTATAACTTCATAAACTAAAACATACATTCTGGTTGACTCCTCAACATTTCATTGGAATGTTAAAAATTCTAATTATCCATCTTTATCTCCTTATTTGAATAAGAAATGGATGGTTCTGTTGTCTATTTTTCCTGATGCTATCCAGAAGATGTATCCTTTTGTAGAAATAGTTTTAAGCTACAAGGATAGTACTGGGATCTCCATTTCTCAACCACTCCTTAAATGTTTCTTCTACTCAATCACACAAATGGCTTAACACTCACAAAACTGCTTCAGATATCACATGCCTGGCAAGGATTCTTCTCCAGTTCTAACATATGTAGCTAACTTTACCATTATCTTCCACTCTGCTAATGGGGTAACTTGCTTCTTCTTTTTTTACTGCTTTCTTACCTTAATTTCCCTAGGAACAATGAATGCACCCCAAATCTTATCTACTTCAGAATCTAAATTAGTTGTAATAGAAGAAAAGTGTAAGTACCCCTCTCCCCAGATGCTTTCTTTTAAATATTTTATAATTTATTTTGCTTTTACATCTCTCCGGGCCTGTTCTTTGCAGCTTCCCCCAAAAAGGATTTGATCATTAGTTAAGTGTCCACACAGGGGTATTTACTATTTATATCTCTTGACACCCAAGCTGTAAAGAATCAGAAGCAGTTACTTTACTTGGCAAATGGTCTTTAGATGCTGTGGCACCCAGTGACTAAATAATGAACATTATTTAAACTGCCTGCACAAGAGTAGTCTGTTGGCATTTATGGTACTCCTCTAAAGGGACGATTTGAGGACTGCACTTTTAAGTTCTTTTTCAGCAAAAACATTTTTATTTATGGAAGTAAAATCTGTTTTATCCCTTCCTTGCATTTTTAAAGATATCCTCTCCTCTGCACCATAGCAAGGAACAAGGAAACAGAGCCAACACAGTAATTCAAAGAAGGAAAATTTAAAGAAAAACCCCTTCATATATATAAAATAATAATAATAAAATTATAATTGTATAATTGTTTCAACACATTTTCATCATGAAATTTCCCCAAACCCCTAAACCCAAGTGGACTTATTTAAATGTAGCATTTACTTATGGTTTGTGACAATACATTTATTTTTGGTTTTATAATGTTTTATGGTGAAAATGTAAAGATAACATAAAATCAAGATGCAAAACTCCTATACATTGAATAAATTCTGTAAGGAGAGGGAAACATGTTTCATTTAATAGTGCTTCTATTTAGTATTTTCTTTCTTTAAAATAGAAAAAAATGATGTAATTATACATATGCTTTCATAAAGATTGTTTTAGATGTTGTATTGTTTTCCAGGAGTGTTTGTAAAAACAGTGCAAAATGAAGTTGGATATCAAGCTTTTTGCCATTTTTTAATGAATGCATATGCATGTCAGTAATGTAAAGATGAAAAAGTTGTGAATTAACTAAGAAAATGGAAGTTGAGGCAAACTGCATGTGGTACAGAAGAGCAATAAAGGAATTGAACAATTAAAAAATCACACCTCTTAATCCTGCCCTGCTTGCATATTTCTTCTTGTGTCCTGCATCAGATGGTGCGTCCAAACAAATATCATTCATACATACATACCTATACAGAGTTGTTGTTGTTGTTTAGTCGTTTAGTCGTGTCCGACTCTTCGTGACCCCATGGACCAGAGCACGCCAGGCACTTCTGTCCTCCACTGCCACCCTCAGTTTGGCCAAACTCATGCTGGTAGCTTCAAGAACACCATCCAACCATCTCATTCTCTGTCGTCCCCTTCTCCTTGTGCCCTCCATCTTTCCCAACATCAGGGTCTTTTCCAGGGAGTCTTCTATCTCATGAGGTGGCCAAAGTATTGGAGCCTCAGCTTCACGATCTGTCCTTCCAGTGAGCACTCAGGGCTGATTTCCTTAAGAATGGATACGTTTGATCTTCTTGCAGTCCATGGGACTCTCAAGAGTCTCCTCCAGCACCATAATTCAAAAGCATCAATTCTTCGGCGATCAGCCTTCTTTATGGTCCAGCTCTCACTTCCATACATCACTACTGGGAAAACCATGGCTTTTACTATACGGACCTTTGTTGGCAAGGTGATGTCTCTGCTTTTAAGATGCTGTCTAGGTTTGCCATCGCCTTTCTCCCAAGGAGCAGGCGTCTTTTAATTTCGTGACTGCTGTCACCATCTGCAGTGATCATGGAGCCCAAGAAAGTAAAATCTCTCACTGCCTCCATTTCTTCCCTTTCTATTTGCCAGGAGGTGATGGGCCCAGTGGCCATGATCTTAGTTTTTTTGATATTGAGCTTCAGACCATATTTTGCGCTCTCCTCTTTCACCCTCATTAAAAGGTTCTTTAATTCCTCTTCACTTTCTGCCATCAAGGTTGTGTCATCTGCATATCTGAGAGTACATGATTTTTGTCTACAAAATGAAGTTACAGTGACAGGAATTATTGCCAACTCTGAATCTGAAGTCAGAAGCTGGAGTCTTTTGGAACTCCTGGAAGGCACTTCATGACTTTGTATAACTGCACCCAGGTGTCATGGTGGGTCTGAAAGGACTTCACACAGAGCACACCTGAGTGACTAAGTGACACTTTGACTTTAGCCTGTCATGGGCGACAATGCAACTTATGTACACTATCATTATTGTAGTGTTATCTGGAATATGTTTGTTAGTTTATTCGCTCTCTTGGAATGGGGTAGAATGAACAGTGTGACAAGATAGTATAATTGTCTGCGATGGGTGGATGTTACTGTTGGGGCTTAGTGGTCAAATTCTTGCATTGTGTTCTTCCACCTCCACACAACAACTACTGCCTCCCAACCCATATATTTTTAAGAGTGTGAGTCTGTGGCTGCTGTGTGATACATGCTGCACCCCTTTGTATTTATCACTCAGTTTCTTGAATACCCTACAAGCAAAGTAGTTGCAGAGATGAGGGAATTAGACATGCCTGATCAAAACATTCACAAAAAGCAATGGACAGCAGTGGCCTCCAGGGCTCTCCAGATGTTGTTGGATACCAGCTCCCATCATCCCCAACCAACATGGCCATTGGTCCGGGACGGCACCTACCCAGGGCAATATAACCCTTCTTGAGACTCGCTGGGGAGAGTATGCTAGTGTCAGATGGTGCCATCACAGGGACAGAGCCTTCTTAGTGTTGGCATTCTCACTGTGGAATACTCTCCACAGAGAGGCTCAACAAGTTCCTACTTTGTTTTTTTTTTTAAATAATTTTTATTCAAGTTTTAAACAACAAAGAAAAAAAAGAAGAGCATACACAATACATATAACAAAAACACACACCAAAAACAAAACAAAATTCAACAATAAAGAAACAAAAAACATAACAATTAAAAACAATATCTCTTTTCCCTATCCGTTTTTTAGTTACTTATTTTCTGGACTTCCTCATACCTCCCTCTTTTGTATTCCAATCCAAATTGTTTGTCCAGCAATTTCTTTTCCGCTTTTTTAATCCCAATCTTTAGCTTTAATAAGATATTAAAATATATAACTTCAACTTCTTTAAACCTGATCTTTAGTCTTAGTATCATATAACCTTAAAATTTTTCCTCTTAATATCAAATTTCCATTTCTTTAAACATCTTTAATCCTAATCTTTAATCTTAGTCTATCATTAACTTTAACCTGTACAGCTGGAAACCGCTTATTTTCAGTCCAACATCACTCTAACATTCCTTAATTTTGCAATGTTTCTGAAGATAGTCTAAATTTCTTCCAATCTTCCTCCATCGACTCTTCTCCCTGGTCACGGATTCTGCCAGTCATTTCCGCCAATTCCATGTAGTCCATAAGTTTCATCTGCCATTCCTCCAGCGTGGGAAGTTCTTGTGTCTTCCAATACTTTGCGATGAGTATTCTTGCTGCTGTTGTTGCATACATAAAGAAAGTTCTATCCTTTTTTACCACCATTTGGCCGACTATGCCCAGGAGGAAGGCCTCTGGTTTCTTAGGGAAGGTACAGTATACCTAAATACCATTTTTAATTCATTATATATCATTTCCCAGAAAGCCTTAATCTTTGGGCACGTCCACCAAAGGTGAAAAAATGTACCTTCAATTTCTTTACATTTCCAACATTTGTTATCGGGCAAGTGATAGATTTTTGCAAGCTTGACTGGGGTTATGTACCACCTGTATATCATTTTCATAATATTCTCTCTTAAGGCATTACATGCCGTAAATTTCATACCTGTGGTCCATAACTGTTCCCAGTCAGCAAACATAATATTATGTCCAACGTCCTGTGCCCATTTAATCATAGCCGATTTTACCGTTTCATCCTGAGTATTCCATTTCAGCAGCAAGTTGTACATTCTTGACAAATTCTTAGTTTTGGGTTCTAACAATTCTGTTTCTAATTTGGATCTTTCCACCTGGAAGCCAATTTTCCTGTCCAATTTAAATGCCTCCATTATCTGATAATAATGGAGCCAGTCTCGCACTTTTTTAGTTTTTCAAAACTCTGCAATTTCAGTCTATCTCCATCTTGTTCCAAAATTTCCCAATATTTCGGCCATTTGACCTCCATATTGACCTTTTCAAGGCTTTCGCTTCCATTGGTGACAGCCACCTTGGGGTTTTGTTTTCTAACAAATCCTTATATCTTAACCAAACATTGAATAGCGCTTTCCTGACAATGTGGTTTTTAAATGCTTTATGTGCTTTGACCTTATCATACCATAGATATGCATGCCATCCAAAAACATTATTAAAACCTTCCAAGTCCAAAATGTCAGTGTTTTCAAGAAGTAGCCATTCTTTCAGCCAGCAAAAAGCTGCTGATTCATAATAAAGTTTAAGGTCTGGCAGGGCAAATCCACCTCTTTCCTTTGCATCTGTTAGTATTTTAAATTTTATTCTAGGCTTCTTGCCCTGCCAGACAAATTTAGAAATATCTTTCTGCCACCTCTTGAAACAATCCATTTTGTCCACAATCTGCAAAGTTTGGAACAAAAACAACATTCTAGGCAATACATTCATTTTTATCGCAGCAATACGGCCCAGCAGTGAAAGCTTCAAATTTGACCAAATTTCTAAATCTTTTTTTCACTTCAGACCAGCATTTTTCATAATTGTCTTTAAATAAGTTCCCATTTTTTGCTGTCATGTTAATCCCCAAATATTTAACTTTCTTAACCACTGTTAAACCTGTCTCATTCTGAAACCTCTCTCTCTCAATCGGTGTTAAATTTTTCTCTAAAACCTTGGTTTTTGACTTATTCAATTTAAATCCTGCCACTTGACCAAATTCTTGAATCAGTTCTAAAACCCTTTTTGTACTAGATTCTGGCTCCTGTAACGTCAATACTAAGTCATCTGCAAATGCTCTCAATTTGTACTGTTTAGTTCCGACCTAACAAGTTCCTACTTTGATTCCATTTTGTCACCAGATGAATAGCCTCCATTGTGATATTATTTTATTCTGCTCTTTTAGATTTTGCTGGTTTTAATCTTCTGTTTGTATGTTTTAACTGTGTTATTGGTTGCTGTTACAATGTGCTTTAAAGGTGGAGTAGAAATCTCCATAACAAATAAAGTAATAACTGTGTGGCCACAGGCCATGGGTGGCTCTTTTAAAACATTTCATTCTCACAGCAACTTAGCCCAAGAAGTACAAATGGCAAAACGAGCATTTAATGTGTGTGTTTTTTCTTCCCCCAGTCACTACAACTCTCTCCTCTGGGCCTGGACACACTAGACAATGCAATGAAACAGTCAAGTCCTATTGCGTCAACGGTGGCGTGTGCTACTACATTGAGGGCATAAATCAGCTGTCCTGCAGGTAAGTGAACAGATTTCTTTTTTTCCTGCACAAAAGAACCCTTGGAATCCAAGAGGGTAAGTGCTCTGTGCAAGAGGACAAGGTGTGACATTGCCTGATGGTCCCTTGGCAATGACTAAGAAGAGGAGCAGGCTTAGCTAAAGGCTGTGTCTGTGGCGCCAGGCCATTTCCCCCATTATCCTTGGTGTCTTATGCACCATCAGCACTATAACAAAAGTGCACCTAGGCTGGAAGTAAAAGCAACATCTCTATCTTTCTCTCCCCACTCCCTTCTTTCTCTGTCTGCTGTCTTCCAGATTCAGGTAGGTAGCCGTGTTGGTCTGACGCAGTTGAAATAAAATAAAATTTAAAAATTGTCCAATAGCACCTTTTAGACCAACTAAGTTTGTTCTGGTATAAGCTTTCGTGTGCATGCTTATACCAGAACAAACTTAGTTGGTCTATAAGGTGCTACTGGACAATTCTTTATTTTTTATTTTGACTGCTGTCTTCCAGTTTCTTCCAGTTGCAGGGAAGGATCACCCATTCCACTTTTCTTCACAATTTAGAATCAATATTTCGTGGTGCAGTTTGGCAATTTTAGAGTGTGAACTTAATTGCTTTAACCCAGCAACCCCCCTTTAGATGGGTATATTTACTTTAAAATGGGATAAGCAACTCCTACTGGGTTTGGGGGCCTCCTGCTCATCCTGCTGCGTGGGGCCCTGGAATTCTGCCCCAACACCTCCACTGTCATGAAGACACTGTCATCTCTTCCAGGGTAAAAAGCCTGGATATTACCAGTAATAGGCCAGTCTCTACCATTATGCCAAAGATGCCATCAGTCAGCAAAAAGGGATGCATTTCATACTTTTCCATTTCTAGTGGTCCAAAGTGAAATAAATAATCATTTAGTAAAACCAGAGCTTCATTTTCTGGGTGCAGAGAGTGAAAATCACATAATTTGGAGGGCTATATGAGAAGAAATTATAGATACAGTATTTGCCTATAAATGACTACTTGCTATAAGGCAAGTAGGAACTGAAAACTGGGAATTTTGTGTGGCTTCTAAAGGTTGCCTAATATAGACCTTATCACAGGAAAGGAATGTTTTTTTCATTGCTAGTTTCCAATGGTAATGGGTCTATATTACACAACCAACATCATGGGTATTCTGAAGAGAAGGTTTGTTGAGAGAAAGGACTGTGGAGATTGCAGCTGCAATCCTATGCACACTTTCCCAGGTATAAGCCTCACAGAATACAGTGTGACTGTACTTCCAAGCAAACATGCATAGAATTGCCCTGTGAGCCACCTGGAAAAGCTGACAGGTTACAATCTTTTGGCAGGACATTAATCAGGATGGTTGTTTCTGCTTGTTGTACCGGGATGGACAGTTTTCCCTCAGTTACTGGGATGGTCACCTCCAAACTTTGCCTCCATTCATGTTTGTGGCATTCTCCATTTCCATAGCAGACAAGACAATTCCACATGCCTTTTCAACATGTCAAGAAATCCTTTTGGTTATCTAAGCCCATTCCATCTCACTACCATGAAGCAGTGCCGATGCAGTTGTAGGCGGTTCTGCCAGCTTTAAGTATATATATATATATATATATACACACAAACACACACACACACAGTATGTAATTACAGTATGCAAAATCTAGATGCCACAACTGGCTGCGTATTTCAGCCCATGCAAACTACGGAACTGGGTGCTGGTAATATTCTGTATAGACCTGAAAACCATTGCTTTGTGGCGGAGCTGGTGCTATCATGAGGTATAGCTAAATTGGTAGAGCGTGAGACTCTTAATCTCAGGGTTGTGGCTTTGAACCCTATGCTGGCCAAAAGATTCCTGCTTTGCAGGCGTTGGACTAGAAGACCCTTGTCGTCCCTTCAGACACTACAATTCTATGATTCTATTTTTTTTATATATAAGATATTTACTGAAATTTTCCAAATGTAAATATAAAAATGACAAAAAAGAAAAAAAGAAGAAAAAAAGAAAAGATACAAAATACAAAATAAAAATGATTAAAAAAAACCACTCAATTTTTCCATTACTTATTTTTCCTTAGCTTGTTTCCCGGACCTCCTCATACCTCCCTTTTTTGTATTCCAGTTCAATTTGTTGGTTCAACAAATCCTTACTCTCTTTGTTTATCCTAATCTTTGGTCTTAAAATAGTAACGTTAGATTTTTACCTATTAACAACCCATTTTTCATATTCCCTTAAAGCATTACAGCTGGAAACCACTTAATTTCTATCCAACATCATTCTAACATTCATTAATTTTACAATATTTCTGTAGATAGTCTTTAAATTTCTTCCAATCTTCTTCCACCGACTCTTCTCCCTGGTCTTGGTACAATTCTGTGATTCTAAACAGGTGCAAATATTAGTTGACTAGTCAGCTTGCTATAGCTTCCTCACCACCTTGAAAAACTAAGCCTGCACAGTCCTTCCTTGCCTATTGGTTTGGAGGGAGAAGAGGGAGAAGGGTCTGAGCAGTTGCTGGAGGAGAGAGGAAGAAAAACTGGCAGGTAACTAGGGTTGCCATACGTCTGGAATTTCCTGGGCATAACCGGAAGCAGTGTCCAGGCAGAAATTGGCAAAAATGTCTGGTAAAATCTGGACGGATGGCAAGCCATGTCAGCAGTGTCGTTTTTGCCAATTTTCCTTAAAAAAAAAGCAGCTCAGAAAGCTCAACAATTTTTCACTTACTGAAATATGGCAACCCTACTAACTGCATCACTGTTCTATCATTCTCCTGTTTGCTTCCTGGCTTGTCTGAGAGAGAGTCTTTTGGGGTTCCTCTCAATTTGGGGAGGAGGGACTGTGCTCATTTGTGATCCAGTCAAAAGGTGTTTGTGTTTCCTTCGTTTGGGACAGAGAGAGAATCTGAAGGAAGCTGGATTAATTTCTGTGCTGGTGTATGTGGGGAAAGCTCTTTGCATGAGGACTGGGCTGAAGTAGTAAAACAAAATAAGGTAGAACAAAATATTTTGGGGACCAGAAATGAACGTGTGTAGTGTGTGCAGGAGAGAGAAAACTTGTAACACTACTGCATTTTTAATCAGATGTCTATTTTTGGAATCCTGCTGTCTTACTCTGTTTATATATCTTACAGAAGGCAAAGAAATGCTAGGTATTTTTATTTTTATTATTATTGTATCTTAAGATACATTTCGTCCTGGGAATTAGTAATTTGGGGATTTTCCCTAAGTACACAGTTCAGAAATTTTGGGATTCAGTCTCTTTACTTTAGTTTTGTGTTCCTTTTTGTTATTTGCAGTTGGTACTAGGTAGTTGTGCTCAGGTCAGCTCAGCTCTGGAAGAAGATTATCCTTGGCTCTGATAACATTTTCAACTCCATTTGACTACCTGCTTGTGGAATTACTATTACTTTTATTACACATTTTTATCTCATCTTTCCTCCAAGGAGCTCAGTGCAGCTTACAAGGTTCTTCCCCTTTCCCCATTTTATGTTCACAGAAGCTGTAGGAATTAGGTTAGGCTGGGGGGCAAATAAACTTCATGGCTGAGATTTGAACCTTGGTCTCTCCCCATTCCTAGTCCTTTGGGAAGAGGAGGCAGGTGACATAGTAACGTAGGTGATGATGTTTGCTCTCCCTATTGATCTGAAACAAAGTTATTTCTTCAAAGCCAGCTCTGGGCACATTCACTAACCAATCTTTGCAAATTGCTAAATTCTTTGCCACAGTGTTCATCTCATGGCAGGAAGAGCTATAACTCGGATTTACTCAAGCTAAATACAGACACTTGCTCTGCAAGTAGTGTGACTCAGTGTTCCCATTTGAGGCAGAATTTTCTGTAGGTGTGCTAAGGCTAAGCAGAGAACGCTTTTCTTATATATTTTCCTCTTTCTACTCTCATTTGTCTCTCAACGTAACTTTATGCATTTCCTGCAACTTCCTCTGTTCTCCTTTCACACTTAAGTTCTACATTACTCTGTCCCTCTCCTCTTATCCCACTTGCCAGTTTCTTTCATCCTTCCTGATACTTTCTTCCTCTATCATCATCATCACCACCACCACCATCCTTCTATCTCCCTTTCCTTCAACACTTCCTCTCCCTAGCCCTTTCCCTTCCGAGGAGGGAGACCTCCTTCCCCCTGCCTCCCAGTCACCTTTGCTCAGCATGTCAGAAGTTGGTGGTGCTGGCATTGGTCCAACCAAAAGGCTGCTAGAGAGTCGAGTAGGCATGGAAGGAGGTACTGGACAGGCTGTGGTACTGAGGCCCAACTGAAAGTGGTCCAAGGCTTGCAGCACAGTTGGGCATGACTTGGGGAAAATGGCCTCATGGGTCAAAGTAGGGTCTCTACTTTGGCCTTCAGGTTGAGGTTCACCACCGATCAAATGAACAAACATCATTGTAGGCATTAAAAAACTGAAAGGCCTTTTTGCCTCTGCAGAAAATGATCCCTAAAGACACAGAGTACTTTCACATCATCCCTACTCTGAAATGCTCTAGCGTCCCCACCAGCCTATCATGAAAAAGATAATAGAAGTGCTTCCTATACTCAGGCAGTCACAATGAAGGCCCATACAGCTCCTGCGGAGCCCCAGGTCTTTATCTGCATGGTTTGATTTCACACCATGGAGTAGGCAGAGAATGACGTTTCACCTGATGTCAACCCCCCACCTGTCAACGTGGCTCACAGTGATTGTGGGAGATCAGGGTCCAGCTCACTAGCCAGATCCAATTTCCCACCCTTGGCCTTTTCATTAACATTACATTTTCTTGCGCTCTCTCTCCCTCTCTCTCAACTTAATTTGGATTTATAGACATTATTACCTAGTAGGAGTGGCCTAGTCCAGGGGTCTGCAACCTTTAAGACAAAAAGAGCCACTTGGACCCGTTTCCGAAGAAAAAAAAACTGGGAGCCGCAAAACTCGTCATTATAAAAATAACTTTTTGGTCACTTTTATTATTATTTCTTTGTTTGACCCTTCAGAATTACTCCTCCTCATAGAAATAAACGTTAAATTAACAAGTTACCTTTTTGTGTGTGTGTTCTTCACTCCCCTTCAAAACAGTGACCAGCGTACATGCCCCCTTTCAATATAGCGGGCGGGCGGGAAGGTGACGTCGGGACGGTGCGTGACTAACGCACGCACCGCCCCCATGCGACGTCACAGCCAGTACAGCGCCCGCCACAGTGGGGAGTGTCGGGGTGCACAATGTGCCTCCTCCCCTCGCTAGTATCTGCCCCGGAGCCGCGGCAAAGGTGTAAAAGAGCCACATGCGGCTCCGGAGCCGCGGCTTGCAGACCCCTGGACTAGTCTGTTTCGCTGCCTGAAGTGAAATGGGAATATGCAGCAGCATTCACTGAATGATCCCAGTTTAGTTGGGAACGCTGAATAAATCAGAAATCCAGAATCATAAATCAGAAGATATTGTCCTCAATTTGACTTTTTGTTTTTGGTGATATCATCGTGAAGCTGACTGTGTTGTGATGTCACCCTAATCATCGCATGATTCCTGATTGGCTGGGATTCACCATGTGATCCAGGAAGGTTGTATAATCAGAAGGGATAAGTGATGTCAAAGCAAAAGTATCTGGTAGAAAACAAGACACTGACTAGGACTGGAAGAAAAGGAGAATATTTTCACAATCAGCATTGGGGGGGAGGATACTTCTATCCCTGTCCTCCAGAACCCATATTTCTGGCCTAAAATTTGAAACAGAATAATATTTATCACAATTTTACTCCATATGCCCATGGATTTTTAGCAGAGATCGCCAAAAGAGAGAAATTCTGACAGGATATTTTAGCCAAACAGACTTCTTGCTGAAATACGTTTGACTTTCTTCCAATGTGTATCAGCTGTTTGGTGAAACCATTGTGGCAGACTGATGGCAAAGTAGCTTTCTTCATACTAACTGGGCACCTGAAATGCAAGATAGGATTGAGGTATGGAGCTGGCTTTCTCCCTGAGACAAGAATATATGAAGAAAGATAAGAGTTCTGTGACACTGAATGGACATGGATCCCGTTACTTGGTTGGCTTTCACTGAATAACTGCAGCTCATCTTTCAGGGACGGTTCTTGGCCACTGTTTGAGGAATGAAGGTTGATCTCTTTCCTTGCCCATCCCCCTACTACATCCTTCCCTTTCTTGCTTCCTGTCCATAGCTATTGCTATAGTATCTATTATAAAATTTGGAAAAATCCTGAAAAATAATAAATTCAATATTTTCCGCTTATGAAATATTAGAAGGTTTGGAACTGGATCATAGAAGATAGAGGTTGGGGATAGCTGCTGTTGCTTAGAGGCTGAGACTGCTTTGGGGTTGAGCTCCCTGCCTGTTAGCTGCTTAACTTACGTAAAATAGACAACTGTTACAAAAATACCATAAGTCTCTATTGCTGTATTACCCAAAGTAAGCTACCAATGCAATTATATACATGCCTCCTCCAGCTGTTGGTCCCACTGGGTTCAATGGGGCTTACTCCAAGGTAAGTGGGTATAAGATTGCAGCCTAAGTGGCTTTCTAAAACTCAGACTCCCCACCAGTTGGAGAAAGAAACTTGGAGACACCCAAATATTCCATTTCCTGTTTCTCTAAAATTAAGGAAGAATATTGCTCCACAAATAGATTTGTGGGAAAGGCATACAACATGACTGGCTTTATAAAAACTAACATTCCATCCATCCAAGTATCTTTATTGTTGTTGTTGTTGTTGTTGTTGTTGTTAATTTGACTTACCAACTATCTGAATGGCCACCTTCCGTTATGCTAATTGCCCTCTATGGAGCAGTCGGCTGCCTGGTGGTGGGGGTGTCACTGATGAGTTGTCAATAGCCTCACATCATGCTGCCATGGATTTCCTTGTAGGCCACAGGCAACAACTTGGATTTTGAACGACCTGGGATACTCTTAAAGTAAAATTGCCATCAAACTTCCTTCTAAAACAAAATTAAAAATTAATTTCATTAACTTGTTTTGAACAAAAATAATTTCAGTTTTCAAATGTCTCTTAGCAGGTTCCATATATCTCTCTTGTCTGGATTTCCCCTAAAGAGACAAAACAGCCAAGGAATTAAAAACAAAGGCACTCAGTTGCAGCAATGCAGACGCAGCATTATTTCATAATCTGATTCCCCCAATCAGGATCTGACACAACCATAATCAGAAACAGGGCAAAATTACTGTAGATAATTTACAGAACAACAACAAAGGAAAAAAAGCAAAGGGAAGAGAGAAAGACACACTCCGCAACCATCCTGGAATTAAGGAAGCCATCCCAGCTTCTGATAGGAACCCGGAATGTCTTGTTTTTTGGTCCTGCTCTCTGGGGTGAGTCAGCTGGCTTGCACCAGTGCCAGACCAAAAGATGCTCATTTTTAGGTTCCACACTCTCGCATGATTCACCTGTCTCCCACAAGAGCTCGGGACCAAAAAACAAGCTCCCTGATTTTTCTCGGTGGGATGTTGGAGGGTATGGAAAGAGAGGTTGTGTCCCAAGGTGCTTATAGGGAAAACAAATGTTTTGGGGGTGAGTGAGAAGCAAGGGTAACCAAAGGACCAAGAATAGCGAGAAATGGAAGAAGTGAATAAATGAGATGCCTATGAGCAAGTGATATCTGTTTTGGCTTTGTTTCATTGGAGGATGAGGACTGAGGCAGTAAACCAAGTGCTTCGAAGAAGATGTAGATTTTTTAAGAAGAATCTGAAGGAGGGATGAGTAAAAAATCTTGTGATTCCTCCGATCCTCAAGAGTCTTGTCCTCCTGATCATGTGTACTATAGTCAAGTTTCAACTGTTGGCTTTACATCACCCTTTTCTCCCTTGGTCTTGCTCTCCAAATTGCTCTGATCAGTCGCCAGTACACTGGGGAATGGACTACAGGTATATAACACCTGGGATTATATGCCTGCACTAATTCTGGTGAATAGGTTCTCACTTCCCATTTCTCACATACTGTCACAGTTGCTTTGTCTAGGGATGCAAGATGAACTTTATATCTTGAAAATGAAGCTGTTGATTTAGTTCAGGGAGCCCTTAACGTGCATTTGAGATTTCTTAGAGCTAGAATAATATAAGAGAACCTCCTTCCTTATAACAGTAACCAAAGATCAGTTTTTCAAAGCCAAATTCTATTGTTTCACTGAGTGACAGCACAGGGCTTCTCTGCCAGTAGGGATTGTGACTGGAACTTGAATATGCACTAAATTTTGCATGCTATTAAATAAAAAATAGAGTTTTGCTCCTTCCAGGTTATCCTTTGCCCAGATCCTTTATTATGCAGATCAGAGACTTCTGTATTTCCTACACAATCTAAATAATAACCTTTAAAAAACTAGTTTGTACACAAATGATCAAAACAAATGGGAATATGAGAAAATTATTCAGGAATCTTCAGCAATATTTGACTTTATATATTAATTGGTTTAAGAAAGGAGAAATTAATTTGGACCAAAAGCATAATGGCTAACAACATAATTCCTCACTTGATGAAGGAAAAGTTTGCAGAGATGTTTTTCTAAATGTGATGCCAATGCCTTTTTAAAATAATTGCTTCCCCCACTGCTGCTTCTTCCCCAGATTGTGCTAATGGGGACTATAGCTTGATTTCTCCAGGTGGAAATAAATTCATAGCTAGAGTTTGTTTGTCACTGATTGGAGTTAACTTTGCCAATATGAATCTGGGGAAAACAATATGAGGGAGCGGCATCTGAATCAGGAAAGTCCATGCAGGACCCAGACGGATGCCCAGATGCAGTGGTGGGTTGCATGAGGGAAAATAAGTTGAGTTTGACTCCTGGCAAGGCAGAGCCTCTGAGGGTGAGTGGTTACCGTGCCTCAGATATAGGCCAGCTGCCTGCCCTGGATGGGGTTGTATTCCTCTGAAGGAGCAGCTGTGTAATTGGGCATCGCTCCTGGATCCAACTCTGTTGTTCGGAACACCTTCCACTAGAAGTGCAGAAGCAGTGACTGTTCTTCTGATGGAATGGCTTGATCACAGTAGTTCAAGCACTGGTAATTTCAAGATTGAATTATTATGATGCACTATGTGTGGGGCATCTCTTGTGGTCGGTACGGAAGCTGCAGTTTCTGCAGAATGCTGTAGCTCGATTACTGACAGGAGTAAGATCTGGCCAGGAGCAGTGGTGCTGCAACAGGGGGCGGTGTGTGTGTGTGTGTGTGTGCTTCGCCCCGGGTGCCATGTCTGGGGGGGTGACAAGAAGGCACCCCATGGGGGCTTGTCCAGTGGCGGCGGCGTGAGCAGCCATCGCGCCGCTGCAGCTGCATGTGGAGGATCCTCTGTTCGTGGCTGCAGCTGCAAGCAGAGGATCCCAGCGCAGTCAGCAAACCGCTATGTACAGCGCATGTGCAGTGTCGTATGCATGCACTGTATGTAGCGATGCCGCACATGCAATGTACAGCGCGGTTTGCCATCGGTGCCGCTCGAACGCCGTACGGACGGTGGTGGGATCCCTCCATTGTCGCTATAGCCACATGTTAAGGATCCCAGCACCGTCCATATGGCACCGGAGCAGCGCCACCGGCAAACCACTATGTACAGCGCATGTGCGGCATCGCTACGCACGGCGCATGCATCATATGTAGCTATGCCGGACATGCGCCCTATGTAGCGATGCCTGCCCCGGGTGTCACAACGCCTTTGTTCTCCCCTGGCCAGGAGATTACATCTGTGCTTAAAGATCTGCACTGCCTGCTGATTTGCTAGGAGCCAAAGCTCAAGGTCTTACATATAAAGCCCTTAATAGCTTGGGACCAGTTTACCTGAAGCATGGCTTTGCGCCCTGTGTGCCTCACTCAGATCTATGAAACTTGGACTCTTGCAAGGACTGCACCATACAATGTTCACTCTACATCTGTAGGAAGGTCAGCTTTCAGTTTGGTCCTCTGGACCTTCCCACCTTCATTATGCTGTTGTAGACAGCTGCTAAAACCCATTTTGTTTTGGCAAGTCTATTTGGACATGTAAATGAGCTATGAATACCTGTTTTAAAGTTTTGCTGATTTTTATTTTTATATTGATAATTGTTTTATTCTCTTCTATGGTATACCACTTGAGGATTCTTTAATAAAGCAGACAGCTTGTACATTATTCTAAATAAAAAGAAATAAGGGATGGCTTACTACAGTGTAAACACTCTCTGAAAGGCAGAGAAAGACACACGATCATCCTGTGTGCTATCCAAACAGTACAGAAATGACAACTATTGCATAGAAAGTGACCTCAGTCCCTTTTCCCCCTCACGGAACTACAATTCCAATGGTCAATCCCTCTTTCCAGGGAATTCTGGGAATTGTGAGTGGAAAGGGGGTCTCTTTACAGCTCTCAGCAGCCTTAACACACTACACTTTCCAGGATTCACTGGGGGAAGCTGCAACTGTTTAAAGTGGTATGATTTTGCTTTAAATGTACAGTGAAGATGGAGCCTTAGAAGTAAATCCAGCATGATTTTTCCGGGCATTCTGGGTTTAAAAGAACCGGGTTACATGCAGCTTTGCTCGCTAGGTGAACGGGTGATGTTAGCTTCGTTCCTTTCCAGTGCTTATCCAAGGATTGCCTTTTAAGTTATTCCAGAGCTATGCATTGCAGTCCTGTGCATATTTACTTAGAAGTAAATCTTCCTAATTTCAATGGGACAGCTCCCTAGAAAGAATGCACAGGACTGTAGCCTTGTGGTTAGAAGATGTGTATAGTCAAAACACGGGTATTCCCCTCTGACCATGTTGTAAGAGCATTCTCCTCCTCATTTGCTCACTTTGGGTTAAAGAAGATGACCTTTTGTTTTGCTAGATGGTGCCTTTTTGAAGAGATGCCTTTAGATTTGTTTTCCTAGTGGCATAACTTATTTTCACTTACTTATGCTTTCCATAGCCAGCTAATTATATTGACAGGTTGAAATTAGCATCAGACAATCTGAACAAGATACTGACAGTCCCAGAGATCATGACTGTATCACACATAAGGAAGAATGATAAAAAATTGGGAACAGCACCCTAACACCACTTCTTGCCCCAATACAACACATTTAGAAATGGGGGGTTATTCAAATCCCTAGGCATGGACTAGTGGGCCTTCTCTTTTTTTCTCAGGGCTGAAACCAATTGCCCCTGTGCAGGGCGGGGGGTAGCTGGGAACACTTGCCCCAGGCTTTGGAGGGCTGAACTGTCCGGACTCCCCCACCCGGGGCCTGAGAGGCTTACGCTGCCCCGCCCTGGGCTTCAGACAAGCTCTGCCTGGACCTGCCCTCTAGCTTGCATATAAATTAGAAGACTAAAGCCTTCAGAAAGCACGGGGAGGGAGTGGAGCAATTGCACAGAAAAGGAACCAGGTGGCCCCCATTTGACACTGCAAAGATTAGATCAAGGTGCCTTACATTAGATGCTTTCATTTTTTTTAATTCATCGCTGTGCACTTTTATTTCTAACCCTAGCCTCAAGGATGATGCCAGCCTTGTTCTGTGATTTGTCCCCTTTTCCTCCTCCAGATGTCCAAATGGATTCTTCGGACAGAGATGTTTGGAGAAACAGCCTTTGCGATTGTACATGCCAGATCCTAAGCAAAGTATGTTTGAAGAAAAAAATTGCACCATACTACTTATAATCTCCTGGGTACAGCGCTGGATTTAGAATGGCATAGTGAGGGTGTTCTTTTGAGTTAAGATCTGGGTTAAGGTTTAGGGTTGCAGGTAAGGGACCAACCCCAGGCGCACCAGAGGAGAAATCTCGAAAGGGAGCTGATTTGGCAGCAGAAAGAGCCTCGTTTCAGTCTGTTTGGATGTCATGCTATCTTGTTTCTCTCTCTTTCTGGTTTTCTTTCTTTTGTTAGGTGTCCGAACGAATTCACAGGGGACCAGTGTCAGAACTTCGCAATGGCCAGCTTCTCCAGTATGTCTCTTTCCACTTCTCTCTTTCTCTGTTTTATCATAACACACTGTGTGACACCTTTAAAGCAGCTCTTTTCTGAATAGGAACCTTCACTTTCCTGCTTTGTGCTTCAGTTGTTATTGCTCCTGATTCTAATCTGAACAGAACTCACCACTGATGTATAGTTCAGGCAAAATCTAAATGCAGCAAGGAATGAGGCTGTGTACGCATTGTCATTTATTCTGGCTCCAGTGTGCTCCTGAATCTGTGCACAGGCAATATTACCCACAATGTAGAGCTATCCTGTAGTTGGTTGAGAAATAATGCTGTTTGATGCATTTGGTCTCAACACAGCTTAAATCTGAAAGCAAAACTTAAGCCACATTCACTTCACATTTCAGCTGAGGTGTCTGTGTTTGTGAGAGCAATTGCACATGTGTGTGCTTCATGAATAGTAATTTGGGGAAAATTTACCGGGGCTGGGAAAACAAAACAGGTTAATGAACACTGAATGAATACATCCCTACCTCACCTCTCGTGTGTACAGCAAAATGCAAAAGCAACTTGAAACACAGTAGGAAGGAAGCAACTGCAGCATTGCTAATGTGTACATAGCCTGAGTCCAGTTAATCTGTGAGCTGCCCTGAAAGTGTCCAGCCTGCAAGGAGGTCATTAGTTCATTATGTCACAAAGCATAATGCAAGGCGATCGTTCTTCTTGTCCTCAGAGCTATAACAATTTGGCAATTAGATGAAGATTGCGCCTAAGTCTGAACTTTAAAAACAAGTCCAGTTTTATTCTAAGGGCACTCTATGATGGCAACAGAGGAAGTGACTGCAGCTAAAAAGACATGGAGAGAACCAAAGTTCTCTGCTGCCATCAAATGACCCTATAATGTGTCAGTGTTGCCGATCTGAGGACTATATGATGCCATTTTGTATCAAGACAATGACACTATTAGTAACCCAACCTGTAGCCATACCTGTGTTGACCCATCTGTTCCCAAATGCCTGGCAGCTAGCGTAAATCCCTTGTGCCAGCATGGGGACCCTGCAGCTCAGGACCACTGAGCAGCGATCCACAGAACCAGGACATCCTGTTATTTGATTTTCCAGAAGTGTTGTTCACTATGAAGTATGGGTGGGTGGCTGCTTTTTTACACAAGTTTGAAAAAAAATTGGAAGTCTTTGCTTTCAGACCCAAATTTGATATTATAGTTGATACCAAAAAGCTGGGGAAATGTAGGTAACAACAAAAACAAATTTTGAAAAAAGCATGTTTTGGACCTTCCAGTTTCACCTCTGCTGGATTTGCTGCTCAACGCCTTAAATGGCACTGCAGCCTATCACAATGTGCCTTGCATGGTAAAATGAGGACTAGGTGGAAGGGTAGCAATGGCTATAAAGGGAGGATGGCTGGTGAGCATACTGCCTGCTGCACAAGCTTGTGTATTGGCTTCTACACGAGGAAGTGCACTTTGGAATATTGGTATCGGGTTTCAGGATGTGGCCTCCGCCCTCCCCCCATTTTCACTACTGGTGGTTTTTAGTGGATTGGGGGGATATAAATGTTTAAATAAATGATATTTTCTGCATACATGGCTAATTTCATTGCAATGCAACCTTCTTTGAACAAATGATGCTTAAGAACAGTGATGCTCTTGCTTTTAAGAGCTTAGGATAGGAATTCCGGCCATATAAGTCCTACACTATGTCATAAAGAGTATTCAATAATCTGAGCCTTACGAGGTTTTGTAAACTATAAACTAAACCAAAACAAACACAAAACCCAATAAAATAGTTTTAAAGTTCCAACAGAATACTTCCACTCGTGCAAGTAAACACGAGTCTAAACATATGCATGTTTAGTTGGTACCGTAGTCATATGCAGGACTATTTTTTCCTAAATTCCGCGGTAGTTTAGTTCAATGGGGGAGCATCTGTTTTGCATGGAGAAGGTTCCAGGTTCAGTCTTTCGCATTCCTAGGTAGGGCTGGGAAACCCTCCCCTCTGGAAACCCTGGCTAATGCCAGTCACGGCAGACAAACCTGATGGATCCATGGTCTAACACTGTGCACAATCTCAGTCCGGGAAGACTGGGAAGGTTTTAAATGAAAAATCAGGAGAATAATTTTTCTCTTACTTGGCCAGCCCAGAAGGAAAAGCGGAAGCTTTGGAAAAATCAACTTTTTATAAGAGGAAAATGAAAGATCCCTAAATGAGAGGGAGCCCTATTTACCGTATTTTTTGCTCTATAAGACTCACTTCCCCCCCCCCAAAAAAGTAAGGGGAAATGTATGTGCGTCTTATGGAGCAAATGCAGGCTGAGCAGCTATCCCAGAAGCTAGAACAGCAAGAGGGATTGCTGCTTTCACTGCACAGCAATCCCTCTTGCTGTTCTGGCTTCTGGGATTCAGAATATTTTTTTTTCTTGTTTTCCTCCTCCAAAAACTAGGTGCGCCTTGTGGTCTGGTGAGTCTTATAGAGCAAGAAATACGGTAAATGAACAATTGCCCTCACCAGAAAAAACTTAGACTCTCAGTTGTGAGTGAAACTGAGGGGCGGGGATTAAGATTTTGTCCCCTTTCAAGTTACAGACAGGAGTAGCATTCCATTTATTTATTTGTTTTGTAATGCAAGGCTAAAGAGGAGTTTGCTGAAATGCAGGAGCAACGGTAAAAGTAACATTTCCATAGCAGTTTCTTTCATACAGCAATTTCTAGAACACTGTTAGAGGTTTTCTAATATTATACAGGATGCAGGAAAATAAAATTTGTGGATTATGTGAGAGGAAACATAAATCCAAAATATTACTTGAAGGGGGGCAAGAATGAACCTTGATTGTTCTCTAAACCTTGGACAACCATTTCATTTAATGATTGTTTTATGAAACTGCTTTGCAATCTTTGTTTCAACACGAAGCCTCGGTTTACGGAACTGTAGCTCAAGGAAAGCATTAGTTAACTGTTACTTCAAAATATTTTTAAGAGTTGATCTAGTGCAACATCTTTCTAGAAGTGTTCAGTAGAAATGTAAATCAGAACGAAATAAAAGGAGCAAGCAGGTAAAATAAAAAGCCTCTTTCCTTCACATATCAGTTAACATAGACTATAATGAGGCCAGAGGCCTCAGGTAGGTTTAATAGACCTGGGGGTGGAGAATCTTATGAAGAAAAGGAGGGCCATATTTGAGTTTCCTTAGACCACAATCTGACTAGTTTACACACCTACCTGGAGAAGGCTAGGACTGCATTCCATAAAACAGTTCATTTTAGGACACCCTTGTTTTCATCAGAGAAATGTTGGAGGGTATGCATTTAGCTATCACATATCTTCTCTGTAACAGTGACCAAGCCTTTATTTTTATCATGGCCCACATAGTGCAAAGAAGAGCCAGAAGATGCTATCTCTAGGCATGCATGGTCTAGAGAGGGTGGTGGGTTCTTTAAAATCATATTGTGGGAAACCTGGGCTCAAAAGAGGGCTTTTGCATTCCAGCCATGTACCTCCAAATGCTTCCTTGTTAAAATTCAAAAATCACAATTTCCTTATGGTTGCCTCAGTTTCTCATATTAAGCCCCCAAACAGCTGTTTCTCTAGCACTGCAGTGTGCTTGTTAGGTTAAAAGGTGTCAAATACAGAGGCCAATTAGTACAGTAGATTAAAAATAGGGCTCTTTATTGGAAAGATCAGTTAACAATATAAAATACAAGAAGACATTCCTAAGAAATTATCTAACCCATAGAGGTAGGGCCCAAACCTTGATAGATTCAGAGTTTAAAGTCAAATAAGGACATAAGAAGCAAATGACCAGCCTCCATACCTTTAAAGCACATTTAATCAGAAAACAGGAAGAGCAGACTAGAAATTATCTCCAGCAGCAAAATCTCCAAAGAAGCCAATAGAATCTGTAAATGATTTTCCCACTGCTGGTCTAACCAGTTCCCCTCCAGTGTGTTTGTAGGCAAATTGGGCAGCGATCAGCTAAGCAGCAGGGGAAGTGGTAGTTATCTTCAGGTAGATCGTGTCCTCCCTCAAAGAGGTGAGACCTGGAGACCGACCTCCTGTGTTGTAGGTGGGTAAGATTGGATAGCCACAACACCCGATTGGTAGGTCCCTCGATGTTGGGTTTAATCTGGCCAATGGGGCGCAGTCCAAACGGATCGAGGGACCTATATATACCCATGCATGTGACCCAGAACTTCCTCTTTCAGCTCGTGCATTTGGAACACCAGCCCACCTCTCCCTACTTTTAGGGCATTTTTTGCAATTGACCTTGCTATGCCATCGTGTGTCGTCTGTCATTGGGACAGGGGCACAGCAGGAATTTTCCCCACTTGGCTGATTGGCTGTTGCCATTTGGGTTTCACCTGCCGCGTAGCAAATCATCACAACTTGTAAGGTTGCGGATAGGCACTGGTTCAGGTGATAGGGATGGGAGAACGGTCTCACCATCCCTATGTGAAGGGTCTTCTGTTAAAGGAATCCAGGGACTCAACTTGGTTTGGTCAACCCCCGAGAGGGGTTGCCTGAGTCCAGGGGAGCATCTGGAGGGTGAACATAGTCTGTTCCTGGCTTTTTGCCTACCCAGGTGTTCACCCTTGGCTGACCTATGCTGGTGCCCTGGGTCAGCGCTACCTGCGAAGGTACAGGGAGCTAGTCAAACCGGAGCCTGTGCAACCACTCACTTTCTGTAATCAATAAAGTTGTGGCCTAAATTCTGCCAAGAACCAAAACTAAAATTTTAGTCGAATGTGTCTTTATTTAGGGGGGAGGTCTCTGGGTCTGAACACACAAAAGCAAACACCTTACTCTTCATGAGTGAAGCTCCTATACAAATAGCAAGATGCTCCAGGGTAACTGCGCCCTGAGAATGGAGGTCTTCCACATGACTGTCATCTGTTAAGTGCTAAGAAAGATGATTGGGGCTGAGAAAAGAAGGTAATGTGAAGGATAAGTTTTTAGTGAGCAGAATAACTGAGTTTGCACAATGCATTCAATAGTTACGTGGCAGAAACAACTTTCCAGCGAATGGGTGAATTTGTAAGCGGTTTAAACTTTCTTTTAATCTGAGGAGGGGTTGATTCCATAATTTATTTATATTTTGAAAAAAGAAATTGACGGAATTATGTAAGCCCTCTGAAGGAAGGTGACAAAATTTAACTTCGATAATAGCTGTTGAAAGCATTTCACACACATTGCCTGAGTAATTTTTACATCAAACCTATATATGGTAGGCCATTTTATTATTAGTCTTGTATGATCCCTCTTTTATTATTGACTTCAGAGTTGTCAAATAGGTCAGGAAGTGTGCCAGGCATACCATCCAGTCTGTTATTGTTAAAATGAAGGGGAGGGTCTTAAAGCCGAGGAAGAACAGCTTGCAGCAGTGCTGGCTTTTATCGTAGATGGAAAATGGAGTGAATCTGTGGCAGAGATCTGAAAACAAAAACCAGCAGAAATTACTTGAGGAAGGGAACCAAGTCACAATATGGATTTCTTTGCGAGAATTTAGCGTATCAAAACCAATGACAAATCTTAAAGATAGGAAATGAAGACATATATGACTTGAGTAATGTAATCTTGCTCTCACATGCACATAGCATCTTTCCGCCCTCTTCCACCATGAAGTAGCAGCTGCAGCCGCTCCTCCCCTATCTTGACTGTGTCCTGGTAGGTGAGTCAGGGGTTTCCCTTCCACACCGTTCTTCTCATAGGCAGCTGGCTCACTGATTCTTATAACATTACTATTATATTATTATACATTAATACAGATCCATTTTGTAAAGTGCCAAGTACATTGTTTCACAGGCAACAATAAAAAGGTCCCTGCCTCCAAGGTACTCTAGGCTCTAAAGGATCCTCTGAAGTTTCCAGTGTATGCCATTATAATGGAAATGTTCCAGACAGGGATGGAGCTGTGATGCTCTTCCTATGAGGATGCCCGACTAGAGAGGTTGCCTCTTTCCCCAGGCTTGTGGTATTGGCTCCCTGATGAAGAATTGTGTAACTCACTTGTTTGGTTTTTCTGCAGTCTGAATGTATCCTCAGACCATGTTTTTCAAACTTTGAGTTAGGGTCAAACCTTCTTGAATTGGGATTCTTTTTTCTTTCTTAAAAACCCCCAAACAGCAGTAGTTTTGTGAAAAGGGTCTGGGCTTCCTCAAACTCAGACCTCCAGATGTTTTGCGTCCCTGACCACTGGTCCTGCTAGCTAGAGATCATGGGAATTGTAGGCCAAAAACATCTGGGGGGCAGAGTTTGAGGAAGCCTGGAACCCTTAACCACTCCTGCACATGCCAATAGTTCAAATCATTATTCCTCCATTACCCACCCAACCTCATGACTGTTGTTAATTTTTAAAAGAAGGAGAACCCCCAGTATGGGACTCAAATATTTGCTTAACATCACTATCACTTCTGGTTTCATACTTAGATTTTTGTATTTGCTTTTAAGGTTGTTTAAAAAAAATCATTCTTCATCTCCCTGCACTTTAAAACTTGGGAAGTTCCCTGTGGCCAGTTATCGGAGAAGACATGGAATGGTTAAAACACCCTGATCAGCCAAAAAGAAGAGGAAAACATCAGATATCAATAAGCATCCCAGGAGTTATATGCAAATAGCCTTGGTCACAATCTGTAGAAGCCTGAAGGGAGATGGCTGGTGCTCAGGATGCTGCTGAAATTTTAGCTTACCTAAAGGCAGGAGCTTGCTTGTGGTGGCCCCATCTTAATTGATATGATTACCAAGTGTACACCTTGGGGCTTCAACAAAATGGCCAGCATTTACTCTCTCTGTCCCCTTGCCACAGGTTTTCCTTAACATTCAAACTGAAGAAGAGTTCTGGAGAACTCAAAAGTTTGCCCACTGTGATTATTGGATTTGCTAATCAGCTGAAATTACTGTACAGTGGTACCTCGGGTTAAGTACTTAATTCGTTCAGGAGGTCCGTTCTTAACCTGAAACTGTTCTTAATCTGAAGCACCACTTTAGCTAATGGGGCCTCCAGCTGCCACCGTGCCGCCGGAGCACGATTTCTGTTCTCATCCTGAAGCAAAGTTCTTAACCTGAGGTACTATTTCTGGGTTAGCAGAGTCTGTAACCTGAAGTGTATGTAACCCGAGGTACCACTGTATATGATTTTATGTCTCCTGTGTGCTGGGGAGTCAGTGCAGTCTTATTGGCCACTAACAGAATGTAAGTTAAAAAAAACAAGCCTTCAGTCAGGAATAGGACAGGGAATAAAATGGATTCAGTTTGCATTTAAAGCGTTTATCAAATTTGCCCTTTCCAAAACATTGTAGGAACCGAAACACGGCCATCCATCAAAATTCTCATTTATTTACTATATATGAAATATGCAGTTCTCCAGCCAAACAACATTCACAAATATGCGTACATATTTGTGAACAAAGTGCACATAAACGTTATATTTGTGAAAATAACATACAAAAGGTGCATCAATTTAGATAAAATTGCTTGCGAAAATTTGTACATTAGTCAAAACTGCATGTTAAAATGTGTTTATGGGGGGTGCACCAAAATGCTGAAGAATTTTCAAACCTTAAAGAAAATCACAAATTGCAGCAGAAATGTGGAAATACGAATTTAAGATTGAAAAAATGAAAAATTGAGAGAACTGAGATTGATAGATTCTTCCAACCCAAGTCAGGAACATTGAATCTGTACTTTCATTTCCTCTACTTTCTTTTCCTTTCTCCGTTTTCTGTATTGGTTGAGTTATTATGCACAAATAATATTAGACTATAACTTTTATTCTTTCCTTTGGGCAATAATTATATTTCTGGGCATAATTAATTGCCCTTTTTCATTTCTCCTGTTGTGTGGATAATGCAAACTGCTATCCCAAACCATTAATGTTTATAAGAGATAACACTATTTCTTAAATGATTCTTGGTGTTCATAAATGATTTCTTAATTTAGTGCAGACTGTGGAAAATGCCTTACAGCTTGATCTTAACCACATTCACTTGGAAGTAAATTGATTTCAAGAGGACTTACTTTGAAGTAAATGCGTTTAAGATTCAGCTGAAAATGTCTTGCATAAATTTCATTTCGTTGCAGATGTAATGGTATGTCCTGTTATGCTTCAGTCCTTCAGAAGTTGTTCATTTAAGCTGCAGTCCTGTACATGCTTACCTGAGTGGAAGTCACATTGAACTCAATGGGACTTACTTTTGAGTAGACATGCATAGGATTGTATTGTTACTGCTATATATTGTCATAGGCATGTATGGCAGTAAAAAAGGGTTGTATACATGTGCAAATCTACTACCTCAATGTTGCAACAATAGTGAGAAGGAAAGATCTCTTTAGCAAGAATACACCTATACTTAAATAAAAGTATATGTGATAAATGCCTATTCTAAAATCAAATTCCAGGTGCCAATAGACATGCTTGCTTTTGAAAAAGCCCTTATTAATTACCATTGCAGATCTAGCTAGGCATTCTTTTATATGGAATGTTTTAAAAATAAACTGGGGGTGACAGTTCTGTATGCTTTGATGCTTCTCTTGTGATTTTGAAAGCTGATGTATTTTATGTTTTTTTTTAAGTATTTTAAAATATTTGGTAATCTCTCCCACCAACCTGTTTCTCTTTTCTCCTTTCCTTCTCTGTTCTCTTTCTGCACTGGCAGAGCACCTGGGATTAGAATTGAAGGGTATGGACTCAACCATTCATTTGTTAACCAGATACCATTACGAGCTGCTGACAGTCCTTCATATTGTATTTTGATAGCTTCAGTGGGATGGTTTTAAAAATCAGTTGTTCTGTTCATTGTTCTGGCACAAATTGGGCCAAACATAATACCTAAAATTACACTAAAGGAATTAAATCCTAAATAATCTGCATGGGTTTATTGCAGCACTTTCCCCACTCGCCTTAGTGGGAAACGTGTCTACCTCAGGTGACATTAGTGGGCTGCAGAGACTGGTCTTTGTCAATTTTCACTTCCGTGCTGCATTATGTTTGGATGTAAACTGAAAAATTGATCGTGTCATTCTGGAAAACCATCGGCTTGTATAGTGGGAGCAGTGGACAAACATTCCAGTAAGGAAAAGGTTGGTGTGAAAGAAATTAGGAAGTTGCAGCAATTCTACAAAGCTACCCTGGCTCTGAAAAAATAATCATGGAAAAGTCTGCTTTTATTTTCGCCTCTGCCTCACCCCATTATATTCCTTGTTCGTTTGGAAGGAATCAATTTAAAATGATAGAGCTAGGGAGGTCAGGAGGAACTCTTTGTTGCTGAACTACAATTCCCACCGAAGATGGCCAGTGGCCAGGGATTATGGAAGTTGTAGTTCGACAACATCTGGAGGACCAAAGGATGCCCATCTCTGAGGGAGGCATATGTTGAAATGTAAGGCCCCATAGCAGCCCGGTCCTATTTCACCAACACTAGTGCTAGGTTTAGATGAAACCTACAGCTGTTCTGAATATGACACAAAATAAGATGAAACCAACAGCTGTTCTGAATATGACACAAAAAAAGTAAAACCTTGGGTGGTAGGTTTCTGGGTTGTACCACTTCCAATATCAAGTAGAGGGTATATTTAGCCTTTAAAAAATACACAATTCACTGCATATACTGGATTTAAGGCTGAACTACATGTTTAAGAAGGGATGCGGGTGGCGCTGTGGGTTAAACCACAGAGCCTAGGACTTGCCGATCAGAAGGTCGGCGGTTCGAATTCCCGCTACAGGGTGAGCTCCCGTTGCTCGGTCCCAGCTCCTCCCAACCTAGCAGTTTGAAAGCACATCAAAGTGCAAGTAGATAAATAGGTACCGCTCCGGCGGGAAGGTAAACGGCGTTTCCGTGCACTGCTCTGGTTCACCAGAAGCGGCTTAGTCATGCTTGCCACATGACTGTGGAAGCTGTACGCCGGCTCCCTCAGCCAATAAAGCGAGATGAGCGCCGCAACCCCAGAGTCGGTCACGACTGGACCTAATGGTCAGGGGTCCCTTTACCTTTACATTATATGTTTAAGAGAGATTTATGAAGGGCTCTTCTAACATACATTTTCTGCTGGTTATGTGTAGTAGCAGGCCAGGGAGGATTGGGTTCAAACAGTGGCATTGGGGAAGAGAATAGCCAACTTTTTTTGTCTCTGAACAGTTTTTGTCATCTAAATTGCTGCCAGGTCCTCTTTGCTGAGGAGAAAATACAGATAAAATACACTTTGGGTCTTAACGCCTTAGACAGAAAGTGATGCTGAACCTTTCTCTCCAGTATGCTAGTTTCCTATGTGGAAGGAGAATTTTGTATAGGGAAACATCCAAAAATCTCCCCCATCTCCAAGTGGTACATGCCAGAATTCTATCACCCCTGCCCACCATAGGAGTGGCCTTCACAGAGCGCATGATGGAATAGTGTGAAAGCACTTACTGGACATGCCCTTTAAAGGTGGAGTGTTCCATGTTAATGAGAACTGCACATGCAACTGGAAAATCAGGATTCCCAGCTGTACATGCATAGAGACCCTTTCTCACTAACGCTTGATGCTGCGTTGTCACTGCTGGGTGTGTTTTGCCTATGTGTGGTGGCATTCATTGAATGCAAGAGGGGCTAGTTTGAAAGCCACCCACCCTTCCCCTCCGCTTATTCTGCATCATGTGTAGAATGACTCTTGGGAAGAAGTACATGATCCCATTGCCAGAGGGACTGCGCTGGGGTCTGAATGCATAAAAAGCTAAACTTGGAGCATATCAGCAGTTTCTGTAGGAGGCTATAAAGCCATCCCTGATTATTATCAGCCCTGTCGTCTAACCAATGATCTGCTTCCTGCTTCTTTCCTCATTCACTCAATATAATAGCAAAAACAGCTTGTTGTGTTGCCACACTGCTGTAGTAATTTCCAAGAAGAAACAATTTCCCATGCTTAAACTTAACAAACAGAAAAACGTGCTCACACGTATTCAAAGCTAGATATCGTATCCCAAACATCTCCCTCTGAGTATCCTCCTTGTTTCCTATGTTCTACTAGCTTCAAGTGAGGTTTATGAGGCTGGTTTAAAAACAAACAAACAAATCCTTCCACATATTTCAGGGCGGGGAACCTCCCAGTTTGGCGCATAAGGCTGTTTTCCCCCAAATGATGCCCTCTGGCCTCATATCTGATGTCTTTTCCCATGGGGAACTCAGTTGCACAGATGGCATCCCTGGCTCGGTTGGCCTTGGGAAGAGGTGAGGACAGGGCAGGGTGAAGCAGTGATACCCAAACACCCAGCAAACCTCCTGGCTATCGGGTGCTTGGGTGGTGTTGGCCAAGGGACCTTGATAGGCAGCTGGGTCATACCTGTGCTTGATGGACACAGCGGTTATTGGAAGCACCCTCAAGTCCCCTTCCTTCTGCCTTGCAGCTAAATCCATGCTCCACAGGTTTTCACATATTCCCTCCTCCTCTTGGCTATGTAGCACTGACACACGAATGAAGCCAGTGAAAAATTATAAAAGCAGAAGAATATAGAAAGGAAATTACTATAACATCAGGTGTCTCAGGAGAAGCACATGTCTTTCAAGCCTCAATGACAGTGAAAACCAAATGCTTGTGTTCAGAGAAAGCTTATAATAATACTTTCACTTGTACGAAACTTGGAACTTAGTCCACAGTGCTTGGTTATCATTTACCCACACAATCAGTTTGCAGGACAGCCTATCTAGGAAAGACAGGCAAGTGCTTTCCAGAAGGAGGGTATTTATAGCACTAGAGAGCCTTGGACCCACCCACCCCCCCAAGCCTATTCCTGTGTGGAGTGTTTGTCCATGTTTCCAAATTACTACTGAATCTTGCAAATTTTCATACTGATAGCACCAAATGGACCTGTGTGAATTCATTAACCACAGTACATTCTCATCAGGTGGGAATAGTAATAATAATAGTTCACAGGGAACAGCTACCTCCCACCCGATACCATCTGCTGACAAGAATGTTGTAATTGAAGGGGAAATGTGCCTACTTATGTATCAGACCATAATTCTCAATTATCAGGAGAACCACTTCTGTGAACGAACAAACCTTATGTAGAAAGTGGCCTTGAATTGACAGTGCTCCTGAATAAAAAACACTTTGAAATGACAGTTGGAATTGAGGATTTTTGACATCCCTACTTAGCTTAAATTTGTGTTGCTTTTTTAAAAATGTATTTCTTTCTAGGCTCACTGTTATGCAAGAAATATCTTTTGCCATCCTGCCTCTTCTTTTCAGCCCCCCTCCCAGCCATGTGTGTACCTGTAATGCTCCGTGGATGACATTTCTTCACATGCACGTGATTTCCACATAACAAATTATCGCACAAGATAATTTGTTATTTTTAAAAAATCACATTCTAGCACATGCATGAAAGAGTTACTGGACCCTGGCTCAAATTTCTTACAATTTAAGTGGAATTTCGAGTTGCTGTTTACATTGCCTCATATTCTCAATGTACAAACCTGTATAAGTTTACATGTTATAAATTGTTTCATAGCTAATTCTTTTTGCTGAACATTAAGGTCTCTAATTTCAAATGAAACTTTGTGATTCCAAAGTATTGTCACTACACAGTAATAGATATAACAACAAATGAGATTTGCAGCACAGGCCTAGACATGTCTACTCAGAAGTAAGCTCCACTGAGTTGAATGAGACTTACTCCTATCACTAGGAAGAATTATATTCACCAATCTGAGACTCAACGTTTGAGTTTTTTCCCTTTCTTTCTTTCTTTCTTTCTTTCTTTCTTTCTTTCTTTCACATCTTGCCTTATAGGAAACAAACTGATCCTCCCACGGCAGTTCACAATAAACATCAACCTATGTTGTTGCTGCTGCTGTTTTTTAAAAACCTCACAACCAAGAAACAATATAAAACTATTAAAAGCCATCAGGATCCTTCCCACCAGGCAGCTGGTGGTAGAAAAGCCTTGTGGTGGTGAGATCAGAGGGGGGTAATCCCAGTTGGAGCAGATCTGAGGTTGTGGTCATGGAATTTATTTTATTTTGAAGCAAAGTTAAAAGAAAAGATCACTAAAGAAATAAACTCACAGATAAATTATTGTATTAAATCTGGCTACTTTTGCAGAGTACCAGGATTCTTGGGTACAGCACTCAATAACAACACTCTATCATAGTAATACTTGTTAGCTATTTGTTGTAGCTGTGAAGAACAAATTTTCAAACTTTTAGAAATTACACTAAATACAGTGAACCGTGTACCAATATAAAAGTCTTCAGTGTGTGCTTTCTCTCTCTCTCTATATGTGAAACTTCTTCCATCTAGGCAGTCTCAGCATAGGGTTGTTCAGGGAAGGAGTGTTTAAATGTGCAGCATGAGCAACAGACTGAAAAATTTCCTGATGGGCAGCCTTTCTGTTTCTTGCAGCAAAACATGTTCAAGGCTGCTTCAGATCCTCTAGTTTCTAATGAAAGCAATGTGAATCTTAGGTCTTCTTTAAATTGGTAGATGCCAAGGTTGGGGCAGCCTGATACCAGTTCAGATTTCTGGTGTCTATGATATAAAGTCAAAGGAGATGCTCTGCATTCTAAAGCCATCGTCTGCAGTTCATATGCCTGTCTAATATTGCAAAGTGCTGAAAATTTAGATGTGGCTCAGCTGCCAGGGCCCTTGCTGAGATTTCAAATTAAAATGTGGGAGTGGCCTGTATACTCTTCAAGAGAATTGGATCCCCCCCCCAAATATATTTAGTTAGCTAGTTAATTTATAGACCACTTCATATTTCAGCAGAAATTTCTAAGCAGTTCACGTGTCACAAAAAAAGGGGTACAGTGGTACCTTGGTTTATGAACTTAATCCGTTCTGGAAGTCCGTTCTTAAATCAAAGCATTCTTAAACCAAGGCGTGTTTTCCCATAGCAGCGGGGGACTCAATTTACAAATGGAACACACTCAACAGGAAGCGGAACATGTTCTGCTTCCAAGGCAAAGTTCACAAACCGAAACACCTACTTCCAGGTTTGCAGCATTCTTAATCCAAGTTGTTCATAAACTAAGCTGTTCTTAAACCAAGGTGCCACTGTATTGGTATAAGAAATCAGTAGCTGAAGGTGGCACTACTCACCTGACCTCTCTCTGGCTGAGTCGCTGCTGCATTCAGGGATGGCAAGCAGGCAGGGTGAGGCCAACGTGGTACAAACACCATGGCAGGAGCAATGGATTGGCTCCAGCAGCGCATTTGCACTGCACCAACCTCTCTGCCACCTCTCTGCCCCTCCTCACCCTGGTTCTCAGCAGGAACTCAGCTGGAGAGAGGTCAGTTGTGGTGACACAGCCCCCCATTCAAAACGAAACTCTGATGATACTATATGGCTAATAATTATTCCACCTACAGCTCATCTTTGTAGCATAGATCTTTTCCGATCACAAACCAGGCAGAGAGAAAAGGTTTGGGGACTGGCATCTACAAACTGGTGAAAAGGCACTTGCTTTCCCTGTTTCCAGCTTTGCATGTCCTGAGTATAGAGAGATACTCTAACATGTCAAGTGAGCAAAAGGCTTCTCATCTTACTGGGATTTGCCCATTTAAGCTGCTTTGAGCATTTTGAAAAGCAAGGTATGGGTTTGAGGGCCTAATGTGTGCCTGCAAATCCTGACAGCCAAAGTATAAACCTCCTGAGTGCTTATATACTTGAAAGGTAACACAGTAGTCAAGCCATATAATCCTCAGGTATATTCACACCTGAGGCTGAAAGTGAAGTCTACAGTGCCTTTCAGTTCTCTGGCATCAAAATGAATAGCAGGAGAGAGGCTATAAGGCCTTTAAGCCTGATATTTGAAAACACTCTTTTTAAGGCTAGGTTTGATACCCACTTTTTGGAATGGAATTTAAGCTGTAAATTGCTTAGGATGTCTTAGAAATCTTGATTGTCACATAGGTCATTATTGAAATTTCCTTCCTGGTCCTAAAGTGGGCACGAGTTTTTCTTTCACCATTTGTCAGGCAGTAGATGCCAGCAGTGACAGATGATAAGAATCTCTGGTTTTGGTGCCTTCATTTCTGAGTGAAGGCCAGATCCTGATCCACCCAGCGCCTCTACTTGGTTGGATGACACACAGAGGACTCTGGGAAGTAAAAGAGGGAACTATTGTTGTTTTCGTGTGTGTGTTTTTGCTAAATCCTGAAGGGAGGAGTTCTGTAGAACACCCGGTCAGTTTTCAGATGCCAGCAAGCCCAAAAGTAAAATGAAACCACCACTTCACATAGAACAATCTCTTCTACACAAGATCCCTGCATTGGTGATAATGCCTCATTCTAAGCATCTTAATCCCTCTCAGGATTACTGATAGCCCCTTCTTAAGACATGTGTTGGCTTGCAAAATATGTTGGATGGCAAGCATCAACAGAAGGACACAGAGCGCAGCAGTGATTTGCCAGTGCAGCCGTGGTACATCAGCTGCACCAGCAAATTCACATTGCATCACAAATGTTAAAAGTAGGGCAAAATGAAAAATGAAAAGAATGAATGCATCTGAGCATTTGCTATATGCACCGCCACAGAAGGCACAGAACTCATAATATGTTTGATTGCTATTCTTAAATGAATGGCGAAAGAAGTGAAACAAGTGAACATGAGTAAGTAAAAGGTGAGAATAGGTATAAATGCTCCATTCTTGCTGCCTGCAACATTTAGACTGCAATCCTATGCATGCCTGCTCCAAAGTAAACCTACCGAGGTAAACAGGGTGTGTTTGGATTGCTGCCTGATTGCACTGTAGCACACCTTTTAGGCATAGCTGTCAACCTTCCCTTTTTTTGTGGGAAATTCCCTTATTCCAGCGCCGTTTCCTGCTGCTTCACGCTGCTATCCCGGATTGTTAGTATCCTGTAGACTGTCTCCGGGACAGGTGAGGCTGCTGATCCCTTATTTTCAAATCTGAAAGTTGACAGCTATGCTTTTAGGGCATATTATTTCATTTATTGGTTCAAATTTCACAGCACAGCAAAAGCTTACCTTTCATACTTTAAAGTGCATTACTCCTTTATTCCTATAGCTGTGTTCAAATAGAGGAGGTTAGACTCTTATTGTGGAATAAATCAGAAGTTCATGGGCAGTGACACCCCCCCCCATTAGCCTCCTTGTTAGTTCATACCGCTTTTTTGTGAAATAGCTTTAAAAGTGAAGTAGAATTCATATGGGCTGAAAAGTTACTCTAAGGATGTGAAAGAATTGAATTGATTTGTAAGACTCTAAAATAAGGGCCTGATAAAAATTTATGCACAGGTATGTGCAACAAACTTCAGCTGCTGGTTTGGTTGCAAAAAAACCCCCAAAACAAACCCACACAGATCCAAAGGGATCATTTTCAGTGGGTGATGAAAGGGTTAAGCAGTCCTCCCTCCTCCTGCTTCTGTGCTCTAAGTTGTCACTTCCTAAAGCAGCTTTTCTGCAACAAAAGCAGCCTTGAGAGTTTTGTGACACTTGTTTGCCCATGACATTTGATTAGGCCTTCAGACAGAGCTTTTCATGCCAGACAAGGTAACTGCCTTAAATTAGAAAGTATGTATGCATATACAAAAAGACAAAAATGTGTGTGTGTGTATCTGATTCTAATTCTATATAAACCAAAATATTCCATATACCTAAAATATGTGATTACTGCCTATAGTGAAGGGCTAATGTACTTCATTACAAAACTTCGGTTTGGGAGGGGATCATTTTCAAGGTCATAATCTTCTCTCTTTTATGAAATTGTAACTTAATATTATGCATGTGTACCCAACAAGTGTAACTTGAGAATTATTTGGCACAGACTACGAACCATGCCTTCATGGATGTTTGTAATTTATATTGCCTTATCTGCAGTCATTCCTTACTCAGACCCTCCATTCCCAGGGAGACTATTCAGTCTCTCACCCCATTCACACTGGGCTGTGCAAGCCTGACCCCCATCCAATTCAGGGCGATCTGGATCCAGCCCTGATTAATTTTGGATCAATCTGAGCCCAGTGCAACCTGATCTGGGACTGGAAATCAAAACCTTGTGTTCATGTTCACTTAAACTCTGAAATCAAAATGGCCATTATTTTTTTGTTTTTTTCACGTAGGTGTATGATTTTGGGAGACATGGTAGCCTCCCAAGAGAGGATTAGCCTTGCCAAATTTCAGACAGTCATTTTCTGCTTGTGTTTAAGTTTGTATTCCCCCCCCCAAAAAGAAACTAATTTTATTAAGACTGTGCTGCACTGATGTATGTAATATTACCCTGTATGTGTGCTGCTTGCTCACTGACTGTGTACAATGAAGTCACAAGACTTAGAGACAAACACAGAAGACTAAGTATTAATACAGAAAACAGAACACAGCTGTAAATAAAATGCAAACCTAACCTTAAAAACTAGGGCCAAAATTTGGGGTAGCAGGGAAAACAATTGGTTATTTTGTGGAAGGCTGGGACTGGATTGATTGGGAAAGGATGGGAGACAAATAGGTATGAGAGATGCTAAGCCAATACTTCAGCTGGTAGAGGAGCTGCAACAAGCAAGCCATTGGCACTCTACTCTCGTATAAAATGCCCCAATGTGAGAGACACAGTTGTTGAAGAACCTCGTTTCAGACAACATGGAGGCAGATACGCCAAACAAACAAACAACCATGACTGGCATTAGAGACCAGATCTACCATTTCTAGGAAATTTGGTGACTGAGTGGATGTGAGACATTGTTAGACCTGGCCTCTAAGAAAATTATTTGCTTCTCTGTTGTTTCTCAGTGGGTGAACCTGCATCTAAACACCACCTGTTCACTCACAGTTGTAGCCCCCCATTCTTTCCCTGGTTTTTTTATCTCTCCCAGCTTTTAACCAGGTGTACTTCTGCTCCAATTGACTTGACAGTCCCTGCATTTCCTTAAAGCAAAACCCCAACATGCCAGGCTCACAACATTGGGCTACACCTTCATGGTGGCCATATGCTACTCTAAGCGTGCCTCCACCCAGCAAAATGTGTATACTAACACTGAGTCACTTTGCAGGGTCAACATAACCCATGCTTTATCAGCATCATTCCTACCCTCTGCAATATAAGCATATGATGGCCTTTTTTGCATTGGCATTAGCCCAGTAATGTTTTTAATGCTCACTAACTCACAAAAATTCCTGCCAACCTAGCAGTTTGAAAGCACGTCAAAGTGCAAGTAGATATATAGGTACCGCTCCGGCGGGAAGGTAAACGGCATTTCCGTGCACTGCTCTGGTTCGCCAGAAGCGGCTTAGTCATGCTGGCCACATGACCCGGAAGCTGTACGCTGGTTCCCTCAGCCAAAAAAGCAAGATGAGCACCGCAACTCCAGAGTCGGTCACGATTGGACCTAATGGTCAGGGGTCCCTTTACCTTTAACTCAGAAAAATAATTTTTGTATGAAATAAGATATGAGTCAGAAAGATCTTTGCTGCTGCCTTTGTCTTTGAGCTACTACACCTCAACCACAGCAACACTACAATTCTGGATAGCAGAATTGCTTTCTGTGGGGCAGCAATTGCTTCTCCACCATTAAAGACTATCAGAAAAGTCTTAAGAACAAACCAAGATGTTCCTGTTTTGAAGACTATATAATTCATGTTTCATTCAAACCTTCTCTTTGTCTGATTGGCTAGATCTTCTTTCCTAAAAGTCAGTTATTGCTGACACTTCATTCATTGACCAAAAGTACCGAAACGCGGGAGCAGGCTAGTCTGTCATAAAAACCAATGGGCGAGCATAGTGCCTGCAGATGGTGTCTCATATCTCGTGTCCCTCAAGTGCTAGAGACATTCTTTTTTAAAAAGGAAAAGAAAGCTGAGTAACTGGAGAGTGTGGCTTATTCAGGGGGGGGGGTGTGGGCAATTGCCCTCCCTGCCTTCCCTGCAGACACCCATGCAGGCAACCCATTTCTCCCCAGCAAGTAATCACTTCAAACCATTGGTTCATCTGCACAGCTTCTGATAGCAGAGAGGCTGGGTCTAGACACATCAAAGAAGCATTTCAGCTAAACGCGTTGTAAATTTAAACAGGGAAATCTGGTAGAGAAAAACGGGACTCCACAATGTTATATTGCATATACAACGCATATAAATTGCTTCTTCTTTACCAGTGTAGCTGAGTCCTGGATACTCTCATACTCCTCTGCTGTTCTTAGAGGCTCCAGTAGCCAAAAGATACACAGTGGTTCAGTTTCTCTTCCACTGTCTTCTGGTTAGTTGTGTGCGTTCTGTGACTTCTAAATGCTACCAGAGTTAAGAGATGATGGACTATAATACGGGGCTCAGAGCGAAGTGTATGTAGATATATATTTCCTTTGGCCACTTTACCAACAAAAAATGAAACTCAGCAAGTGTTTCCACTGTGGGTCAACATGAATTTTCTGCAATATTTGAAGGACATTTGTGAGTATGAAAAGATGCCACTGACATAGTGCCAAAAAAGAGAAAAGAAAGATACTTTAAACAACTGCAGTACATTTCATCATAGTGGGGCAGGGTGACCATGTGACCTGAATGCCGGCTTACTCCGCTGTTCAGGTGCTAAGCGTTGATGGGCAACTTCAAGGCCCCTCCTTTCTCTTCTCAGGGTTGTTTATCTTTAAACCAGATAGCCCTTCAAATAGAGAGGTTCTTCAAATGCAAGACCGCTCTCTCTAAAGTAGGACACATGACCACTCTAGGAACATGAGACCTCTGTGATATGGAAGAACTGCTATGCTCTTGCTTGAATGCTGTCATGCATCGGGTATTCTACAAATAGTTGTTCAAAAAAGAAGCAGGTTTTTGGGATTATTAGAAAACATGGAAGAGATGTCTTGGAAAGGAAAAGGAACCCAGTGTGAATTGTTTTTTGTTGGATTTGATTCACATAGACAGGAAATAGTAAAAGCAAAGGTTTGGAGAGAAGTAGAATATCTACACCTAATGTTGGGTTAGGAGTACAGATTTTAGTGTATAAATCAGGAAAAGAGCCCATTGGGTTCCAGTCTTCTAGTGAGAGGGTTGGTATATTCAGAATTCATATTCTTAAACTGATATGTTTTTAACCACTCATTGTTTTTATGTCATTTGCAGAAGCTGAGGAGCTGTATCAGAAGAGAGTTCTAACCATAACTGGGATTTGTGTTGCATTGCTTGTTGTGGGAATAGTGTGTGTGGTAGCCTACTGTAAAACCAAGTGAGTGACATTTATTAGTAGTAAAGAGAGCTTTTATAATGCATGGACAGTTTATGCCGATCTTAAAGTTCCAGTTGTTACCAGCCTAAAATACTGTTGTGTGTAACCTGAGCTCTGAGTGGCGTCACTGCAGGGATTCCAGCACTTACCCAAGGATCAGTTTCACTGGACACATCGGGTTTTATTTACACCTATATGCAACCTTACTAAGCTTTAGGGAGGAAAAGGAAGGGAGTGGATCTGCTGTTTTCAACAACTGATGTAACATGCAGTTCCAGAGTGCTTTCAGATAGTGCTTTCAGCATAGCTACATGGGAGGAGGCTAGAGCAGTGTCCACTTGCCAGGACAGGAATGGGGCCGAGTGAGGCGGAAGTGAGGTCATGGGAGCTCTGGATTCTTCTTGTTGGTCCCACAAGTGGGTGAATGCTACCACCCACTGGGAGCTCTCCCCACCTCATTGCCACCTTGCTCCACTTCCATTCCTCGGGGATCAGCACCAGGGCTGCTACTCTGATACCCTCAGGTGCCATGGTTGGGACCCATGAAAAGTTACATTGTTAACAATTTTAGAAATATAGGCAAAAAGCTGTTGAAGTGTGAATTAGAAAATCTTTAAAGAAAACAAAACAAAAAAACTGATAAAGTGGTGCAAACCAGGACAGTAATAGTAAAACTTTACTGAAGTGTAGATATTATTATTATTATTATTATTATTATTATCATCATCATCATCATCATCATCATTATTTACTAATTATTACTATTTTTTCAACTGTTTTATCTTGCTCAAGGCAACCCAAAGTGATTTACAACCAAACAAAAAACATAGAGACATTGAGACCATATGTAAGCCAATAGGTTCCCTCTCTCAATACATCAATGCACACGTTGAAAACCATGCCTTAGTCTAACGAGAACAACAAGGCAGGAGAGTAGTGCTAAGAACAATTCCCAGCTGAAGTAATTGTACTACTGTTCTCTTCATGCATCTCCAGTGTCTTACCTAATCTGATAAAGTTCCCATATGCAAACTGCAAAGATTGAGCACAAGCCAAAATTCTCTAATTCCCAGCCGCTTGTCCAAAGGGGGACCCTGTCTACCCTGGCACAAGAACGCAGTAAAAAGAGCTGACCATTGTCAAACTTTGTATTCCCCTATTCTTTTTTTAAAAAAATTTTTGATTTTGTTTTCAAAGGTTTACATACTTTGCCATCAACAATACGTTTAATTATTCCTTTGACTTCCCATCCCTCCCTCCATGATGTTCTATGTTTATCTTTTAATGCTGTATAGTTTAACTTATGACACTCCATATATACATCCTATATTATTGGCATTAATGTCTTTCTACTGTTGCTCATATTTCAAATCCAACTGGCATTTTCATGCAATTACAATAGTTCTTTAGATATTCTACAAAAGGTTTCCAATCCTCAAAGAACATTTCATCATTTTATTCCTGTATTCGTAACTGAATATCTTTTCAGGATGAAGGCAAGCATCAGTAAAATGTATTAATCTGTTTAACTCTTTAGAAAACAGAGAAATCAAATGCATAACCATTTGCGGCAAAATATGTGTCCAGCCCATCAGAACAGAAACCTTGCAAATGGCCCTAGTCACCCCCGGCTGGACCCTGAGGAAATTCAGATGGCTGATGTAAGTAGCTTTTAAAAAAATATTCAGGGTGTGGGAACCTCTGAAATGGCAATGGGGGGAGGGGATAGATCAAGGGCAGAGAGGGAAATGGTCATTTCCTCCTCCTCCTGCTCCCCCCTCCCCCGGTTCTATTTCTATTTCTCTTCTTCACTTTCTCCCTCTTTTCCCTCCCTTGGCTTTTCCAGAGGCACTTCATGTAGTAGTTTATTGGTGGGGCTCCCAGCTGCTTCACTAAGAGCTGCTGTATGTGAGGAAGGGGGAAAAGGACACTGAGAGACAAAGGCACAGAGGCTGCTACTTCATAGCAAACAGCAGTGAGCAAGCAGCAGCCCAGATGGTCTACGAACACACCTGGTGTGTTGCCCAGGGATGGGGGAGAAATTTCATTGCATTTAGAGGTGGAGCCATCCAATTCACACTTTCTAGAACAATCTGAGAACCAAAACACAGCACCTTCCTTCAAAATTAACTGAATTTTGTGATATATTTCTCCAATCAAACAGTGTTTTACAAATATGCATATATTCACAGTAAGGTTTGCATTAAAAAGGAGCCTGTTAGTGGAAATAACATAAAAATGCATCGTATTAGGACAAAGCGCTTGCAAAAGTGTGTGCATTATGTAAAACCACATTTTTAAAAGTCGGTTTGGAGAAACTCACACAAAAATGCCGAATAATTTTCATTGCTGTGGAAATGTGGAGAACTGAATTTAAGATTGGAAAAATGAGATACGGAGATCACTGGAATTTGCAGATCCTTCCATCCTTTGTGCTGCCCACTTTGACAGCCACGGTGTGTCTTCAGGCTGCCCCCACCGCTGCCTTGCAATGCCTTCCAGTAAGGATAACGGGGGAGGGCCTTCGTCATGCAGCAGCCCCCACCTTTGGCTCAATTAATTGGAGGATTCCAGTTTGCTGTTATAGTTGTTTCTTTTAAAAATTACAAGTTAATCTTATTGCTTTTTGTCATATGCAGCCCTGTCCTGGGCTTAAAGGCTGGGTAGGAATTAAACATGATAATAAGTGTTAGCTTCATTTGGGTAGTCTGAGATGAGCGCCTGTGCATTTCAGTTGGTGCTATTTGGTGTGTGGAAAGGGGTTTCATTCCTCACTGGCTTAGTATTTAAGCAAGACTTAAACGTCTCTAAAGAGATTGGTTTTTTGCTCGGGTGATGCAACTATTGCTCTTATATGCAAGTTGTCTCCTCCGGTGATATGTGTTGCTCTGCATCTTTAGTGTTCTGTGCTTTGCTGCTGGGGAGATGCCAGCCCAGAGATTAGCATTACAAGGTCATAGGCTTTTAAAAGCAATCATAAGCAGCACTTCCAGGCAGGCTAATTGTTTTGGAGGTTCTGAAATTGAAGAACAAAAGTCAAGCATATTTAGGGCGATCTGAATTGGCTGGCCTAATTCTTATCCTCTGTAAATGGAAGCATAATGTAGTATGGTTTATAACAAGCCTATAAATAAAACAATGTTTTCAGCTTAAAATTGATGTCAGATAATTTGTGACTTTCCGCCCAGTATATGTCGAAAAACGTTCCTGCTACTGAGCATGTCATACGAAGGGAAACGGAGACCACTTTTTCAGGGAGCCATTCCTGCTCACCATCCCACCCGTGCTCCACAGGGACTCCGACTTCAAGGCAAAGGTACTTCACACCCCAGCTTCAAAACTCAGTTTTGTCTCAACTTACCTGCATAGTGATCTGTGCATATGCAGACATCTGGGAGTGCAGAAAAGCCCTTCAGTTAATGGCATGATGGAAATGTTCCTTGCAGGCCTGTGGCCTCATTTGCAACAGTTTAGTTTCAGTAACTGACTTTTGCTTGTGCCTGTGACATTTTGCTTTCAGATCTCACCTCCCTCATGCTAGCAGGGTCCTCTTATCTTTCTAGAGACAGGCAGTCAGGAAGGAAGGGGTGAGCAGCCTGGCTCTCTCTCTCAAAATCAGTTGTGCCCCTTTGAGTGTTTCTGTCCAGCTCTGAGTGGGTTTGAGCAGTAAGAAGGAGTGGTGAAAGGGGTGAGGTGGGTCCCCCAACAAAATGCTCCACATGGAACTTTGTGCTCTTAACGCCTTGACCACAAACTTGACATGAGCCAACAGTGTGACGCAGCAGCTAAAAAAGCCAATGCAATTCTGGGCTGCATCAATAGGAGTATAGCATCTAGATCAAGGGAAGTAATAGTGCCACTGTATTCTGCTCTGGTCAGACCTCACCTGGAGTACTGTGTCCAGTTCTGGGCACCACAGTTCAAGAAGGACACTGACAAACTGGAACGTGTCCAGAGGAGGGCAACCAAAATGGTCAAAGACCTGGAAACGATGCCTTATGAGGAACGGCTAAGGGAGCTGGGCATGTTTAGCCTGGAGAAGAGGAGGTTAAGGGGTGATATGATAGCCATGTTGAAATATATAAAAGGATGTCACATAGAGGAGGGAGAAAGGTTGTTTTCTGCTGCTCCAGAGAAGCAGACACGGAGCAATGGATCCAAACTACAAGAAAGAAGATTCCACCTAAACATTAGGAAGAATTTCCTGACAGTAAGAGCTGTTCGACAGTGGAATTTGCTGCCAAGGAGTGGGGTGGAGTCTCCTTCTTTGGAGGTCTTTAAGCAGAGGCTTGACAACCATATGTCAGGAGTGCTCTGATGGTGTTTCCTGCTTGGCAGGGGGTTGGACTCGATGGCCCTTGTGGTCTCTTCCAACTCTATGATTCTATGATTCCTGCATGCCCATGTATAAGTAGAAACACAAGGTACAGCTGCATTCATTACCAGCCTCCTTTCTAGCCCATCCTCTTTCTCCCAGAAGCTTAGAGCTGCATACCTGGGCTTAGCCCATTTTATTCTCTCACAAGTCAAGCCTGCTAAGTAATTTGTGTGGATCCATGCAGTATGAGGCTGCTGGGAGGGTCACTTGCTCTGGTTTGATCCACAGACATGGAAGCCACGCTTGGAGCTTGGAGCAGACAGAAAGCCTGACTTCGGACTGTCAGTCTGGGATTATGCTGTCTTCAGTGGGGACCAGCAAATGCAACAGCCCTGCCTGCGTGGAGGCTCGCGCTCGGAGGGAGGCTGCCTATGCTAGCGAGGAGCAAAGGAGGCCCATGATGCAATACAGAGACTCCGTGGATTCCCTTCGAGACTCACCACATAGTGAGAGGTCTCGTTTTCTGCTGTTATTCTCGCTTGCTGTTCCCACTTGCTTGTCAATATGGATGGTGTTTCACAGACCTGAAAAGCAGAGAAAAGTCCCCCCTCACACAATGTCCAGTCTCTCTCATGAAACAGTGAGAGAGAAGGAGGGGGATGGTGAGAGCTTTGAGCATCAATTCCAGAGTCAAGATGAATAAGCTGAGTTAAAGGGTTTTTTTGTTTTTGTTTTGCAACACACACACACACACACACATTAAAAGTCCATGTGGCATAATGGCTAAGGGCTCGTACACACTTTTGCTCTGCATTTCTAGGTCTGGGCTTTCCAGGTCTGTGTCTGACAGTTTTGTTTGTTTGCCCCATTGCTTTCCCTGCAAAAACCTTGCTGCTTAATGCTGAATTGGAGTAAATGGCATTCTGCGGAAAATTTGAATTGCCATTTGCTCTGATTCAGCAATAAAGAGCAGATTTTCCTAGGGAAAGCAGTGGGATGACGAGGACAACAACACTTGGACACAGACCGGGAAAGTGAAGACCTGTGCCTAGAAAGTGTGGCGCAAAAGGTAAATGTGAATGAGCCCTAAGCGTCTGGATTAGGAGGCCCATGGTTAAAATTTGCCATAATTCCACTAGATAGCTGTAATCTGTTCCAGCCTCACCATATGCAACCTGGGGGAAACAGCACTGACTTGCTTTGCAGGTCTGCTGCTGTTGCAGAATTATGACAATATAATCTAGGTGAAGTGGTTTGCATGCTGTAAAGCACCACTGTGATCAAAGCCTGCCCCAAAGCAGGAGCTTGCCATGTGCTTAGTTCTTTGACTCTTAACACATCTTCCTCACTGATCTCTTTCCCATTTCCTCCACCGCTGCCACGTGACTTCCATCTTAGGCTCACACAGAACTGGAAACTGAACAAATGACAGCAACAGCCAGGCACCATTACTTTCTTCAGTTGGTGTCCTCGAAAATGCTAGAGAACATACTGCTGTAATGAACTACGTTGTGGCTAATCCACATCTGACAGAAACAATGTTGAGGATTAAACTGCAATGATGTGCACACTTGAGTGAAACCTAGAGAACCTACCGTACTTTCAATAAACACACATAGCAATCCACCCCATGGGATAAAGAGGCTACGATAATAGGAAGGACATTTAAGTAGAGGAGAGAGGCATGTTTGGGTTTTAAATGCACTGGATAGTGGTCAGCAGAATAACATAATTCACCAGAGAAAGTAGAAATGGTTGATTTTCTTGGTCTGAGCATAAGTGCAAGTTGTTTGGGAAGAGTGATCGCAAGGGTCTGATCTCTGACAATAGGCAGCGCCAGATGCTTCGAGCAAATAAATAACATAATTTTACTATCATTTTCCCCAGAGCTTGTTATGTAGTGTTTTGTCCTCATGATTTTGAAATATTCCTTGTTAGGAGGATCATCTTGCATTGTTTCAGATACATGTTTAGGAGTACTCTCATATTGACTCAAGAAAACCACCATTTTATAGTTCGAATTGGGGAAAATAAATACAATAAATGGACAAAAGTACAAAGATTCACAAAATGTTTAGGGGTATGCATACCCCTGCGTCCCCCCAGGAAAAACCCCCACTGAATTATACGATTGTTACTTGTTGCTTGTTCACCTTGACTTTGGGGTTTTACCTTGCAAACACAAGTGGGGTTAGGCTTTCAGCCTTCATCTGCTTCCCACTGTAAAATTTAAAAATCACTGAACTGTTTTGCTCATAATTGTTCTTTTCACATGTAAAGAAGTGATCCCATTTGTTTCCTGTGGGCTTTATCTGTGCTCCTAAGTTAAGGTCTGAGCCTCTAACTGAAAAAATGCACCCTTTATTGTTCATTTGACCGAACCCCATGACAATTCCCACCTTGCTCCTGTGGGTGTGGTAATTCTTCCCAGGCCCCGGGACGATGACTGTCTCCTTGCCACCTCTTTCTATCTCATTGTAAACAAAACACACAAACAGAAAAAAATATTTCTGTGCAAGTTGGGCTATTAGAAAGCATTAACTCAGCCTGGATTTAAAGTTGTGTGCTAAGGGGGGGGGGGGAGAGCTCTTCATTGTGACCCTTCGGCTTGATCCCAATGCCGTTGTTTCTTCTTCCAGGTACGTATCTGCCTTGACCACCCCAGCACGCCTGTCGCCGGTTGACTTCCATTGCTCCGTATCAGCCCACATGCCCACCTTTGAGATCACTTCTCCTAATTCAGCTCATGCAGTCTCTCTGCCTCCTGCAGCACCCATTAGCTTCCAGGTGGAGGAACAGCAGCCATTGCTCCGAAGGTACCAAATCCCTTCCCAAGATATGCAAAGGTATGAGAGTTACTACCAAAGAAGGAGCTACCTGAACGAGAGCACGGGGAGCTTGCCCTCCAGCCCCCTCCGCATCACGGAGGACGACGAATATGAGACGACGCACGAGTACATCTCTGTGCTAGATCAGCCAAAGAGAACGGGCAGCGGCAACAGGCGGTGGAGAAAATCGAAACTGAACGGGCACCTGTCACACAGGGGCAAAATGCTGAGAGACTCCTTTTCAGTGAGCAGCGCCTCCTACAGTGAATCTGATGAGGAGCTGGTGGCCGAGAGCACGCCTTTCTTAAGTATGAGAAACACGGAGGCAATGGACCCCGATTCACCCCCCCTCTATCGCCTGGCCGATAGCAGGACTTACTATTCCTTCGACAGATGCAACACGCAGGGAGGGAACCAAGTGACACATAACAGCAGATCCCGCCAAGATTCAGCACCACCTTAGAGGCCACACCGACTCTCCCTCATGCCCACTCCCATGAACACACCAGGACTGAGGAAGCGGGGAGGAATAACAGAAAAGACAAATTTTTATTTTATATATAAAAAAGAAAAAAATATGAAATGTTTTATTTTCATTTTAGCAATGATGTCTTAAAATAGCTAATGGCAAAGACCTTTTTATAAGGAATCTCTATTTATACGTAACATCTTGATTTACAGCTTCTGAGAAAAGAAGAAATCAACAAAAAAAATTTAAAGAGATGGGCCAATTTTTGACTACTTACAAATCATTAAAAAAAACAAAATTCGTGGTGCCTTTTGCTGTACGCTAATGCCAGAGTCCACAATGAAAATTACGTTTAAGCATTCTTGAGATCATAAGCTTTATGTTTAGGACAACTTGTTATGGAATATTTTAATAAGCACTTTTCCATTTGAACACAAACACCCTTTTAAATTGCTTGATATCTGGATGTTGGTAATCTAGTGCTTTTAAAGTGTTGCGCACACATACACTTTCTCTTTTGTGCTCTCTCTCTTTCTCGCTCTCTCACACACACACACACACACAACATATGTGTCAATGTTTCCATAAGTCCCTTACTGTACTGGTAATTACGTTTTTTAATACAAGATAAGTAGGAAGTGAATAAAGCACACAGTAGCAACAGCCCTTACAATATATTGCTTATTCTAAACAGATCCATGAGCAAGGGGAAACCAGATAATCAAACAAATTAAATACTTTGAAGCAGTGTGGTTAAATAGGACTACTTCAAGAAATGCTGGTTCTGAGATCTGCTTCAGCCCTGCTACTACTGAGCACAAGCACTAGCTCTTCATCAGTGACTCTGAGCATCTGCTGTCTGTTCTTCAGAGCCAAAAAAAGGTGCAGCCCAGATGCTGATGCTAGCTTGGTCATAAAACAACCGTAGGAGGTTCAGGGGCTGTTGATGACGTGTGCGCACCTATTTTAAAAGCCCAAATGAGCTAAGAATCTCCTGAGGTACATCGCCCGAACACTAGCTGTCTCCTCCTCCTCCTTGTCCCAAGTAGCGTCACCAGCATGCTGGCTCTTGCCGCTACCTCCCCCCCCCCCCCCGAAAGAAACAAAATAAATGCCACTATCAGTGTGCCCTGTTTTGTAAAGACAGTTGTTATTGTAACGTTCTAGCGTTTCATAATGACTTTCTTAAAAATATCTATCTATATATTTTAGCAAGCCGCACGGCATCCCATCGTGTCACTAGCAGCTCTGAGACAACTTCTTTGTACAGCAGGCAAGAAAACTCCCATGACAGAGAGAGATCCCTTCTTTCCTTTCCGTTCCTCGTGGGGCCCTCCGGTTTACATCCTAGCCTGCCTCTTTTCTTTTTCTCTTTTGACTTCTGCATGTCCTTTGCATTTCAGATACTGTAGATTGGATGCATGGAGAAGCTGTGACTGAGAAGATTAAAATACAATTGCCAGTGTATTTCTTTTAACTTTTAGCAATAAAGTACTTTAAACCCTTTGTTCCTCATCCACAACAGGGTCCAATAGAAACGCTGCTAATTTGTCATAAAGATGATTGTAAAAACAAAAACAAAAAAATTGCTCTGGATTGTCTGAATGTCAGAACTCTTGACTGTTTAACACTTGAACTTTTTTAATATTATAAATAAAAGTAAGAAATGACTACCAAGATTCTAAAATCAATTTCACAGTCAGTGGTGAGAGAGAAAATGAAAGACTGGGAGCCATTATAGGAGGTCTCAGTTGGATCTAGACTAAAGTTCTCTGATTTGCAATAGCAGACCTGGCCACCCCTCTCCTTCAGTGAATAGCCAGTTGCTCTGACCTGGGCTGTCAAAGCCAGTTCTGACTCGGGATGGAAGGAGCTATCAATTTCAGTTTTTCATTTTTCCAATCCTGAATTCAGTTCTCCACAATTTGCAGGAATGTGTGAATTTTTTTTTAAAAAAACACATTTTCATTTTAATGTGAATTTCTCCTAATAAACACATTTTAGACACAATTTTGACTATTGTACACATTTTTGCAAGCAATTCCCCTTAATAAAATGCATTTTCTTTGTTAGTGAAGATATTAATTTTAGCAAGAACAATAGTAATTCTGTGTACACTTTCCTGTAATATATCATTTTTTTAAAAAAATAGTTGGTTGGAGAATTGCATTGCAAAATTCAGATAAGTGCAAATTTGAAAGGATTTCAGTTCACATATTGTTCCAGAAAGTGTGAATTTGAGGGTTTAGGCTTCTGACATGTACCAAATTGAATCTCCCCTCCATCCCTGGTTCTGACACACCAATAATTTGTCCCAAATTGGCATAAAGTTGCAATTTCATTAATGCTGCAATCATGTGCAAATTTGCTCTGAAAAAAATAGCATAGGATTTGAATGCACCTGCCATTTTATTGGGTGTTCAGCCAGTTCTTTTTTTAGAAAATTGGGTTTTGCAAAATGAATAGCCTCACTTTTTATATTTTACAAACAATAAGCTTAAACTTCAAAAGAAAATAAATACCCTTACTCCCTCCAACCTTCAAACATGGAAAGTCATTGTTCAAATGACCACATCATACAGGTAAGTATATTGATGTCTGGACAGCTGAGATGTCAATGAGTCCATATTTCCTTTTCTGGTGTAGGTTCAACCTTTGAACAGGAGAAAACTTACAAAAATCTATTCTCAAATCACACTCTGAATCATGATTTTGCAATAAAATGCAATTCTGTCTAGACTCCAGTAACGTATTGACGCTCCATTGAGTTTCATCAACAGGGAGCCTTGTTGCTCACACTGGGTAAAAGACACAGGAGCCAGCACTGACCTCAGATGAGGCTGTGCTGAAAATCATGAGTTTTGCAGGTTGGAGTACAAGGCTCTGGACCTAGTGGGTAGATACCTATCCAGATAGTAAACTGCTGTGTTGAAATGGCAGCTATTTTGTCATAATTACAACCAGATCCATCATGAAATTAAACGTTTGAAAGATGAGTTTTGTTCTGAGTAGCTTACTAGTGCTGCATACACCAGCAGCAAAATGTCTGTTTGTGTGTGCTCTTCCTTGCTCTGAGCACAGAGTGCCTTTTCTTAAATCTGTGAAATGTTGGACAGCATGGAAGTGGTGCAGCCTTTAGCAGCAGGTGCAGCCCTAATAGCCATTTTTGGTATCCCATTCCCCTTTTGACATTTTGTAAAAAGATGGACAGGTACACTGGGGTTTATTCTAGATTTATTGAGACTTTATGCAACTTCTGCTTTCCTTTGCGTGAAACATCATATGCAGATTCATTCACCAAAGAGCCCATAAAGTTATTTTAATGTTTTCATGCATTTCTACATAGGTTTTATTACACCTACCTAATAAAACAGATTTCTTATCTGCATCTGCCTGATTTCTTTAACATATTGCCTTATATATTTTTTTATAACTGCCAAGAGTCTAGTTTTCACAAAAGCTTTGTAAGCGTTTTTCTTTGCTGTGATACAACAAGCGTTTGCAGATTGCTTGTGCAATTAAACCAAATAAACACTTAGGAATGCCCACAACAATAAGAAGCCAGCAATTATTACATACAGAAATAAAAATGATTGCATACAGAGTCTAGCCAGGCTCCAGTAATCTCTCTCACACTCCTGAGGGGAAATGGCGCAGGTGAGCCTTAGAAGCCTTAGAAGAAGGCTACATTGTGGCACAGGGCGAAGGGAAGCCTGGAAGGGAAGGAGGCTGCTCCAAAAACCTGCTTGGATTTCATGGAATTAGACAATTGCAGAGTTGGACGAGGGTCACCTGGTCCAACTCTCTGCAATGCAGGACTCTCTTGGCCAACACGGAGCTTGAAGTCATGGCTCTGAGATTATGTGTCTACCAAGAGCTGCACAACGACACCATCTCACTCCATGGGCTTTCGCAGGGTGTGTGTGAGAGAGGCAGAGGGCCAATAGTGCAGCCTTTGCTGAACATGGCCCCCATGTGACTCCTTGCGCCTGGGTTTGGGACACATTCTATTACTTCAGTGGCTAGCGGGGGATGAAGTTGAGCATTTGCAGGCTACAGAGGAGACTCTCAGTCTCCAGTATGAATATGGAACATGGAACACAATGGAGTCTGAATTTGGGACATGGATGGCGCTGTGGTCTAAACCACAGAGCCTAGGGCTTGCCGATAAGAAGGTCGGCGGTTCAAATCCCCATGACGGGGTGAGCTCCTGTTGATCGGTCCCTGCTCCTGCCAACCTAGCAGTTTGAAAACATGTCAAAGTGCAAGTAGAAAAATAGGTACCACTCCAGCGGGAAGGTAAACAGTGTTTCCGTGCACTGCTCTGGTTCACCAGAAGTGGCTTAGTCCTGCTGGCCACATGACCCGGAATATGTACACCAGCTCCCTCAGCCAGTAAAGCGAGATGAGTGCCGCAACCCCAGAGTCATCCGCCACTGGACCTAACGGTCAGGTGTCCCCTTACCTTTGCCTTTAAAAAACAATATGTAAGCTACCATATTTTTCCGTGTATAAGAAAATATTTCCCCCCAATTTTTTAAGTTTAAAATTGGGGGTCGTCTTATACACGGAATGTTGCGATTAAATATATAAATAAATACATGCCACCATCCATATTCTTCCCCCCTCCCCAGCCTCCCCTCACTATTGGCCTCACAACAAACCCTGGTCTGGTACTCCCCCCTCCCCAGCAGCCCCCACTCCGGACATTGTTCCTTCCACCCGGTTCCCTCAGCCGCCCCCTGGCTACCCAGACCCCCATTCCCCAAGCACACCCACTCAGGCAGCTCTGGCAGTCACAACTCCTCGATCAGCGTTTGCATCTGCCGTGCTCGTGGAATAAATACGGTACATACCGTAAATACCGGGACAAAAGTGCAACACACAGGCGGGAGAGCTGGAGCTGCAGCTAATGTGGAGTTACACTGAGCTGACAGGGGCAGCCGCCATTACGCAGCTTGCCTCACTGTTTGATGTTTAAATATACGGTACTAAATATACAGGTGTTTTGAATATTTAATAAAATATCAAAGTTGTTCTGTTTGGTGTTCAAAATATTTATTTCCTAATTTGGGACTCAAAAAATAGAGGTTGTCTTACACATGGGAGCATCTTATACACAGAAAAATACGGTATTTCCCAGTTTGGGGGGGGCAGTTTATGAATGTTCGCCAAGTTTTGTTGTTGTTGTTACTTGTGACATTAGCCATTGTGGGAGGAAGGCCTGAATAGTCCCAGCTCTTCATCCTCATCATCCATTCTGAGTTTGTTGGAGTCACATTAAGATATGGCTGTTGCCTTTTATAGAGAGAACATAACTAACAGATCACCAAGTCTCATGAGCAATGAGGGGGTGGGCAATTCAGTTAATCCCCCCCCACTCCTTGTTTTTCCTCCGCCACTCTCCCTCCATCCTTACATTTCTCAGGAAGCCTAGTGCCTCCATCAGAACAAAGGGAAGGGATGGGGGTGAGTAGCTTAGCAGAGTTCTTGGGCAAACTTGCACATGGTTGTAGCTTCAGCCAGACAGCCCCTAAATGGCTAGCAGACATTTTCATTCTATCTCTTTTCACATCTCTGACATGATGTGTGAGATGCCCAGATAATTGTTTGTTCCTGCAATTGTGGGTTTTCCCCCTTTGGGTGCTCTGGGGGAGCAATGTAATTGGCTTGTCCCACTGGCTCAGCAGGTGTACACTTGTGGGTGCCTAGCTGGGTGTGTAAGGAGCTCCAGTTTCCTTGGTGCCAGGAAGTCTGGGGAAAAGGGCTTGCAGTAAGATGACTTTCCAGGGCCCTGCAGCTAGCCAAGACCAAGAAAGCACACCTTTTTCCCAGGATGGAAGAGAGGGTAGGAAAAGGGGGTGCATTTTGGACTCGCAGCTGTCCATGGAGGCGCAGGTTAATTCTGTGTCCAGGGCAGCTGTTTAGCAGCTTCACCTGGTATGCAGGCTGAGACCCTATCTGTCTTGCCAGAGTGGTGCATTCTCTGGTTATCTCTCGCTTGAACTACTGCAATGCGCTCTATGTGGGGCTACCTTTGAAGGTGACCCGGAAACTACAACTAATCCAGAATGTGGCAGCTAGACTGGTGACTGAGAGCGGCCGCCGAGACCACATAACACCAATCTTGCAAGACTTACATTGGCTCCCAGTACGTTTCCGAGCACAATTCAAAGTGTTGGTGCTGACCTTTAAAGCCCTAAATGGCCTCGGCCCAGTATACCTGAAGGAGCGTCTCCACCCCCATCTTTCTGCCCGGACACTGAGGTCCAGCGCTGAGGGCCTTCTGGTGGTTCCCTCACTGTGAGAAGCCAAGTTACAGGGAACCAGGCAGAGGGCCTTCTCGGTGGTGGCACCCGCCCTGTGGAACGCCCTCCCACCAGATGTCAAAGAGATCAACTACCAGACTTTTAGAAGACAGCTGAAGGCAGCCCTGTTTAGGGAAGCTTTTAATGTTTTATGCATTACTGTATTTTAATATTTTGTTGGAAGCCGCCCAGAGTGGTTGGGGAAGCCCAACCAGATGGGCGGGGTATTAATAATAATAATAATAATAATAATAATAATAATAACAACAACTACTACTACTGCTACTACTACTACTACTAACCAAACTGTGGGAGGCAGTGGAGGACAGGAGTGCCTGGCATGCTCTGGTCCATGGGGTCACGAAGTGTCGGACACGACTAAACAACTAAACAACAACAACAATAATAAAGAATCTAAGAAGGAAGAAATGGGGACATGCATGTGATGGTAGTCAGGGAAAAGTGGGAATTCAGTGGTCAAGGTCATGACGAGATGGAATCTGAGTTTGTGCTATCTTGGGAGCCTGAGAATTTGGGTAAGAAAACTAAAGTTGGAGGGTCTTCCCAACCCTAACCCTAAGTAATAATAGTAATAATCATTTATTACCCGCTATGGGAGGAGGATATATGATAGTGTTCTTGTACATATTTGTAACTTGCACCAGCCTGTTGTTCTTTCTAAACTCTGAAGTGGAGATGAAATACCCGGAAAACTGTTTCAACAATCCGCATCTCTTTGCAGGCTAAACGGAAAGGAACGATCCAGGTGACTCTTTTGGGGCTGGGGTTCCTCAGCCCACCCAAAAGAAATAAATGTGCAGCTTCCTCCACTGTGGATAATCTCTCTATATGTGTGGGTATCATTTCTGCTGAGTTGTTGAAAGTCATCAGAAAGAGGACCAGGTAGAGCTTTGGATTAATCCATTTTATTAACAGGTTCATCATCATTTGTACATGATTCGTAGTTTATCATTTCAAATAAAACTATCAAACTGTACAAAAACAAAGAGATTTAAAAAGGGGGTGGCAAAACAGGATGGTGGCTTCCCCAGTGGTACGAAACATGGAAACTCAATAATTTATAAATTCTCAAAAGCTGTGAGAATCCAAACAAATCTCTTTATTATCTTCATCTTAAAAAGCTGCAAAAATAGAAACTGTAAATTACTGTAATTAGCAGCCACAAGATCCTTTAAAACTGGAACTTGATTAACTGTGAGCATGTCTAGAAAAGAAGATGAAAATGAGTCAATCAGTAAATAAAGTGCTGAAGGCCTTGAAAACGCAGCGGAGTCACTTCTACCACAGCAAGAAAGGAACAGAAGCACAACATCCCATTGAGCGAGTATATTTATGCTTACAGCAAAATGGAATATGTACAGCTATCTGTGATGAGCAGCTCGGTCCCCCACCCTCCCCACGCATGTCGCCTAGCTTGCAGTTGCCTGGATGCCCATGAAGCAGAAGCAGAAGGGGAGGGGCAGAGGAGAAGAAGCAGGAGAGAATTCCCTATTTAGGGTGGCCGAGTGCACGGCAAGAGCAGAGCCTGCACTGCAGCTCAGCCAGCTGGGATCCAGTTACAGAAGAGAAAAAGTAAGGTCCATTAAGCTACTAAATGTTCAAAACGTTACTTAGCACTGCTAAGATCCCTGTATAGCAAAGTTATTTTCTTCCTGTCCATGTTTTGGGCACTCTTACCTTTACAAGGTTATATATTTGACACCAAGTTTTAAAACTGTACGTACATTTTGGCAGTAGAGCAGATAATGTAGTTATTGCAATACATGGGCCACTCATTGAGTTCTGGTGATAGCATTTGATTTTACATGTACACTGTTCACCCAGTTACCTGTAGAAATGCTGCCCATTGGTTCTGTTTATCTGCTGTCCTAGTATTTCTTGACCTGTATATTGTAAGGACTGTGGCACTGCAGCACCACTGGTAGTAGTTAAAGTAGTTAAAGGAACAGATTTGGTCGTGTCTCCATGTTGCTACAGCACTGCAGCAGTTGCTCAGTGGAAAATCCAGCTGTTTACAAGGAAACACAGCTGGCAAAAGAACATCCCAATCCTTGTATGGAAAACTTGTCCATTTATTGCATGCACAGTAAAGGGAAATGTCAACAGTGATAACCAGTGCAGACAGTCTATGATCCTGGAATACTTAAGCACCAGAAGAGAAGCTTCTTTGAATTCTTTCTGCTGTAGTATTTGCATTATGTACTTAATGCGCACCCAAGAAACTATTGTGCTCATAAGTTTCAGTTGAGGAGGACAAGATACCACTTTCTGGTTACTTTAACCTATTGGTTACCTGACGTGTTCTGGTCTGTCATGTCTTTCTCTGCTTTGCTGTTTACCACAGGCAACTGCCCTTGGCTAATGGAAGGGCTGGAGTAAGTCTTCCTCAAGGAAATGTCTTCAGCTTCCATTGTGAAGAGGTTGGCTTCTATTTTTTCCAGATCATCTGTCCCGGCCTTTATCTTCGCACACAGAAGATTGATGTATGTCTCATAGCGGCTTTTCTGTGAAGGACAATGAAACAGACCAAAAAGCCTGAGAGGGAAAGTCAGGAATGACCAGAACAATGGACAGAGAGACAAGTGCTGGGGATTCCTCTTTGTGACCAGGAGGATGTGTTTGCTTCAAGGACGGGTAAGCGGTCAGTAAGGGAGCGACTACAGGACCCCAATCTGCTTCATTACATCACATGAGCTGGCATATAAATCTGCTCCATCCCACATTTATCTGAATAATTTTTGGGAAACTTCTTTAAAAATCCACATAAATTTAATTCTTTTTTTAAAAAAAGAAAAAAAGTTAAGTAATTAGGAGGTGGTTTAAGAGTTCTCTCTCTTCCCTGTTCCCCTTTCTTCTTCCTTTTTACACCTACCAGCCCTGGTTTCTGCCACAGCAACTCCCTGAGAGCAAGGACACAGCATGTCCCATCATGCGCAGGAGGAATTGCAGTGCGTTTTCCAACACATGCAGCAGCAGGAGCAGCATGCTAGCTTCTTTGATGGTATGGAAGGACTAGTGATGGGGAAAATGGCTTCCAGCTTGAGCTTCCGTTAGTGTACTTAAGAAGTGGACTTACTCTTATGCGCATATTTTCTATCAAAACATGCATTTTGAAATACATTTTGGTACATTTTTGAACTGAGCTTTTGAAGGGGAGCTAAGTCTGGATCCATGCCAGGATTAGTCCAGGAAGGGTGGATCAGATCCCTTCATCTTGGAATGCACAAATACTTAATTCCTCAAGCATCATTATATGCACTTGGGCTCCTGGCCAATGAATTCTGTGAGGACAGAGAAGGTGTACCTCTTTTGGACAAGCCAAAAACAAAGAACAGCAGAAGTTCAGAAAACTCAGTAAAATACAACTTCAGCAGAAGACCTACTGAGAATGGATAACACCTTGAGCTCATGCATTGTGCAGAAATCACATGGGCAGGCGCTATGCCCTGAATGCCTCACTTCAGGTGGATAATAACTTTGTTTATCTCAACAGTTTGAGGACCTTCCTAAACAGCCTATACTCATATAAACAAAGAACCTTATTTATAGTGTTTTACAGGTATAAAGCTACTTGGGAGACGTGCAATTAAGTCTAATCAGGATAATTACACAGGGAACCGAGTCTTTTGACTGCCGGGAAGATATTGTAAGCCCTGAGAGAGAGAGATGCTTAGAGGTTTGCTTTGTGTGCTTCATTTCTGCACTAGGGAACCATGTTTAGGGCCCTACAAAAATATGTTCCCTGGGAGAGCATCCCAGGCACCATCAGGTATTGCTCATGCCCCATCTGAGGGCGGAAAGAGGAAGTCAGACCTCAGAGAGGAAGATCTGGCCCAAGTGGGTTCCCCACCACCACCACTGCAAAACCTTCTGTTCCCATTGCTTCACTGATGCTGGAGCTCAGACATTTGTAGAGCCTGACAAGGGTTTGGCAGGGACCTATCTAGTCCTCCAACACGCCCCCAAACCAGCGGGGAGACCATGCAAGCCGACAGGGTGCATTTCTCACCCATTGTTTCCAGTGGGTAGAATGATGGAAAGTCCCTAGGAATGTATATGTGACCCTGCAATTCTACTTCAGCCCTGGTGTCATGAGCCCTGCAGGACACTGGAAATGGTGACTCATTTGCCTCCAGTTCTCCCTCCTGCTGTCTGGTTGGACTGCTCCCTAAATGTCTTTAAACAGAAAGAGATTATGAGCTCACCCATGCTTCCCAGTCATTCTCTCCAGGTTTACCCTATCTTCATCCCACTGATCATTTGTCACCTGGAAAGCCTCACCTCAAATATTAAGTAATGCTCTTTCAGGCGATATTCTTCAGCCTCTTTGGACTTGAGGCCTTTCACTGCCGGGTGTAGTTTATGCTCTGTTAACTCATCTGCAACTTGCCTCATTTTATTCTCATGAGACTGCAGCTGCTCCTCCTGGAAGGTGAGGAGGAAGAGAGACTGAGTCAAGTTCTTCAGAAATAAGCATGTATACAAATACAAAGGGATTTACCAGAATTCAGACTTTGCACTTTTTCTGGAGACATATCGTTGGAACGGACCTGGCCAGAGTCACACATGCCTTCGTTAAAAAGTTACAATTGGATTCTCACATGGAACTGCCTTTGAAGAATGACCAGATGCAAACTGCTCCAGCTGAAATTTTTTATTGTGCTACTGAGTGGATCATGTGACCACATCATTACATTGACTTCATATGTCTGTTTCCAGCACAATTCAAAGTGACCGTTGTTACCTTTGAAGCCCTGAATGGTTTGGGTTCATTGTAGTGGAGGCTGCCTGCCCACCCAGGTCCTCAGGCTTTTCTGTATCCTGCCACCAGCAAGGATATTCAGTTAGTGAGTACATATCAGATGGACCTCTCTGCAGTGGTTTCTGGACTCTGGAAGTCCCTGCCCCAGGGGTTCTACCTGGCCTGCTCTGTGAGGCAAGAACTTTTATTTCAACAAAGCCCATGGGTTTAGCTGGTTTCTGGGTGATCTCTCAAACTGGATTCTTTCTTCTGCTCATTTTAGATTGTGTTGTGTTGTATTTTTAATTGTGTTGATTGTATGCTGCAGAAATATTTTTGGAAATATTAGATATGGATTTAGAATGAACATTTAAATAAAGAAATAACATAAACAAACATGGTGGAATGTAATGGGTGGTCTATCACCACTAGCAAGGTGACCCTAAAGTCAAAGTTGCCACAAGGGCATCACTCTAAGGGTGAAAGGGTAGCTGTGGGAAGATCCTGTCTCCCTCTTGTGGGGGAGCCATTTTGGAGGACTTGGAGAGAAAGCAAGAATGACACCACATGCCTCTTCCCTTTAACAAGAGTGGACAAATGTGGCAGACAGGCCAGGATGGGCAAGGACAGAGGGCAGGCAGCTTGTTTTATCCCAGATTGCAATCTTGCTTCATTCTACCACTATTAGTGTGTGTGATCCTCAATGACTGTGCTAATGTCGTGAAGAAATTAAGAAAAAATGGGCCAAGATGAAGACTTATGCATACATTCAGCACTCAGTTGGCTGGCTTTCTGCCATATATGTACATACACACACTTTTTCCTTTTTCCTCTTACCTGACAGAGCTTGGTTGTTGAAGATGGCAAGAGAGGACGGCAGAATTTTTTCATGGAGCAAATAGCAGCTGGAAATGCAGGGGCAGAAAAAATGGCAGCCACCAAGTTTATTCTCAGAATCCAGGACAGCATTTCTCCTTTGCTTCTATGGAGACCAGGCAGGATTGAAGGAAGAGGACCATTACACACAAGAGTAGGAGAGGCAGGATGTGTCAGAAGTGGGGCGGGAGAGAGACAGAGAACACACATGCCAATATGATAAAAGTGAAGGGAGACTCAATACATTTCTCTTCCCACTAAGTAGCCTTTCTGAACTGCTGGGTGTGTATTGAAGCCTTTGCTAATGACTTGAGATCCAAACAGTCTGAGACCAGATTATCTGAAAGAATGCCTGATTCAATATAGACCTGCCTACCCACTTTAATTGTAGCAGAGGAGGTTCTCTGGTCATCCCGCTTCCTGTGGGAATCCATTACATGACCACCAGGAAGAGGGTCTTCTCTGCATCCACTTTGTGAATTTAAGGTAAATTAAGGGGGTTGGAAGCCCAGGTGCAGTTTCCAAAATAGGGGCCCCCCTTCTCTCCAGAAGGAATGCATGAAATAAGGTGCCACACAAAAGTCTTGTGGTATCTTAAAGATTAACATGTTTACAATGGCATAAGCTTTTCCCTCGGTTCCCCACCCCTGTTTCTGCACCAAGGAACAATACTGGGCACAGGTGTGCCGGGGTTCAACCCTCCCCTGTTTCATCTAACCATGTCATAGAGATGTAAACCAGACAAGAACCTTCATCCAGAATCAATCATCTCTTGGTTTATGTGGTTAGTGGAATGCTTGGTGGATAGTTGCTAGTGCCAGTTAAGTAGCCACGTCTGCAGGAGGCCTCAGAATAGGGATATAGACTGCTTGCGTCTTCTGAAGGCAATTGCCATAGCCGTATGCAAAATAGTTGGCCATGGGTCTTAGAATACAGAGGCAAAACCAAGAGAGCCCTTCCACAGCCAATAGCACATGGGGGGGGCTTATTTGGAGGTGGTCAGATCTTTCACTATTGGAGGGTGGGGTGGGAGACGCATATTTGAGAAAGGGAGAGAAAGAGATAGATCACACCCATATCTTATTATTCCAAAGAACTCAGTACCTTACACAGTTTCCCCAGAAGCTTACAAAGCCCTACCTGCTTAGCTTCTGCAGTAAAACAGAGACATGTTCCTTCAGGTAATAAGGAGCTATAATGCCAACTAAGCAGTGATGTCCTGTTTTCTAATTCTGTCTTTAATAAGAAACACAATGTGACAAGGTACTTATGAATAAGCCCCCTTGAGATGAGGACTTTCGTAACATCCCCCATGATGTGGAGAATGGCTGGGCAAACTGCACTTGGCCAGGTGAAAGGACAAGAGTGATCCCTCATGGGTTCTGCTGGAACACTTACGGCGCTTGGAAGAGGAAGACTCTCCAGTCTGCAGTCTTCAGCTTCAGCACATTGGATTTTTTGCTATAGTCGGAGGCTTTTGTGGCTAAGGCATGGTGAATCCGGATGGCATTCTTTAGATCTACTTCAGAAAGATCTTTGTCAGGTTTGTATTCATCCTGTGAAGGAGAAGAGAGATAACAGTAATAGCAACTCAGACAGAATCATGCTGGAAGGGACTTACTAGCTTTCCAAAACTGTTCCAGGCAGGTGTTTATCCAGTGTCTCCTTAAACACACACACATACACATCTCAAATGAAGAAAATAAAAGACAGAAGAGATTAATCAAATGCCACCCACTAGTGGGCAATATTAGTCTCAGGGGAAAGGGTAGAAGGAACAGTGGCTTTGATTCAAAGAACCATGAGTGGCATGAGTTGTTAGCACTGCTCTGTGAATTATTGTTCTAGAATAAAGTTTGTGCTATGTTGCATCTTGAGTTGCATCATATTATTAGAAACATGAAGCATGATACAGGTTGCAGTGTTTAAGTGTGTGGTGTATTTAGGCAAGTGAAGAGCGCTGGGGTCGGGACCCATGTTGTTATATAAAATCAATGTGGTGTTGCAGAGAGAAAACGTGGGTGGCTGTGTACTGCGGATTTAGTAGACACGATGATCAACGCTTTGCCCGACACATGAGCAGCCAGTTGCATCAGTGTCAGAAATACACAAATTCTCTGTTAGCCAAGAGTTAGGAGTATGACTTCACTGAAATGTGCACCACACAGGACAAATCCTTTTCCTTCAATAAACTTTATTGTTACAGACCAGTGAACAATTGTGTTCTATACAAATGGAAGTAGCTTTTGTGACGCAGCTCTCCTGTTTGACACCCCCTAGTGCCATTGACATCAGTGCCTGTGTCCACGCACACACTTGCTCTCCTCCTCCTCTGTCGTGTTCCAGGGGAGTCTCGCCTGGCCCTGACACGTGGCGGTCCAGGAGGTTCTGCACCAACCCCTCGTGCACTGATCCATGACCCTCTCTCACTCTGCATGGGCTCTTCGTCAACGCCAGCCATTTCCCTCGTGGTGGTTGTGGCAGCTTCTTACATGGGTTCTCCCCCACAAAAGTTTTCCTTAGACCCCTCAGCTCCTGTCCTCAATCGTGCATAGCTCCACTAATATTCAGAAGTCCAGTCCACATAGCCTTGTACTCTTGTATGGTTGTTTGATACAGTTGGTGAACTCCTGGCAGATGGACCTCATCATGCTAGTGTTCTTCTCAATCTGCCTTTTTCTGGGCCCACACATCCATAATGATATGTGGGTGGTGTTGGGCATCTTTCAGCAGGTGGGCAGTGCATGCTGTATGCCTCAAGGGATGGCAAGGGATGCTTCTGGTGGTGATGACACATAGACATTTCTTGTCCTCCTAAGGCAGAAAGAATAATAGAAAAGATCAAACATGACACAGCCAGATGGCATCCATACATTTTCTGAAATACATATACACTTACAACATCCATGTACACAAACAGCCCACTTATATAGTGATTCTCAGATACAATGTGCTGATAACTTACATTTCATCAAACAGGTTGTCCGTTCAGAGAAGTCCTTGAAGTCTTTGTGGTCATGCCTAAAGTTTGAGGTGTCTTATCTGTGCATTGAATGACAGAAATATATCTGTAATACTCAGTACATAGATCAAGGAAATTATGCTAAATAGAAAACAATTAAAGCCAACCAACCATCAGATGAATAATTGTCATTATGCCGTTAAGAGGAACTCCCACTGCAAAGTTTTTGCCAGGCTTCTGGAAAGAAAGTGTAGTACACACACAGAGTATGGAATTACTTGTAGAAATACACACTGTCATATTAATAGATGGTTGTTAAGCACTGCTAGAGAAAACTGCTAGAGAGGACACCTGACCTCTCTGAAAGCCAACCAGAGGATCCCTTCCACAGTAATCTCTGAGAAATGGGGAGAAAAGCGTGAGTCCAGGCAAAATTAAAGCAGAAACAGTTGAAAGCATTTCCCAGTCATAAGTGATGTTTTCCACATGGTAGAAATGTGTAATGGTGTCAAAGAAATAATGGAGGATTTTTTAAATCACTTGATAAGGATTCTAAGCTATTCTATGAAATTCTGTAGGGCAGAATAATAAAGTACTAGACTCTTATATTTTAGTCCTTTATATGTTTGCAAAAACGTAGAGATAATCAGTACCACCCAAAATTAAAGAATAGGATGATAAATTGTTGGACTTTGCAGCAATGGCTAAGTTGACACATTTCCTTGGATTTTGGGAAGGAGAAGAAAGACAAGACAATAGCTTGATTAGACTGCAAAAAATTTATTAAATATAATGAAAGATAGGTTAATATAAAATATGAGTTATGGTTTTTGCAATGTTCTAATAATAATTAATTACAATAGCTAATAATGTAGCTTAAGATATAATAGGTATGCTGGCTTCTGCAGAGAATTCTTATTAACTATAAATGTAATATCAATTTGGGCTGTTTTTAAAAGAAATCCCATCTACCATGAGTGATTAATGTTTATGCGAACCTCTAAAAGAGTGGATCTACTTTTTATCTGCAGTAGTATTTGTAAAACATATTTAACACATATGTGAAAAGTGTTCAGTTGGTTTTTCCCAGCTATCTTTGTTTTCAGGTTGTTCATAAATGTGCTGTTATGAAATTGTACAGACTTTAATTTTATATATTGGGGTTTCCATTTCCAGCTGTGAACTTGTAGAGTTGCTTCCCTGAGCTCTCCAAAGCCCCCCCTCAAATTGGAGATAATGGGGGATAGCAGGGAATATAGTCTCCCTCTTAAGGCCTCTGATGAAATTTGTTCTGTCCCATTTCTGCAATAGTGTGTGTGTGTATTAGCAACAACTGTGGTGCTTTTATCCCCTGCTCCCCAATATCCTTTAAAGAGATAAAACCTGCTTGAAGCATCAAACAAGTGTGAATTGCATGTGTGCACTTTGAAAACTCTGGTCCCAAGAGCCTCTGAGTCATCGTGAGATGGGGGAATGATGTGCTGACTTGCACTGTACAGGGGGGAAGAGGCTGCCTCATACACCTATGGCAGCAGTCATCCTCTTTGTGTGTACCATGCAAAGCATGTCCGACTCATCATCCAAATCACATGACTCATGGGAATTAGACATGTTGTGTGGAGGGCAGATATTTTTCCTTCAGGAAGTACTTTGTTGCAGGAATGTTGCATTTTGCCAGCATTTGCTAACTGAGGAATATAATTGTGTAAGTCTCACGGGGACCTACTGTATGGTGCCGAAGGCATCAATAGTAGTGTCGTTTTCCCAAAATGCCTGCATCAATTAAAACTTTTTTGCTAATGATTATTTTAATCTCTTTTAAAAGTCATCTCTCCTCTGCTGTGATGGGAGTTTAAATTAAATATTGTGACACTTAAGACTGAAAGCATATGTCTAATCTTTTAAACCAAGCATGACACACATGAATGACAACAGCCTCTCCCCATTTGGGTGAGCTTTCCTTTACATTACTTTCAGTTCTCTGAAGGATGTGGGCTTTCCCTCTTCAGTGCTGAAGCACCAGTTTTGCAAGGTTCCAGCCTAACCTTCAGAAAAGATACCTCACAGCACTCAAGGAGGTGGATACAGGGGGCTGAGCAGGCTTGCAAACAGCAGCAACCGCCAGGTTGCTGGAAGGAAGTGATAGAGAGCAAAGAAGAAGAGAAATAATGGCTGCTCTGCTGAAGATGAGTGATCAGCCTGGTGCCCTCCCTGAAAATCAGCTGCGTCCTTTAATTCTTCATTTTAAGTACACAAAAACTTCAAAAGAAACACTTTTTGAAGGGTCCATTTTCCTATGACATCTGCTATCTCACCCCCCCACAAAAGGAAAAAGGCTTACCTTAGAAAATAGGGTCAAGGTAGCAAGTGCCATAGGGCTCCATCAAAGATGGGAACAGCCTACTGCCCCCCCCTCCATTTGAGAAGTGAGCGACGCTCTCCATGCAAATTCCCCAGGATCCCCAACGGCAAGAGATATTGCCAGTGCTACTGCCTGGTAGCGCCACTCGCTTAACTTTTTTCTGGAAAGGAAGACAGACCTGGCAAGCTACTCCATCTTCTCAGAGGCTTCCCCACGACCTGGCCTGTCTCCCCCTTCACCAAGGAGACTTTTTCTCTTGGAATGGAACAGAAGGCATCAGAGAGCTCAGGAATATGAGCAGAACCGAGGTGGGGGAGCCCTTCACAGCAAGCTGTGCCCACTTTGTTTTTTGCCACAGCCCACCTTCACCCACCCTTTATTGCCACAAGTATCTGGCTCATAATCTTGCAAAACAGGATGCTGGACTGGACGGGGCCCTCAGTCTACTCCAATATATGCTGAATTCATTATTTATGGTGTTTGTTTTAAGCAAAAATCCTCGCACTGTAGAGAGTTAACTTGGTGGGATCTTACAGAACTCTCAGAGCGTTAAACATACCTTTTGCAAATACAAGATGGTTCCTTTAAGAACAGCATAAAACTTCTTCCACCCTCTTCTTCCTCTGGGAGCTGAAAAACATATAATTCTGTTGATTACAGCGTTAATACGAGACATCACAGCAGATCCGCAGAAATACAATTTTTGAACTAATCCACAAAAGACTGCAATTATGATGGGGCGAGGGGGGTAATACAGTGAAGTGATTATCAATAGAAATGGGAGAGAAACTTAATCTAGTTCACATTTAAAACGGAATTTAATATATTTGCACTTTCTGAAACAACGTGAGAGAACAAAACACACTTAGCTGACTTTTGTGGTGCAGTTCTCCCAACCACCAGTGTTTAGGAAAATGAAAATTATGGCAGATGAAGGTGATGGACTACATGGAACTGGTGGAAATGACTGGCAGAATCCGAGACCAGGGAGAAGAGTCGGTGGAAGAAGATTGGAAAAAGTTTAAAGACTATCTACAGAAATATTGTAAAATTAATGAATGCTAGAAAAATGTTGGAATGAAGTTATATGGCTTTAGTAGAAATATTATAAGGAATTAAGTACAGATAGGTTAATAGAGCATTAAAGGAAAAAATAAGGTTAGAATGAGTTAAGATAATTATAGGATAGAAAACAGAGGAAGATGGACAGGAATTGCTGAAATAATTAACAGAAGTGGAATACAAAAAGGGAGGTGTGAGGAGGTCATGGAGATAAGTAAATGAAAGATGGGATAATGAAATTGTTTGATTTATCTTATTGTCTTTGTCTTGTTTTGTTGATTTGATGTGTTGTATTGTATTGGTTTTTTTTTCTTTTTAGTGTTTAAGTTTTTGGAAAAATAATAAATATTATTTTTAAAAAAAATGAAAATGAAAATTAGGCAAAAGTATGCATAAAAGCAAACATAGTGTAAATAACATAAAAATGCATTATATTAGGAGAAATTGCTTGCAAAAATGTCAAACTGCATAAAAATACATTGGTTAAAGTAAAAATCCATGCTAAAATGCTGAAGAAATATCATGATTTTTTAAAAACACACACACAAATCGCTGCAGAAACATGAGGCATTTTAAGGAAAACTGCCATCATCAGCCTTGGCAAAGGTCTTCCCATTAGTTCATTTGTGGCCTGTTTATGCGCAGAAGGACCTATTTATTTCACACCCAGCAATGGTATGAGAGTCACTTTCCTATGGCTTCTTCTCATGCTACTCCAGGAATGGTGGTGAGGAATTCCAGTAATTGCTTCCACCTAAGCATTGTCTCATCCAGAGAGAGCAGCACTTACATTGCAAGGAACCATACAAACAAATTTCAGAGTTACCAGTGTGGTGTAAGGAGAAGCCATGAAGAAGGGACTCCCATGCTATCACCAGTAGCTAAAACAACCCTGGAAAATATGAAGGGTGATGCGTCCCATGCTTCCTTGTTGTAGCCCATGCGTGCATCAGTGGAAAGCCAGACTCTCTCCTTGAGCATAACCATTTCAACAAGCGTCTCTGCCACTCTGCTGCACATCTCTCGCCCTTGTCGCTGGACCCCCTTCAATACGTACTTCTCTTCCCATCCATGTCAGCGTGGGTTTTCCGAGTGAGGATGCCATGCTTGTAGGTTATAGCATTCTGGGCCTGGGGGACATCCAGGAATGGATTGCTGCCATCAACTATCCTTGCCATTTTCTTTGTGCTGGCACCAAATTTATCATCCACCAGTTCTGACAAAGACTTTCTGAGCTCATCTTCATCACTTGGAAATAAAGCGAAATAGAGAAGTTAAGCAAACTAAGACTGAGATGTGGGGGGGTTTCCCTTTGAAAATGGGTGGGTGGGTGAGCAGGAAGCAGTGTGTGTTTGGAAGGAGGGGGAGAGAAGCCTCTATTGGCATTAATGGCTGTTGCTCTGAAGTCATCACTTATGTCTAAAGGAGTGTCTCTACGCCCATCATTCAGCCCGGACACAGAGGTCCAGCTCCGATGGCCTTCTGGCAGTTCCCTCATTGTGAGAAGTGAGGTTACAGGGAACCAGGCAGAGGACCCTGTGGAACACCCTCCTATCAGAAGTCAAGGAATAATAACAACTATCTGACATTTAGAAGGCATCTGAAGGCAGCCGTGGAGAGGGAAGCGTGGTGTGTTACTGTTGTTCCCTGTTTAGAGAAGTTTTTAATGTTTGATGTTTTTATCGTACAATTTTGGCCTGAATATAAGCCACACTTTCCCCCCAAATTCCAATTGTGAAAAGTTAAAGTGCGGCTTATATTTGCAACCTTACGGTATTGCTGCTGAAACAGCTGCCCACGAGGGCTGTTGGGGGTGCGGGACAACGGCGCCCGTCCCAACCGCATCTCCAACACTCCCCCAAGCCACCGTAAGGAAGGGGGAAGGGGGGAAGGCCATCAGCAAAACAGCCCAGGAGTGCGGGGCAATGGCACACAGCCTGCCTGCTGATCCCAGTCATCCCCAGATGCCAGCTTGGGGTGGTAGTGCCAGGAGTGCCAGGAGGCAGTAGTGTTGGGAGGCGGGCGCACAGTGTGCTCAGAACCGAGCGCCAGCCACCCCCGCCCCTGCACCCTGTTCAGGGCGGTAGTGCCAGGAGGGGGCCGCACCCGCAAATAAGCCTTGAATTTTAAAGATGTGGCTTATTTGTGGGTGCGTCTTATATTCGGGCCAATACGGTATTTTTAATATTCTGTTGCGAGCCACCAAGAGTGGCTGGGGAAACCCAGCCAGATGGGTGGGGTATAAATAAGTTGTTGTTGTTGTTGTTGTTGTTGTAATTTGTTGGAAGCTGCTGGAGTGGCTGGGGCACCCTAAGATGGGCAGGAAATTAACAACAGCAACAACAACTTGGGAATTGACTCCTGACTCTTAGGAGACAGGACAAATGTTCTCCATCTGTTTGCACATCAGCTGCAATCCAAAACTACACCCAGAAAAAGTATTAGTAAAGGTAAAGGGATCCCTGACCATTAGGTCCAGTTGTGACCAACTCTGGGGTTGCAGCGCTCATCTTGCTCTATAGGCCGAGGGAGCCGGCGTACAGCTTCCGGGTCATGTGGCCAGCATGCCTAAGCCGCTTCTGGCAAACCAGAGCAGCGCACGGAAACGCCGTTTACCTTCCCGCCGGAACAGTACCTATTTATTTACTTGCACTTTGATGTGCTTTCGAACTGCTAGGTTGGCAGGAGCTGGGACCGAGCAACAGGAGCTCACCCCGTCAAGGGGATTATCATTTTTTAATCCTCCCCCTCCCCCACCCCTACCCTGAGAGGGAGGGTTTTTTTTGCCCTTGGGACAGAGGGACTGGTGGGAAAGGGAGAGTAATTTTGAGTGTTTCTATCCAAAACTAAAAACGAAACAGAAATCTAACAAGGATTATAAAGCAAACAGGAAAGATTTTGGAAAATCCCAATTAATTTTCAAGGTAAGTTGGAGGGGGCTTGCACATCTCTATTTAAAAAATGTAGTGCTCAGTCTGACTCAATTCCTCTCTGCAACTTTTTATCACTCGGAGAAGCGGGGTTGCATTCACACTATAGTTCTACAAAGATTCAGGAACAGTAAGGTTGTGTGGAGGAGGATTTGCTGGCCTCTTCCATGTTTGTGCTCCTTAGCTGCTGAGATGAACAGCAGCAGCCTCCTCAAGAGAAAGCGCTGCAACAGAAGTATATCTTATGGCTAATGCACATATTGTGTACTATCTGGCAGAAAAGCATATCTGACAGCAGAGAGATAACCAGAGCATGAAGGTAGCGCTACCATCTGCTGGGAAATCTCTCTGCTTAGATGTTGAAATGTCCTAGATAGTGTCCTATTTTATCATCAGTTTACACCAAAGGGTGTCAGTTCTGGAAATCATATACCTGTCTTTCAAGGCTAATGACTTCGTCACCTGCCTTGGGTATTTTTGAATGGTGTTTCTCCTCCTCCTTCCTTCCTGCATGCATTTATTTATTTAACCAGATGCTCAGATGCACTTTCTTTGAACTCACTTATATAACACTTCCCTCAAATGCTAGTGTTTTACACACAGCCAAATGGAGATAGACAGCTAGCTCCCTCCAGTGGATCTTTTAAATTAATGTTTCAGTGAGATGCGTACTGCCACTCTCTCTCTCTGAAGTAAAACTGACTTTAGCAAAAGACTATATTTTGACGATCCCACCAAAAAAACACAACACCTTTCTCTAGTGCTCTGAATACTTGAAACTACAAAAACCTGCAAAACCTTCCTGAAAAATGTCATTAGCTGGGCATGTATTTCCTTAGAAAACCAGGCAACAAGCAAATTTAAGCTTTTTTTAGACGCAACCTGTACAAATTGTTGTGACCTACCGAGCCATCTATTAGGCTGGCAAGGAGAATGATCATATACCCCATTTTACAGTCGCAGGCAATAATGTGTTTATTAAACTCCTGGTGGGCTGCCATACCTGGCTGGTGGATGGCTGTTCGTTTGATGGGTCAGAAATAAGGATGCTGGCCATTGGGTTGGGGTGTGGCCCAGTTTGTTCGGAAATTTGGGACAGCCTCATTAAAACCAAGGTGCAAAGCCATGCACCCTGCCAGCTGCTGTTTCTTTTTTTACAGATCGTGAATTCAGGTTGTTGTGCTAAATTCCCTCACCTGCTGGCCCCACAAACCTGTCAGAATAGTTTCATTTTAAGCGTTGGCAACCCTCGTCCTAAATTGTGCAGGCCTGCTTTCGATGCTATTAAAACGACTAAAACTTGATTTTGCCTTAAAAGATCATTATGTAAAAGCCGCACACAAATCCCTGTGATGTAATACTAAGGCTATATATAGATGACTTTTTTTCTAGTCAGATTGCTGATTGACCCATTTTCTTCCTATGGCAAATGTCCCTGCTGCCGTTTGAGTGGCTGTTACAACCAGCCGATTAGATACTGACTGTCATCTAACTACAGTAAATATGATATGCAGTGCTTCCCCCTCCAAAACAATGTGAGTGCCATATCTTCACGATATTTGGCACTTTCAGAAGGAAATAAAAAACACTTTACAGTATTCTTCTCCACAACTGTACTCAAGCAGTCCTTTAAAATGAGGTGGCGGGAGTGGGGGTGGGGGGTGGGATAGTGACCAAGCAAGATTGTTCCAACAACCTGCATTTCTTCAACATGTTGTTCATTATTTGCTCCCCTTTCTCTGCCCCCACCCCATCTCAAACATAAACAATAACCCCCATCTCCTGTTTTTTGTTCCCAGCATGCAAAGCTGAAATTCCTGCAGCAAGACTTCTCTCCCCAACATTTGCCTGATTTTTGCAGTACATCTACAGAATGGGGTTCAAGTGGTGATAGTGCCATGTGGGGGGGGGGGCAGCTATAGCCAGCCTGTGAAGCAAATCATCTCACAGCATAGAAATGATTCTGAGGCAGGGAAGGTGCAATCCCATGTACTGCATTGCTGGACAGGAGGGGGAAATCCAGCTCTTAAATGGGCTTTTAAGGTTTTAAAAATACATTCTACATGCCTGACGCTATTAATTCACCCTTGCATTTAAATCTAATCAAACAGAGAATGTGAACTGAATAGTCAGGAATTTTATTTTTGTTTTGAAATACTCATTTTGGTTGAGGGAGAATGATTAAGTAAATTGTACTCAGATCACTCAAAACAAGTTTTTCTATTAGTTTTGAGCAAATGTTTCCCAAATACTCCATTTGACTTTTGTCCTCAACAATGACCTCCAGAAGAGTGCTTATAAAGGATGCTGTCCTGGAGGGATCAGCAGTTTGCATACAGGAAAAAAACACTGCTTGCCTTTGCAGCACTGCATCAAGAGCAGCTGCCTTAGCAGAAGGACAACCGGAGGGAGATTCACGTTGTTCCCTAGAATGCTCACACGATGGAAGCCACCATCTTAAGTGCTTGTGGGCCTGTGACTCTTCATTCAGTACAGAGTTACATGTGATCGAAGATGGTGGTACCCATAGTGTAGACTCTCTGCAGGACACTTTGGATGGTCCTTGGAGCTAATGTCATTTAAAACATAGCTGAAAAGGTCAATAGGAGTGCAGGGAGAAAATTGCTAGCAACCCCCACCCCCCTGAAAAACAACAACTCAGTTCTGCTAGTGCAGGGGTGCTAAGATGGTGCCCTTCAAATATTTTGGACTCTAATCTCCATCAGCCCCAGTCAGCATGGTCAATGGTCAGAGATCATGGGAGTTGTAGTACACAACCTCTGAAGGGCGTCACATTGGCTACCCTTGTGCAAGTGATAGGCAGGCTTCCACTGCAATGTTTCAGAAATAAGATGAGCTGCTTCTTCAGATGCTCCCTTTAATTTCTGCATAATACAGTGTGAACTGATTTTAGTGGGGAGATGTAAAGAGGATGCAGAACCCAAAACAGCTGGTGTAGAACAAGCAGCAACCCATTGCAGAAAGACCAATGGGACACTAAATCATTAAAAATGTCAAAAAATGGAGCAATAAGCAACTAAATATAATAGCAGATCAGAGCAGGTTAAAATGATACTGTATGTGAGTGAGTTTTAAAAAAGCACAGCTCCTTGTATCGGCATTGTGCTAACAGCCGACATGTGGGGTGGTGTCAGGGAACTGCCATTGGAGCTAGAGGCGGAGGGAAGGCTCCAGAGGGATGGCGGAGAGGGTCCCAGTAGGGAGAGAGGCAGCCCGTCCGCTGGGGAAGGAAATCAGCGTAACACCAGTAGAGAAGGGGGGCAGATGGGGGAATCAGAGAGGAGGCTCCAAGACTCCTCACCGGAGACCAGCAGAGAGAGTACAGGTACTCCGCTGCCCACACCCTCCCTGCGCAGAAGACTTCCGCGCAGGGAGAGTAGGAGGAGACTTGGCGTCAAGGAACTTTTGTGCTGGAAGAAGTTTAAGAAACGCCCACTGACAGATTCTGCCAGCGACTGAGACAGTCACGATGCTGGAGGCTGTTCAGTCAGAAAGGGTTTAACCAGGTAACCTAGCCAGGAGTGGCGGCAACTTACGCACGAGCAACCCCTAAACCCATTACAGGTGGATTTCTGTGGCCCAAAATACAAGGGGCTGGATCCAGGGTGTCAGTTCTGCAAATGGAAAGGCTCCTTCCACTCACAGAAGGGACTCCAATTTAGCCAACCTCCTCTTTGCCCTGAAGCTTCTCGTGTCACAAATGGTCAAGGGTATGGTTACCAGACGTCCCCATTTCCCGGGGACAGTCCCCAGATTAACAAATCTGACCCCGGACAAAATCTGTCCCTGGATTTCATTTAATGTCCCCGGATTTATATTTTAAGTATTGTAGATTTATTAGTAGGGAATGAATGTTGCGTGATTGGTTCAATGGCACAAGACACATCATATGGGGACTTCCAGCGAGACAAAATGGCGGGCGCCACGGCAGCAAGCAGCTCCTGAAGCCAGCTGGAGCCAACTGCACTACCAGGCTGCTTGCGAGCTGCTGAGACTGCCGCTGCCGCCACCACTGCCGAGAGGGAACCGGGGACACCCAGTGCACCAACTGGGGGAACCGCTGACTCGCCCCCACACGACCCAAATTAAGCCAGGCACAAGAGCACCTGGCCACCCTGTCAATTGCCAGGCGGTGCTCCGGGGCCAGGAAAACCCCGGAGCTGATGCAGGGAGAATGAGGAGAAGAGAAGGAAGAGAGAGAAGGAGGAAGGAGAAAAAAGAGGGGAGCCCCGACCTTGCTGCGCCGCTGCCACCACCACTGAAGAGGAGAGGTAGGAGAGCACCGGGAGGGCAAGGACACATGGCTGAGCCCAGGTCCAATCCAAGCCTACTCCACAGCAGCTAGCGCTCCAAGAGAGCAGGCTGGGGCCCAGATTAAGGCCGTGCGACAGAGGAGACCACAGAAGAGAAGATATTACTTCTTAATGTTTTTTAAAAATAACTTTTTAAAAAATACAGTGATACCTCTGGATGCGAACGGGATCCGTTCCGGAGCCCCGTTAGCATCCTGAGCAGAAGGCAACCCATGCCTGCGGGTCGCAATTCGCCGCTTCTGCGCATACGCGTGACGTTATTTTGAGCATCTGCGCATGCGCAAGCGGCAAAACCCGGAAGTAACCTGTTCCGTTACTTCTGGGTCGCCGCGGAACGCAACCTGGAAATGCTCAACCTGAAGTGCCTTTAACCTGAGGTATGACTGTAACTTTTTTTTCTCTTTAAAAAGAAAGTGTCCCTTTGAAAAAATCTGGTAACCTTAGTCAAGGGTGTCCTGCTGTAGGCAAACTGGATTCAGCCCACTGATTCAGCTCCCCTGCCAAAGTTGCCTGCTTCTTTGAACCCCCCCTGTCCTTCCCATTCAGCAGAGAGCAAAGGAAGCTGCTCCAAAGATGAGCTCTTTGCTCTAGTATACATTCCCTGTAGGTGGCAGTGCCTCTGACAACCTCTTCTACTGTCTACCTGATACCATTCAAGATGTCGATTACTGAAACTGTTTTCTGTCTTGAACAAATTCTAAGATACATTAATCCTTTTTACAAAGGCATATTATAAAACACTTTAAAACATACTTACATAGCCCATTCTAGCTTTTCATTTTTTATTGAGTTATACAGTGCCTGAAACAAGAACACAAAGTCAACTCTTAGTTGGTTCTCATAAAATGATTCCCATCTGTGGACGGTGCCCATATCAACCATTATTAAATCTGCCTATAATGGTGAAATGTCGTCATAGCTATATTGTATTCCTGACTGATCATAGGAAATGAGCTTGTCCATCTTCATTTTTAATCAAATTATTTGAACAATAAAGGAATAGTTGTTGTTTCTTCTTGGCTTGGTCACACCTGTAGGCATTTGCAAAACTTGTAAGTAATAGCATAAGGAGAGTGTTGCTGGATTAGACCAAAGGCCCAGCTAGTCCAGAGTCCTCTTCCCGCACTGGCCAGCCAGACTCCTGCAAACAGGACCCATCACAGAACTAGGGAACCTTTCATAGCCCTGGGGCTACATCTGCTTTGGGGCTACCTTCCGCCCTGTCTGCCTCAGCCACGTGGCTAGTGGTCAGGGATGATGGGATTTGGAGTGCAGCAATATCTGGAAAGGCCAGGGAACTGCCTGTTCAAATTCTCTCATATAAGCAACACTTCATCTTTGAAGACGATTAGTGCATCAGACGCAGAAGCCTGGGCTTTAATCTTTCCCCCTTTCATGTTAGCTTTCCAAAGGCAGAGAGTTTTGGCATTCAATTGTGCCATCCCACAGCTGCAATCTGAAGTGGGGCAGCCTCAAGGAGGTGGAACCACATGTATTTATTTTCTGATCATGACATATAGAAGAGCATCTCTAAGAATGAAAGTGAAAATAATCACAGCATAGATAGTGGAGCAGAGGCTGGGGTCCCTGTCCCCCCCCCCCAATTCATTCTTATTGCAAGCATGTTCAGCATCTTAGCATAATGGAACTTCAGCCACAGACACTTGGAATTTCCTGCAATAACACTGCACCCCATTTCTCCCCCACTTTCCTTTACTAGATATAGGATTACCTTCAACAGATCCTTTGCAAAATCCTTCCCATCATTCAGCCTGTCCAGATTTGCTGTAAACTGTTGGCAGGACATCTTTTTCCCAATATTCTGCAATGCAGAAGAACAGATACTTTATTTCCCCCATAAGTTTTTAATGCTACAGGCAATATATATATATATATACATATGGAGATAAATGAAGTAAACATATGTCAAATGTACTCTTTCTTTGTAGCCCAAAGTAGAGCAGTGCCAAAGAAAGAAAATGGAATGTTTTCCTTGCATAAACTGCCAGGCTTTGACTGAACCAGGTTATCCGTGTTTGCCTATGAATGTGAAATGAAATGAATAAGGCACTCTGTTGTGGGCACCCAGGCTGGGCTATGGTCTCCAGTCTTGCTGCAGGGCTTTTTGGGGTTTTTTTTGCAGGGTGGGGGGGAGAAACTTGGGAATTGTTTCCCCATTGTCATCTCACTGGCTTTTTCTTTCCAGGAAACCTGTTTGAAATGTGTGTGTTAATGTGTGACACTGGAGTTGCATTGTGGGGCACCTGATAAGGAAAACAGAATAAAATAAATAAATAAATAAATAAATAAATAAATAAATAAATAAATACTGAGTCAAAGGGCGCCTTGCGCAGGTTCAACCTGTCAGTTCTGAATTATGCTGCTCAGAGCGGAATGATTGTCAAAGCCAGATTCTCCTCTCCTTGCCCCATCTGACACAATGGCTGCTCCTGCACTGTCCCTGGTCCCATAGCTTTTTGGTTGAGCAAGGTTGTGCAATTTATCTACAATACTAATATCGCACCTCTTGCTAGGGCAGGGGGCATCATTATGAAAAATTAGCTTATTAAAGTGCAATACTTCCTAATCAATGGATTCAAAGAAGTGGATGTTGCTGAGAGTGGCATGGGAGCCCATCACAGTAAGCCAAACTATGGTCCGCTGTGAAAGAGAGGGCGTGCTGGTGCATGCTGCTCCCATTGCGCCCACCCGGCTCCTCCCTTTCCAAGCTGGAAGGGGGAAAAGGGAAGACTGACTTAGGTTTATGTGCAAACTAGCGCTTGTGGATTGTTTCTCCAAACAATCATGAGAGGAAGTCAATTTATTTCTTAACAAAGTTAGGAAGACATGCACGTTACACACATTTTCTTTTTTTAAAGTGCACCACTTTGGTAGGTGTTGCTTTCATTATTAACACATATATTTTACAATTCCAAGTGCCCAAAATGTACAGAAATGTAGTGCAAATTGTAACGACTGCACTTACCACCTGAGAAAGGGTTAAAGAGCAATAATAAGAGGATCCCGGAGCAGAAGAGAAAGAGAAAGGAGGAGAGAGGAAAGAAGAGATTAATGTCACCACAGCCATTGAGGGTTTACAGCTCTGAGATGCCTTCCAAATACTTATCCTCACTGAACTTGCTGTATTTACCACACCACTTCACCTACAGAAGAATTTGGGACTTTGAAATTTAATTTCCTGCCCAATTCTCCTCCTCCTTTCTCAGTGGTAACTTAGGCCTGGTTCTCACAAGCAGCAGGTAAACCTCTTTGGCTACAAAACAATTTTAGTTCTGACTGGAGTTGCAGATTTACATGACTCCACAGACAGAAAATAAAATCTGCACACAGGAAACAGGCATGTCAGGGAGAAGAAAGCTCCAAGAAGCAGCTCCCCATGACATTTCTATTTGCAGGTAAATTGTTGCGTGGGGAAGCGTGTTGTTACTTGAGCCCCTTGCTCACTTCTGAAGTGGAACAGTGGAGAATTCAGTTCCCCATGCCATCCAGGTCCTTTTCATACATTCCTTTGGTACAATCCCCCCTCACTCTCCTCCATGCAGTTAGTGTATTCATGGAAAGATGTGTCAAAAGGCCTCTGCTGCTTGTAAAAAGTGGGCCTTAGAGACAGAAAACAGAGACAAGCATGCAACTGGGTTTGGGTTAACCGGAGCCTGTGCGTCTTGTCAAACAACAGTGTAAATGTACCCTTTAAATGTGCTTAACTTTAAATAAGGGGACGTGGGTGGCACTGAGGTCTAAACCACTGAGCCTCTTGAGCTTGCCGATCAGAAGGTTGGTGGTTCGAATCCCTGTAACAGGGTGAGCACCCGTTGCTTGGTCCCAGCTCCTGCCAACCTAGCAGTTCGAAAGCATGTCAAACTGCAAGTAGATAAATAGGTACCGCTCCGGCAGGAAGGTAAATGGCGTTTCCGTGCGCTGCTCTGGTTTCGGGTTTCCATTGCACCAGAAGTGTTGGGCACATGACCCAGAAAAACTGTCTGTGGACAAACGCCGGCTCCCACGGCCTGTAAAGCGAGATGAGCACAGCAACCCCAGAGTCGTCTGCGACTGGACTTAACTGTCAGGGGTCCTTTACCTTTACCTTTATAACTTTAAACATGCTTAACTGGCGTACCTAACTCACTATGCTGACTGGCAGCTCCTTTCCACAGCTGCAGACAAGTGTCTTTCTCAGTAGTTGTTAGGGATTGTATCTTGGACAAACAAAGCTTGTGGTCTGCCATGGAGCTACAGCACTTCAGCCTAAAAGAATGAGTGCTACTGTCCGAATCAATGTAAGTTGCAGTGTTATTTTCTAAGCAATCAGCAATGCAGCAATCAGAACAAAGCAGCGGGGTGCACATTTATCTAATTACGCAAATCACAAACATAAATACTTCTTCTGAAAATAAACTCTTATACACGCTTATCTTAGTTTGTCCTACACAATCCCAGATGGATGAGACTTGAAGGAAGAGGCTTCCATTGCTACATACTCTCCAACATATCGCAGAGGAAAATCGGGATGATTGTCTTTTGAGTCCGCGTTCTTGTGGGAGCCAAAATGGGACATCCCAGGATCCAGTCAGAAGCAGGGATGGCTTCTGTAATTCTGGGATGTGGGACAGTTGAGGGGTATGTTGCTGTAGGCAGCATTTTTGCTGCATATAGAGCACGGAATTGAATGCCCTTCCCTGCCATTGTCTACTACTGCCATGACATCAGTTTTCAAAGGCATTTTCCAGATAGCAACAAATCTACCTGGAGAGCAAGAGCACAGCATATGTCTTCTTCTGAAAATACTTACATGGCCGTGCAGATCTGTGTTGAGCAGCATCAGGGCACAAGTGAGTGTGTGGATTCCATCTGGAATATGCAAGTACGGTAATTTAGCCTCTCTCTAAATTGCACTAACAACTAGATATATTCAGCATATTGTGTTCCTTGCCCTCACAAGGCAGGGGAACATTCAAAAAGCCAAGAACAAAATTTGAGGAGGTCAGTTTCATTTGGATCCAAATTAAGATATTGTTCTACTTCCGCAACAGCCTCACTCCCACTTACTTTTCATCCTAATAACTATTTAGCTATTTGAACTAAATGCAGTTATTAAGCAGGTGGCATTATTCCAGGAAACCGTCTAGTCTTTCCTTTCAGTTTGCTTAAAAAGCAAAATTTACCATTATAAAGCTCATTTCAAGGATTCAAAGTGCTGCTCTCAGGAATATGTACAAAGATCCTAAATAGGCCAGTCCAGTATTAATATTCTCCTGTGGTGCAGTTAGATAATTTTAGGGTCTTATTGATGGAGGGGCGACTCCTCTTTAGATAGTAACATGCTATCTAACAAATCTGAGTTATTTCGTGCTATCTAACAAATGCACTGAGTTATTTCAAAATGCGGGAAGCCAGTTATTCTGTTTTTGGGAGCCCTTCTACTCATTCTGCCAAACTCTGCATGTTTTCTGTTAACTTTTAAGGGAGATTTCACTGGCAAGCCTCTCAAAAAGCTATGTTATGGCAAGGTGCTATGTGGGGCAAAAAGGCCCAGTTCTGAACCATAAGGTGGTGTTACCTTCTGATGTGCTCTCTTCTGGATTGCATTGGCAATATCGGTGTGAGAAATGGATGAGGACACGTTCCCGTTCCTGTGTCTCTCCCATCAAGGGGAAGGCTTTTAGGAATGTTCTAGACATGGGAAGGTAAGAAAGTTAGCAAATAAATCGAAAGGAGACCAAAAGTTGCTGATCACAGGCCGTGAGATACCTAAAATGGATGTGGCTCTGGGACTTCTAAAGTCACAGTTTACTTCAGTGGTGCCTCGGGTTACAGACGCTTCAGGTTACAGACTCTGCTAACCCAGAAATAGTACCTCGAGTTAAGAACTTTGTTTCAGGATGAGAACAGAAATTGTGCTCTGGCGGCGCGGCGGCAGCAGGAGGCCCCATTAGCTAAAGTGGTGCTTCAGGTTAAGAATAGTTTCAGGTTAAGAACAGACCTCCAGAACAAATTAAATACTTAACCCGAGGTACCATTGTATTTATTATTATACTATTCATTATAACTGTTAAATCTCCACGTAGCTGAGCATGCCAACACCATACCTGGTTTGGGATGAAAAAAGGCACAGGACTGAGGCTTTCAGCGTCATTGACCATAGTGATCTCTGGGAGCAGCTCTGCACAAGGGGGATTTGGGGCACAGGGCTACAGTGGGTCTGCCCCCACCTAGGGACTGCATCTGACTACCCAGATGTAGAGAAAGTTCACATGTGTTGATCTTGTTTTAGCTTTCCAGTGATTTGAATTATCTTTTGAATGTTTTTAGTGGTCCTTTATTGATGCCTTAAAAGTTTTATTCTTTTTGTTAACTACCTGGTGGTTTTATTACAATCAAACAGTATATAAATCTTGTTAGGTGAATGAATGAATGAATGAATCTGACTTGATTCACAACTCCTGGACTAACATGTGAAAGGGGGAAAACTTCATATTTTGATACAGTTCATTGCTTTAAAGAATGCATTACAGAATGCATTACAAATGCATATATTCAGATAAAATACATTTAGAAATGTGTACGTTGATAAATAAAATATTATTTAAGTACAAAATGTTATGCGGATTTTATTTTTAAAATGCAGATTAATCCAGAAATAGAATAAATTTATGAATGAGCAAATGTGAAATTGAGAAGAACCAGACCCAGACCCATCTGTCCATCTCTGCCTCTGCCTGAACATTTCTATTGCAATCCAGAAGGACTGTGGGCTCTGGTTATGTGAGTGCCATGGATTAAACCTGGAATGCCACTTATAACAACTAGCACAACTCTTCTCACTGCTTCCCATTTTGTGTGCCTTCGTAACCTTAAATAATTAGTTTTATAGCCTGTGCAACCCTGAGGAGTTGAGGTGGACACCAAAGGCACGAAGTTTCCAGCAAAATAGGGAAAAAATGTTTCTATGTTATAAAAATATAATTAAAATCCCTTCTGTTTGCCAGCCTGAGACCCAGGGAGGGGCCATAGCACATGCTTTGTGTGCTGAAGGCCCAGTTCAATCTGCACCTACAGTTTAAAGGATCTGATTGCGCATAATGGGAAAGACCACAGGCTGAGGATTTGGAGAACAAAGGCTGCCAGTCAGTGCTCGCCCACACCTTGCTTATCCCATGCCTAGAAAGCACGGGTCCAAGAGGTTTTCCACTTGTCCTGTGCTTTCTGTCCAAGCGGTCTTCTGTTTGCCCCACTGCTTTCCCCAGGAAAACCCTCTTTTACCGCTGAATTGTAACAAATGTCCATCTGTGGAAAACTTGATTGACATTTGCCTCAATTCAGCTGGAAAGTGTGGCTTTCTCTGGGTGGGGATGGGGGGAGGTGCTGAACAAGCAGAAGTATGGACAAGCAATCAGAATTTTACTATTTTTATTATTATTTATTAAATTTGTACAGCACCCTATACCCACAGGTCTCAGGACGAGAACTGTCTAAATGGGCAAACAACCTGGTAAAAGGCAGCTTCGTATGTTCCTATGACCCAAAAAGTCTTACAACACATCTGGAAGATACTTGGGTTTATACTTGGGTGTGACTCTCTAGTGAGAGAAAGTCTCTCTTCATGTTCTTGCTGTCTTCATCTGTTGCACAAACTGTAAAAACAAGCTCCTAATCTCAGATGTTGCAAAGGGATCTGCGAGTGGAGATGTCTCCAAAGTACATTGGAGCTAAGCTCTTCAGAGCCATGTAGTTTAAAGCCACCTTCTGGAATTGTATCTGGAAGAGAACAAGGAGCCAATGCAGACATCATAGTACAGGCGTGATGTGCTCCCAGTAGCTTTCATTCATCAGATGGTGTGGGGTTGTACTGAGTGTAGCTGAAGCTTCCAGGCAGTCTCATTTGTCTGTTCAACACAGCAATTTTGAAAATATTTAGAAGCTAAGCAGGGAAATGCTCTCCCAGATATAGAAACAGTCTGACCTGCTATTTCAGTGGGGAAATGTATGCTTGTATTAGATGACATCCAAATATACAGAAAGTAACCATTTGGACCAAGCCCAGCACCTAGCAGGAGGAAGAAATGCAATGCACAGCAGAGAGAAACAGATGGGAATAGAGACTGAGAAGAAATGTACTCTGGCTAAACAGGCTGGGTGTCCTAAATGAAAGGACTCGAAGTCTGAAACGGAATCTGACTAAATGTTGTGGAGAATCATGTATACTGAAACCAGATGTCTTTTTACGGGGGGGGGGCTGCTTCGTGAAGGGCTTTTTCCAGTGGAGAAAGGTATTCCTACCCCTCCTCTCCTGCTGGAACTACACTCTACTGGCAAACACACATTTGAAACCTCTGTGAGAAATCACTCTTAAGTGACTTTTCTATTTGAAGGAGCTATCAGGCTATCATCACACATATTTGCTCATAATGTTTCATAAAGCCCTAAGGATCTTCAAAGGGAACAGAAAGGGAACAAAAAAGGCAATGCTAATCTTCAGCTTTGATTGTTATTTCAGTGGGGCAACATATGAGCCAGCGCTGGGACTTCTGTTGATCCAACAGCCCTTTCCCACTTCCCAGCCTACATACAAAACTCAAAGCACCCTGCCTGTAGATATAAGTGAAAAGCATCACAATATGAAGCTGTGTTATTGCTACACTCGACCCGCCACCCAGTCACCTGCCCTTTATCTGATGACCCAAAATGCGGCTGATAAAACTAACCTATTTAAAGGCAGTATTTGCAAATAAAGAGGAATCCAGACATAAGAGACATGCAATCAAGTTGAAAGTGCTTGATTTTTGTTAGACTCCTGAGATGTTTGAAATTAAATGATGGTAACAGAAACGGATAGTGTGGGGCCTTACCTCTAACTCACGCATTTGAGATCCCTGCCCTTGCAGCTCACCTGAGTGCTTTATCCAAGGTCAGTCCAGTGAAGTCAAAGAAACGGAGATATTCTTCTGCTACCAGTTTGCTAAATTCATTACTGTAATTAAAGAGGCCACAGTCAGTGTACGTCTGCATACTCTTCACCAGAGAATCGAATTCCACAATTAGATTCTAATTAGATTCTAAACCCACTGAACATGGGTTTGTGTTCCTACATTAGATACTCGTCCAGCACATCTTCAATCCATAGTGAAATTGATCCAGCCAAATATGAGCTCTTTCCAGTCCCATTGGTTTTCAAGTGCAGAGCCAAGCCATCCCACTGGACTGAAAAATACCCATGCTCCAAGTTCACTATGTAAATGTATGTATTTTTGACTCATTGTGTGACTTGGACGTCCTTCCCCCTTTTAATGTTAGCTTCATTATTGTATTAATGAAGCAGACACTAGAATTCTCAGTGACCGGTGAATAGCAGTTATTAAACGAACTGTCAGGACTTGGGAGCTAGCCAGGAGAACTGCTAGCAATGAAGGCTTTATACAGACCAAAGAACTGGAGCTGATGTGGTAAGCAAGGATATGGAATATTTTGTTGCAATGACAGGCTGCACTCCAAGATTTGTGTTGTTAGCCTTTGAAGGCTTCCTCGTTCAGCTTACATTTTTTGCATTTATTTTTGGAATGTTTCACTAAAAGAGAGAAGAGGTGGGCTCTTAACAGGTACGTATGTTGGATATTTGATAAATGTTGGCATTTACCAATCATTTTTAGCATTTTCAGGAATGCAGTGGGAAATTTCAGAAAATTCAGTCATATTATGGTAACTCTCACAACAAGCTTGCCTGGGTAAATTACCAGATTTTGTTCTCATTATGGGTGCCACTCACTGGCACAGGTTGAAATTCGCCACATCCAGATTGCTCTTTGCACATATCTACCGGCACTGATTTGTTGCAATAAATGAATTTTCATATGGGTAGTTCTTGCAGCAAAAAGAACAGAGTCTTATGGCACCTGATAGTCTGTTGTCTATTTGTCTACCTGGTAGACTGTTGTCTATGACAGCTTATGAAAGCTTACATTTTAGTTTTTAAGGTGTCCCATCACTGTTGCTTTTAACAAATGCATTTATTAGTATATATACAATTCATATGGAGAAGCAATATATGTAACAAAAGCGCATTAATTTCCACAACTTCCCAGCATTGCTGGTGAATGTGGGATTTACCAGTAAGTGATAGAGATGAGAGTAAAAGTGAGTCATTTGTTGCCATGCTAAATGCCTGTGAATAATCAAAGCATCTTGACCACTGTTCCCCAGGAACTGATAGCTCAAGCAAAACACAGCATAGCAATCACAATGATTTCTAATATTCTATTGCTTGGGATTGATAGGAGTGTGTTTTTACATGAAACTCCAATTCACATGTTATGTGTACTTGAAATCACATTTGTTAACTCCTGCCGCAGCTCTAGTATTTCAGAAGGAGTAAGAATAAAAGTAACTAAAAGTCTTTTAAAAAACATACTGTCTCAAAGAAAAAACATTTCCATTCCTTTGAGTTATTAAATTTTCATATTGCCTTTCTGAAACAGCATAAATGCTGGAACAATAGTTCTCCTAGGATATTTATTCATGTAGCACCAGACCAACTCTCTCAAGACCACCATGGGGATTATGGTCAGGAGGACCACAGTACATTCCTAGGCAGGGTGGGGCTGGTATCTCCAGCCACAGTACTTTTTCCTGTGGAACAGTCTGCCCTTTTTGGGATTCTCAACCTCCTAGATGTTCGGAGTGACACCCTTGCCTGTCCTTCCTAAAGAGTTTGTTTCCAGACATAAGCACCCCACTGGTTCTCTCTCTACATCAAACTGCTGAGTGGGGTCAGCCAGAGTTTTGGAGTATATCGTCAGCAATATTCTGATGACACACAGCTCTTCTGTGACCCTCAGATGAAGGCTCTTGGGCCAGAATTAGCCAACCCTGGATCAAGCCATCTTATTTACCAGTCATATTGTGCAGTGTTTAAAGACAAGCAGTAAAAGCAGAAAGAAATTAGGCTTAGAAAGCACAAGCACAGCAGAGATGTCTCCGCTGCAGAGCAAAGTGATATCCTTTTCTCCTTGATCTAGTCATTTGGCATCTTTTGGTCATCTCATGAGCAATTTCTTAGCTCAGTTGCTATATTTCCCTTTCCAGAGAGCAACTATGAAAAGCAGAGAAAGTCATGATGGGAACGTGTGTAGAGGAGGGTGACGAAGATAATAAAGGGTCTGGAAACTAAGCCTTCTGCGGAACGGTTGAGGGAATTGGGTATGTTTAGCCTGGAGAAGTGGAGACCAAGAGGATATAAGATAGCCATCTTCTAATATATCAAGGGCTGTCACATCAAAAAGGAGCAAGCCGAACTAACAGCTCCAAGTTACAAGAAAGGAGATTCTGTCGAAACATCAGGAAGAGCTTTCTGACAGCAAGAGCTGTTTGACAGTGGAATAGTCTCCCTTGGGAGGTTGTGGGCTCTCCTTCCTGGGAGTTTTTTAAGCAGTGGTTGGATGGCCATCTATCATGGATGCTTTAGATGAGATTCCTGCATTGCAGGGTATTGGGCTTGGTGATAATACTGCAGGTAAAATCTGCAGGTGAGGCGGTGGATGAGCTAGACTGTTGCCTTGCTTTGGTAATGGACTGGAAGAGAGCCAACAAACTGAAGCTGAATCCAAATAAAACTATGGCACTATCAGTGGGCAGTTGCCTAGACCTGAAGGAGTGGGAATGCAGCTTGGGGGTCCTTCAGGATCCTTTGCTGTTGCTTGAGGTGGTCTCTGTGGCACTGATTGCCTTCCATCAGCCTCAGCTGGTGGCCTTGCTGCACCCCTATCTGGACAGGGACAGCCTAACTTCTGTTGTCTATGCTCCGGTAGCCTCTCTAGATTAAATTACTGCAACACGTTATATGTGGGACTGCCTCTGAAGCTGGTTCAGAAACTTCAGTGGGTGTAGGAATCAGCAGCCAGGTTGCTCATCGGGGAAGACTGCTTCTGCTCCAACTGTATGGGCAGCCAACTCTGGGCCCAAGACACACTGCTGGTTTTAACCAATCTATTAAACTGTCGGGGTTATTGGGTTTGCCTGTTGCTCTGTTGTGTGTTTTTGCATTTTTATATGGTAAACCACCCTGTGATCCTCAGATGAAGGGCTGTATAGAAAGGTGGAGTTTATATTTGAAGACTTGACCCAATAGATTTGAAGTCTCTAGCATATGCCTATTCCTTTTTAAGCATCAAACCTTTGCTTGTTTCTGGGGAATGCTTCCCCAGCCCTCTTCCCCATCATTTCTCTCCTTTCTCTCTTTAAACTTTAAATTAGAAACAAAAATGGAAAGCAGGAACACAATGTCAGGAAAAGCTGTCACTTCGAAAATCAGGTTCCTTTTTTTTCTTCAGCAAATGAGGTCAATGTGCCCTTCGGGAGACATGGTAATAAAGCTATTTTCATGCTGTTTGGGACTTTAAATTAGTAGGTGCCCATTCTCTCAGAAATAAGTGTTCTGATGGGAAACTGCCCCATTTAGTTTCAAGACATAGATTTGAGTGCAAAATATATTTAAATGTGAATGCTAATATTGTGGGGTGGGGACAAGAAATATTGACCCTTTTGAGATTTGCCATACAGTAAGCCTTAAGAGCAGAAGTACAACAAGGAACATGGGCTCAGTTTCCCCACATAATAAAATATTAGAGAGAGGGAGGGAGAGAGGGAGGGAGTGGTGCTGATTTGAAGCAAGCCTTGAAGTCACTCACAAAGCCCTGAAAGACACACTCTGTCTCTAATCTCTGACCACAGTTTACTGTTGGTGGAAGTTGACTCTATAGGTGCTCAGGGAAAAGGTGCCTATGCATGTGTCCCCGGGCTAAGACCTCAAATGGAAAAGATTCCAAGATAAAGCCTTGAGTGAGCCCTGACACAATTATTTTTATTTTTTTTAATGATATTTATTGAGAATTTTAAGGTTACAAGCCCTGACACAATTAAACCCTATGCAAAGGAACTGAATTTGGGGAAACTTGAACTTTTTTTCCCACTGTGAAGATTGTCTAGATAATAAAGGTGGTGGAGAAATGTTAGCGGGAAACCTTTTATGTTATAAATTCAACAAAGTTTCTCCACACTTTTTTCAAACACTGTTTCTCCAATCTGCTGCTGCTTGGGTGATTTTTTCAAAAAAGTTTTTCTAAAGCCACTCAGAAACCACATAGAGAGCATGGGAATGTTACATTGCAACCAGAGGTGGCTATGTTTTTCGACAGAGTAGATCCATTGAAACTAATGAACATTTATTCAGTTAGTTAATTTATTGCATGTATATACTACCTTCATCTTCCAAGGATCTCAAGGTGGTTTAGACTGCATCCTCACAACAGCCCTGCGAGGTAGGTTAGGATAGGAGGTGGTGACTGGCCCAAGATCACCTACTGCACTTCATGGTTGAGTGCAGATTCAAACCCTGCTCTTCAAGATCCTCGTCCAATACTCTAACCATCCCACCACACTGGCTCTCTTAACATGACTTGGTTAAGCCCATTAATTTCAGTGGGTCTGCTCTGAGTATACTGTCTCTCTCCCACTCTGGTCACACTGCATTGGCTATTTAGTAGGCATGACTAGTTGGGACAAAGTGGGTAAGGATGAACATTCAGATCAATCAAATGGGGATCTTTTTCACCCATGTTGCATTTCCTTCAATGAGCATCTCCATCCACATTTCATGTGCAACTGGATCAGGGTAAGGGAACTGAGTTGCTCCATTTGCTACAAAAGCAGGGGCATGTTCTCTTTTCCTTCTCACTTCCAGACCTTTGCAAACGTTTTCATACTCTGTGGCAAATTACAATAAAGGGGGGGCACCCCTTTCATGAAGGAAAAAAACCCCTCCCCCTTTGGCTCTGCACTTATCCTGGTTCTTTGATGATGGCACTTACTTCTTTCCCAGCTGGCGGGCTACGTCACAGTGCTTGAAACCTTCAAGGTGATACAGGCGTTTGGCTAGTCTCTTGGCAGCCGCGTTGTCTGCCTTGCAGCCATTGACAAGGGTGTCTGTGCTTCCCTGGTCAAGTTGTTCTGTGCTGCCCATATCAGAGTCTGAGTCAGAAAGGGCATCTTTTATGCTGGCATCACTGCAAGGACAAAACAACAACAACACACAGCTAAATAAGCAAAAGCTTAACAGGGTAGTGAAGCTATCAGGCACAACAATACCCCTACCAATTAAACCATGTTGTTTTTACAAAGTACTATATTTTTGCCCCAAATTTACATTGAAAAGTTGCTCAAATAGATATGAGAGTAGTATTCCCACAAGCGGATGCCACATTGGCAGACACTGGTTTAAATGTATTTTTTCTTACATTTCTTACATGTTATATGTTCGGATCATCAAAACAGGATTTTTCTGCCTTATCTTAAAACATGGGTCAGCAACCTTTTTCAGCCGTGGGCCGGTCCACCGTCCCTCAGACCATGTGGTGGGCCAGACTATATTTTTTTATAGGGGGAGATGAACGAATTCCTATGCCCCACAAATAACTCAGAGATGCATTTTAAATAAAAAGACACATTCTACTCATGTAAAAACACGCTGATTCCTGGACCGTCCGCGGGCCGGATTGAGAAGGCGAATGGGCTGCACCCAGCCCCCGGGTTGCCTATCCCGTCTTAAAATGTCTGACGAGGACCTCAGCATTCCACATATAGGATGTTTGGAATACAGGGGTCACACTTCACAATATACCAGGATTTTGGGTAAGTCAGGAGCACAGCTTCAGTCTGTACAAAACAATTCAAATGATATGTAACCATTGTTTCTGTGGTCTCTCAAGAAGCCAAAGATCATCAATTAAGACTTCCAGATTAATGAGTTGATAGGATAGTTTTATTATGAAGACAGCTGTTAACATATGTTAAGATTCATGCTGCTTTGGCCTCATAACCGGTTGCCTTCAGGTACAAAACATATGCACTATGAGTATGGAACACTCAAGTATATTTTTTATAAACGATCGCTTAAAATACATGGAAAGAGATGAGAAGCAATGGGCTGAGCTGTCGCTTCCATGCAGAGCAGAAACACAACCGTCTCAAAACATGTTGCATTTGTCTACCTGAGCTCAGATTCTAGTGTGACAATGTTCAGAAGCAGCCTTTAGAGCCGAATGTTTAAGGCCCTTTTAGGCTGTTATGATTAGAAACCTGTGCTCTGATCTTGACACATTTTTAGATATGTCCTCCTTTCCGTACATCTTATTTATTCCATTCATCTGGGATTTAACCTGGTTTCTGCCTTGGGACTGTGCACTGGCCTTGTAGCACCTTTAGAATATATGGCGTTTGGCAAATGAAAAAAGAAAAAAATGTACCTATCCTAAAGAACTTCAATCTAACTTTACTATAAGATAAAGATGTAGCCTTTTTATGGTCGTTTACTGAAAACTAACATTTTTAATTAACATTTAAAATAGAAAATGCAGTTAACATGAAAACATGAAATCCCATAACAACTTACATTTTAAAAATATCTCTCATTGCAGTAGCAATAAAACTACAGCTTTCCTTTTAAGATGTATCCAGAATTCTCTTTCCTTGTGTAATTTTGATTACATTCATAAGCTTATATAGAACTGTAATATTCCATATTTTATCTATTTTATATAATTTATTTTATATTCCATATTTTAATTATTTTATTTTATTCAGTGGAATCAAACTGTTGTTACAAATGTTTTGCAGTTACCACTTTTGCTGCCATTCAATAGCTACTATCATTTAATACTAGAATCATAGCCATCATCTGTTGGTTTTAGGCACCCACTCTTTAGCCCAAACCCCACACAATATACAACTCCTCTGGCTTCAAAACCAATGATGTGCCTGAACAGAATCATACGAAGACCCCCAAATGCTACAGATACCCCAAATATCAAATCATGGAAGCGCAGGGTGTAAAAATCTGATTTCTGCCACTGCAAGCCACCTGCCCTCTCAGCACTGCTACAGTTGTAATTTCTTCAACTTTAGACTATGAATTGTACAGAACATGACATGACCTGCTCTTCCCACCCCACCAGATCTGCAATATACTTCACACCCATCAAGCTTTCTCACCTCTATATAGAACTGGCCAAGGAGCTACGTGACCAAACATATATCTGCCATAGCATGGCATAGTCCCTGATTCTGAAGTGGTGTCCCTATGTCACCAAGAAGAAAGCCTCTTAAAAAAATTCTTTTGTACATAGTGCATCAAGGAGTAGGGCTTAATAAAAGCAAGCCTGACATTACCTAGGGAATGATATTGTGCTAATGGGGGGATTGGTTGGTGGGAGGCTGACTATATTGGCTGGCGATGAGGAGAGAAAGCAACAGTGACTTCCCTGCCATGGGGACTTTCTTGCTTCTGGGCAGCAGAAAGAAGACAGGCCCTCTGTGGCGTGTAAAGGAAGCCCCTGACCAAAGTGGACTGGGGCTGATGAGGGATTTCCTCCCAATGCAAACAAGCAGCTTCAGAAAAGGGGCTTTCCTAAGCATTGTAAGGTGAAAAGGGAAAGGACCCCTGGACGGTTAAGTCCAGTCAAAGGCGATTATGGGGTGCGGCGCTCATCTCGCAGTGGAGAAAATGATGACGATTGTCCTCCCTGCTTGTAGTGATCTTGGCAACTGTCGGTGCCCACAGTAAACTAGATAATTATTAACTCCCTAAAAACTTGCACGTCAGGTGCAAATTAAGACATTTGATATCACATCTAGCAGAATTCCTGAAGGCAGAGAGCATTTTCTAAAGGTGAATGAACAAGAAGTGGAGTCTATAGAAAGAAACGCTGATAATATATTTCCATCATTTATCTCTTCCCTCCTTCTCTCTCCTATAGTAAAAACTAAGACTGTAAACTCCTTTAGTTGCATGCTGCCTTTCCCTCCCGACCCTGCTTTCTTAAGCACTGAGGCAATATATAAATAATTAGGGTTGTTGACCAATTAATGCAATTTAAAGTGCAAACCTATATTCAGAAATAAGTACCATTAAGTTTAATGGACTTTGCTCCCAGGTATGTGGGTATAGGATTGCCACCAGTTTATTAATAATGCAATTAATTAATTAATTAATTAATTATTAAAAATACAATTAATAATCTGTCTTTAACCAATTAATACATTAACTAGGCTTACATTAATTAGGAATATATTTGCATGTCATCAGAATCTCAGTACAAGTGCCTTCTGAAGATACTTATGAAAATGTGATAACAATTTAATAAACAAAATCCATGCATCACCCTCTTCAATCGAATTTAGCATCCAACAATTAATAAACTTACACTTTCATAGACTGATCTACTAACTGGACTAATTAAAGCCTGCAGCTCTATAAATACTGCAACAACAACATCAAAAATATGAAATAAAGCTGAGTTTTCAAGTGATTCATTAGTGAATAATTGGTTGAAACAGCATAGTTAATCAACTGCAAATATCCAACTTATTGACAGCTGTTAGTATAAGAGGGTCATTTTACCTGATTGAATTAATAAGCCTTGTGGCATCTTCTTCTGGTCTCTCCATGTGGTACCCATTTGGGATGTTTTTCAGAGATACCCTGCTCAGCACATTTTCGGACCGGCTGCTGGTGATGGAATGTTTCAGGGGGCTCCCAGAGTCACCATCTATCGCCCCGGCCATTGCGTCTTCCTGCTTATCTGTTCTTGTGGGCTCCAGGACTTCCTTCCCGTGAGCAAGGAGTTTCTGTTCTAAAAGTTCAGAGCTTTCCTTAGTTCTTTGCTGAATAAGAGGTGTGAGTGGAGCTTCAAAGCTAACACAGCTGTCTGTCTCATCTGTCAGTGAGAGCACATCCAAGGAATCCAGACTGCTATAGTATGTACCCTTCATGAGGTCAGATTCAACAATTTTTTCAAAGGTAGAACTGAATCCGTCCCTGATGTCTTTGAATGCAAAATCTTCCCTGTCATCATCACTGCAACTTAGCTTGCATTCTGCACCAGTGAAGCTGAAATGAAATCATACCACTCAACAATAAAGAAGTTGCACTCACTGAATGTCATTTTTTTCAGAGATAGTATAATTTGTGAATTGGGTTTCAAGAGTAGAGATGCAAATCACAGAATATAGGAAAGCTTTTGCAGTGAAACATACCTGATCCTAGAATATAACTTTTGCAATAATCTAGTCAACACAAGATGCTCTCTAAGACCAGAAAATGTCTAACAGGCTGGTATTTTCTTAGACACCTCCATGACATGCTGAAGAGGCAAATTGTTTTTCCGTTAATTTTTAAAACAAGTAAAGCAGTTTGCTTCTTTAGCAGAGAAAGGGGTGGAATGAGAACTTCAAAGAATGATAAATTCTTTGATAAATAGAAGGATGATAAATAGAACCAAGAAGACAGAATCTGGCTCCAAAATGGGAAACATTTGGGCAAGGCTGCAAGAAGCTTCTGACATACAAGACATACTGCACAACTCCTCTGATAATTAATTCCTTTGTGTCTGGATTCTGTGTCAAAGAGGTACCACAGTCACAGAACCCTGGGGCTGGCTCAGGCTATTTAGGTGAGAAATCGGAATCAGCCCACCCAACACTCAAGGAAGTTTACTTGCCTAGGAATTCCTGTTGGAGAAGGCAGAGGGCACAACCCCAGGGGATGGCTCCAAGTTGGAATACCAGTCCTTTAAATAAAAAGCTGACACACTGGGGAAAGGAGGAACAAAAGGGGCAGCAAAGGAAGGCGCCTACTGAGCCAGCGGCAGCCTTGAAAATGTTTTTTGGGTAGTGGCATTCCCAAACCCAGGTCCCAGCTTAAGGCAGCTTTCAGGAGAAACTCAAAGGCATACACACTAATCTGAGTATCAAATGAATGGACTACATTTCTGTTACCTTATCTGTTCTTCTCCATCCTCCAGATCAAACAGCTCTGCAACATCCTGCTGTAGATGCAACCCTGCATTGCTGAGTGTCTCGCTGAATAGCAACGTGTTCTTTTCCAAAGCAGCAGCACCAGTCCTCGGAGTGGTTTGAGTCTGTGTCAGAGCTTCCCCCTTGCTGTCAAAATCTCTCTGTTCTCCAGACTCAGACTCTGTGTGTAACCCATTTGTCAGCACCAGGCTGCTGATACTGTCCCTGGCACTTCCTGACTGTTCTTGCTGTCCCCTTCCCTGCTGCAGAGTCTTCTCCCTCCTTGTGTCTGCTGCTGCTCCCTGATGTTGGACTGCATTCTCCACACAGGAACCCTGATCTGTGCCTTTGTACATTGATCTGGGTGGCTCGTCAGCATTGTTCCGGACGCTGGATGTGATGCCAGGGGTTTCTGCTGGCTCTGTCGGCCACTTGCTCTCACTCGAGAGGACTGTGGCTAGGTGCATGCTTGAGGTATGTGGCTCATTATATGGGGCTGGTGTCTGTGAAAATGGAATATTTCCATTCATGTTCTGTTGGTTCTGGCTTGACTTGTTGATTTGAATATTGCCTACAAAGAGAGAGAGAGAGAGGGGGGGGGGAGAGAGAGAACATCAGAATCTCAACTGATTAATCTTTAAAATTAAATGACAGTTAAATGATGGTAAGGCTTATTAAAACCTGGCATCTCCAGCCAAAAGAAAACCCAAGCACCAAGCACTACATTGGCACATGCCCACCCTTCTCTCCCTTCCTGCCCCTGATTCCATTGCTCCCCTAACTCCTAAGCCTTTAAACAAAAGCATGATACTGTGTAAAGTGCCTTGTCCATTGGTGGTCCTATATAAATCATTCAGCTGAAAGTATCACATTATGTGGTGTTGGTAAAGCATGGTGAGCTAGCATGGAAAAGTGCTAGTGGATCACTCTGTATATTTGGATCACAACAGCTTTACTTCTACGACCAGAGAATTGTACTTAGTAGAATAGTTCATAATGCACTGGCATCTCTTATATTAGTGTGTTTATACCCCACCCTTTTGGCTGGGTTCCCAACTTCAGATGTCTCCTAAAAGTTCTCCATCTCCTTGACATCTGATGGGAGGCTGTTCCACACCTTATGCTTTGAACTGAACTGTGTGGGCTCTTCTTAACCATGAACTGGGAAATGCTGACAACTAGAGAGCATGGAGACTGTTACATTCTGCTGGACTACTATCATGTGTGGCAAAATCCAAACTCTTCTTCTTCTTCTTCCCTTGCAGTTAAAAGTGGAATTCTTTATTTACAGCACCTCCTGCCCTAAAGACTCAAGGCAGATTATGGCAATTTCACTCTGAAATATAGATAAGTCTCTGGCAGTGTTTATAGTTTTGGCATATGAGAGAATATTTGTAATTTCCGTAACACCTTAAACTACAGCAAAAATGTGCAAATTTGCAGTTTTGTTCCTGCTGACAAGTTAGTTATAAATATCTTTCTCAGTGCAAGAGTAACACCTTTTGCTTCCCATGAATACTGCTGAGATGTATCACACCAGTAGGGTGATTGGAAATGTGAATTTACTGGTGTGTAATGAGGAAATTTCACCTAGATTCAAGGAGGGCTTTTACTGGCTGGAACCAAAAGAAGGACCATACTTTTGGTATACATACTGTTTTGAGGTGTTTGGGGGGTGGGGTGAGGTGGGAGTAGGCTGTATGCCTGAGTCTTATATACAACAAGGATCCAATTGCTGGAATAGGCATACAAGTTTCTTGCTAATGGCCCCTAAGCATGGGTCATTAAATAACAAAGGAAATGGCTCTCTGCCAGAGGACAAATGGGGGAGCCCCCCCCCCAACTGTCAAAGCTAGAGTAGAGATGTTTGAAGGAGAAGCTAGAAGCAGGAAGCAGGCTGGGCAGCTGAGAGACAGAGGACTCAGCTACCCTAGAAAAGAAAAAGCGCTTTATATGAGTTACAACACTGTGACACCAGGTGGCACTGTGGAGTCCCATCGTTTGCCAATGGCAAACCTTTACCTTTACCTTTACCAAACGTCGTTTACCTTTAAGAAGCTTAAAGGTAAAGGTGAAGGGACCCCTGACCATTAGGTCCAGTCGTGACTGACTCTGGGGTTGCGGCGCTCATCTCGCTTTATTGGCCAAGGGAGCCGGTGTACAGCTTCCGGGTCATGTGGCCAGGAGGACTAAGCCGCTTCTGGCGAACCGGAGCAGCGCACGGAAACACCGTTTACCTTCCCGCCGGAGCGGTACCTATTTATCTACTTGCACTTTGACGTGCTTTCGAACTGCTAGGTTGGCAGGAGCAGGGACCGAGCAACGGGAGCTCACCCCGTCGCAGGGATTTGAACCGCCAACCTTCTGATCGGCAAGTCCTAGGTTCTGTGGTTTAACCCACAGCGCCATCCGCGTTTACAACACGTTTACAAAAGCTTACAACACGTTTAACAGAATTGTGTTCTTTTTGCTGTGTCTAGATCCAGCCAGAGTGAGCCCTGATTTCTGCTGGAACTGAACAATATTAACTTCCTGTAAGAAAGAACTGGTGTGACAACCATAGAGAGAATATGGGGCACAACACAAACTGAGAAATAAGAGGTAAAGCCAAGACTTTATGTTGGGGATTCACAAGTATTCTGTAGTTTGCTCCAAAAGAAGCTGATCTTTTGAAGGTGCTCAGTTTGAGCTGCTACAACTTACCTGACACCTTTCTTACCTTCTCTTCCAATCATCCCCCCCAATCTAACAACTTACCTTTGGGGCAGGGGAGATGGCAGCAGAGGTAGCAGTGGGCGCTTCAAGGACCCTGGGATGGGCTTAGAGGAGAGGACTCAAGATGCTCTGCTGGGGCTTGCAAGCATCTGCCACCACTCCAGTTTTTGAGTTTGGGGCTCAGTGAAGGGGATGGCGGCTGTAGAGGCAAGATTTACATGAACAGAGCTGTGCTTGCCTTGACCCTGGTTTTTTTGAGTGCATAACATCCCTACTTTTATGCCTGGCTGTCATAGGTGATGGCGATGTCATCAAGGAGATGGAAATGGAAATGGAGTGAGTAGTTTAGTTTGGTAGTTAGGCCTATTCATTCATTTTAAAGCAACATCTCTTTCTACAAATTTATGGAACATAGTTGCTCCTCATGTCCTCACTTTCAGCTTGCCTCAAGAGAAGGATGGGTTTATCACCATCTCATGGAACCCTATAATTGTAGCCCAACTCCCTCAACATGCTGGAAACTGAACTGTTTGTGTTTCATCACAGTCTTCCTCACTTTGATTATACTCCGAATCCGCTAAGATTTTCATACATTTTGTCACCTGAACATGATATATTGGTTTTATCTCAGGTCTGTTATAAACTACAGAGTTTGATGTTTTTCTTTCTCTCCAATTTTCAAACACAGAGACACTTGAACATCTAAACAAGGGTTCTCAAGAACAATATTATAAATCGTGTTCACTAATTTGTGTATTTTTGTTAACCCTAGTAAAAGGTCTTGCTCCCCCCCCCCCCCTTTACTGGCCCAACACAACTTTTGTCTAACATACACTTCATCCACAACAAATCACCTGCTGATCTATATCTATTAGCTGCTATGTTCTTTGCTGTATCTTATTTTTCTCCTGTGTAAAAGATTGTTGCACATCAATAACATGGCAACTCCCACAGGAAAGTATTCCAGAACATTTCTACCAGTTTTTCTCATCCCCGTTTTGCCTTGTGGTCAAATTGGGTCAGCTCTGCTACTTTTTCATTATTGTGATCAGGACATGGCAAGAACGTCCACCAAAGAAGCAAGAATTTGGCCTTGCTTTGCTTGTAATTGGAAACAAGACTGTAGTTGCTTTAGGAGCCTGATTTGGTACCAGACCAGTTTTTCATTAAAACTGAATAGGCAGCAAAAAGGATTTACTTGGTAATTTTATTGCTGTGCTATTGGAAGGATTCCCACTGCTGGTCTGGACGTTGCACTAAAGCAGGGGGCAGGGATGACTTTGAATTGCCACTACAACTGGTTCTGATCTTGTTAGCAGTGAAATGGAAGGAGGCTGCAAGGACAGTAAAAGCCTTTCTTTCAAAGACTTCTGCATCAAGCCCTTAAATTCTCCTTCTTCTGGCAGTGGAATATCATTTGTTCCTTGCTAGAAAGGACAACATCATCAACAGCAGCAAAGTAGAATCCATAGGTATAAAATCAATGGGGATTACTTAGAGAACAGAAATACCTATTGAAGATTACAAGTTGAATTTGGAATGATTTATTATTATTATTATTATTATTATTATTATCATCATCATCATTACTACTATTACTATTACATTCCTTCCTTCCTTCCCTGACAAGACTCAAGGTAGCTTACAGATAAAATAAGAGTAGCTAAAAACTTAGGGAAAAACAATAATTTAAAAACAATTAAACATACACACCCACTGCCAGCTCCCCTGTGACACACTCGCTATTTTTAATAACAATTTTATTGAAAGTTTTTAAAAAAACGTAAACAATAAAACTCAAAGCCATTTATAAGAAAATATGAAACACAATTGTACAGGGGGAAGAAAAAGAGAAAAGAATAGAGAAGGACTAACTTAGAAGACAGTTTATCACATGCATGTTATGCATATCATATCATGGATCCACAGATCCCTCAGTTCTCACCTGGGTGCCTCCCTCTTTGCCCCCTCTGAGAGATCCTTCCTGCCCTGCCTTTCTTGCAGGTACCTCCCACCTCCACATGTCCCCTTCCTGTGTGTGCCCTCCTTGATTCGTAATCTTGATATAAAAGATACTAAAATATATAAAAAGAAAAAGGAATTCCCCCCTCCCTGTCTGACAGTCGTCTGTAACAACTATTCTGAATATTTAACATATGCACTCCAGAATAAAATCTAGCCAGTTTCCCCTTCAGCAAGATGCCAATTTCCTAGATTCCCAAGCTGAGCCCTAAAATTTTAACCACTCAGACAGCACAATATGACCCTTATAATAATTTTCTAATAATCCAAATTAGCATTCCTCCAGTTTCTATATCCAATTTCTTATAAAGCCTCTTTAAAACAGTTCCAAGAAATCTCAGCCAAGTCATGATCCAAAATTCTTGTCTATTTTAATGTTCATCCAATCATGCTTCCTCTTCTTCTTTTTCCTTTTCACCCAAAATATTTGAACACTTTAATCCATTGTGGCATGGCGAGGGGCAGCTTAGTTCACTTTTCTCAAAGTTACCCTCCTAGGGGAACATAACTTGCATCGTCAACAGTTTCAGTAAACTCTTCCATGCCAAGATCTCCCACGCCAGTTTAGCCAAACAGAGCATTTCCATAGAGCTATTTCTCTCTTGCTCCATTGCTCATGCTGGCCGCCCATTCCTCTCTGCTGGAAGTTCCCACACCTCCCCAACAGAACTTTCTGCCACCTCCATCGAGTCATCCACAACCACTCCCAGTTCATGATCTCACAGTCCACTTATTCTATTTTTTGCCTTATCTCTTGGGTCTCCTGTTTAGTTTCTTCTTCCTCCTCCTCACCACATAATTCCAGTATCTCTCATCCTCCTTGTCCATTCTCCAGCGCTGCTACAAGCTGCCCAAGGGAGGAGGCCGGCAGTGGTGGCCATGGGATGCTCTCTCGCAGCTGCCACTGCTGCCGCTGCTCAGGACCAGCTCCAGCCTCTCCTCCTCCCTGAGCTCAGTGGCACTGGTGGGAGAAATGGGGGGACATTCCAGGATCAAATCAGAAGCTGGGAGGACTTCGTAATTCCAGGACTATCCCTGGAAAATAGGACACTTGGAGGGTATGTTGTCCTGCTGTAAATATTCCCAGCTGCTGGTCCATGGAGCTAACTAATAAATCATGGATGCCTGGAAGAGGCAAGTGGGTGAAGGTTAAGCTATGTGTGGTGGCTACTTTCACACATACCAACTTACAATTTTCAAAGATCCCTATTGGCAAAATATTTATTTTAAAATCCATTCAATGCCTATAGGGTGGAGGGAGAGGCCATCAGTTTCAGAACAATTTCTTGTCATAAAATTGCTATGTCTGACCTTGGACATCTGACTGTCCTTCGTCTTCCCATCTATGCCAAAGAGATTATTTTTGTACTTGCTAGTTGAGTTGTTGTATTCTGGCAATCAGAGGCAATTGTTAAAATAGATTGGGTTGTTTCCTGTCCCTCTTTGTAGGCCCAGATGTAAAAGGAAAAAGCGGTGTGAGATATTCACAGTCCCTTTACAGAGATATTCATAGCTTTTTATCCACCTTCATTTTTTGTGTTGCTCTGTGAGGTTCCTCACCTTGAATCCTTCCTCTTTAGCCCTTTCTATCTTCAAATCCCTGCCTGCTTCCCTTGTTTTGTTGTCTTCTAGCTACTCTTCCACTACTCTGTTCCAGGGGTACATACTCCATGGATTCAGTGGCTACTTATCCCCCAGATCCTATTTACTGATCACTCTTCCATCCCTTAGATCACATTCAGTGGTGCTTAGTTACTTAAAACTAAATTTCCCTGGTTTGAGATGCCTACTTCCATCAGAAAAAGACTTTTCAGTTTATGGTTGCCATACATCTGGAATTTCCCGGACATATCAAGAACACTGCTCAACAACTTTTCACTGTTTGAAATACGGCAACCCTATTTTCAGTTCCTTTACAGGACCTGCACTGTTAATCAACATGCTATCACTGCAAAGTGTGCAGTTAGTTGTAACATTCAAGAACTGCTGTTGCAGAGAAACCACTCATGGCTCCTTTGCAAAATACTCCTTAGAGCAAAGATGGGGAGTTTGTGACCTTCCAGATGCTGGACTGCAACTCCCATCATCCTGACCATTGTACACACTGGCGGGGGCTGATGGAAGTTGGGAGTCCAACAACATATAGGAGATCAACAATTCCCCATCCCTGCCCTAGAAACCCATTCATAAAAGGTATTGACTTCCACTGAATTGGGCCATTGGCTCATTAAGCTCAGTATTATTTATCTACACTGACTAGCAAAAAGCTTTCCAGGGTTTCAGGCAGGGGTCCCAAATAAAATAAGTTGGGGGAAATCAGGCTCCAAACTGCTCCATATGGAGTTGCAGACATGGCATTTTGACGTTTTTGGGCAGGTGGCTCAATTGTCCCCTTTCCATGCCCACTACTTCCTCCATGATTGCATTTCTTTTCCAGGTTGTAACTATTTTCAGTGCACTCTAGAATGGTGGAGCTTTTCTGTTTTCTTTGATCTCTCAGATTTGCACAAAACCAGAAAACAGCACAAGCAAATCTTTTGCACACTTCTTGGGTCTAATTCAAATGGAGGGAAAGTGAATTAACAGCTAAATAATGTTCAAATGTAGAGAAGCCCATAGTCTCTTGCACAACTTTAAAGGCAAGCAATGGCTTGTGACTGCAGAGATACAATGATGAGAGTATTTGAAGTAAGGAAGGGAGTTTCTACAGGTCAGTGAGTCATGGCTTGGCTATAGCTACCTAGCAGGCCTCAGAGGTACCAAGTTCCACCCAACATTGGGGGGGCACCATGTGTGCAACCCCAGCCCCTCAAGATTGGGGGGGTTGGGTGAAGACACCTCAGCTCTATGGAGTTGGCGCCTATGGCGGGACTGCAGCTGAGGTGACGTTTGAACCAAGGATTTCCAGATCATAGCTTGTACTCTTAAGTAAGGCTGCACTGAATGCTGTTAGATGGGGACAGGGTTATATCCAACACTGGTTCACCACAGCAGGGGTGTCCCATCCAGGACTGGCCCAAGACATTATGGCATCTGAGGTGAACCACAAAATGGTGCCCCTCCCCACAGGAAGAAGTGATGAGTGAAGATCTACATAGGAATAAGGAGGGGATAAAGTTTTGCATCAGGATCAAGGGAGAAGGGAAGCTCTACACTGGGAACAAGGTGGGGAATCAAATCAACCTTACTCAACAGTTGAAATGGGAATCAAAGGCTGTTGCAAAGTTGGGGAGGGGCCTGCTCTGAATGTTGCTGGGGGGGGTGCAGAGCCCACAAGACCCCAGTGGGCCAGCGCTGGCACCACCTCATGCAACATATCTGAAAAGGCTCAGGCCTATTCTTAGCTATTATGCAGCTTTGTTATGCGGGAAGTCTAGTTGTGAATAGCTGAGATGTGTGAATAGAGATAAAATTAAGAAAGAGAAAGGAGAGGTGCAGTTTATTGAATATCATTCTTACATGGAATCACAAAGCCAAGCTAAGTCACATGTCCATTTATGCAAGGTGATGAAGGAACAAAGTTGCATTTTGTGGTCAAGGCTTCCCAGCAATGGAGGCTCTTAATTCCAAGCCAAGAAACAAAGTGGCTGGAAGTGACTGAGCTTTGTGGAGCTCTTCTAAATTAAATGTAATTTGGAATGCAGTTCCAAGTATAATTATCCATTGAAAGGGATGGGTCATGTCAGAAAGTTAAAGAATGGTTGCTCTGGCAGCAAACTTCATATGATGCCTGGAAACAGGAGGAGGGTTCGGGCAGGAATGCCGTGGACACGGAAGAGATGCCCAGAGAGGGCTCCTGTGCCTTTAAATCTTAAGGGCTCCCAGGGGATTGGTAACAGTGGCCTTCAGCCAAAAAAGGTTAGCCACTCCTGCTTTTAAAGACACATAGGAGGGGGAAATCCAGCCTTCAACCAATGCAACAGTATAAGGGTGGAGGGGTGCTTTCGGTGACGCCTCCCTTTCCATGGGATTTTTACAATTTAGGGTCTGGAGGTAGAAGCCCTGATATGATCAGTGAGAGGGGAAATGAAACAAATCCATTCCTAGGAGAGATGAAAACCAAATCCTCTACGAAGGAGGGAAAGATGGAACAAGCCCTGGACCACGTTGAGCCAGGTTCTCTCTAGGGAGACTCTCTCTCACTGCAGAATGTGAGCAGCTGAGCTGTAGCTGGTGGCCCTGAGTCTTTGTGCCTCGCCCACTCTGTTAGTGGCACCTCCACCCCTTGAGCGACACGAGGGGCACCAGGGCAGAAGGATGCTGGCAAGGTGAGAGGAAAAGATCTGGCTCTGCTGAGGTCTCCCTTCACCTCTCTTTCTGTTTCTGGGTTACTGGCAGCCCCTACAGGATGGTGCACAATGGTAATCCTAATTCTTTTGTTTCGCATTTATTTATACATCCATTTAAATGTTTCTCGACTTTCTTTCCTTTTTTAAAATAAAAAACGGCTAACAATAAAATGACAATATGGTTGCCATATTTCAGAAAGTATTAACCAGGACACTGTGAACGTTGTTGACCTTTTTTTAAGACGTCAATTCCACCTTTGAAATCCTGGCAATGTCCAGGAAAATCAAGACACGTGGCAGCCCTAAATAATCAAAACAACCATTGCATCAACAACATAGTGAGCATAGTGGTGCAAGTGGAAAATGTAGACCAGTCAGTGTCTGAAAATGCAATGTCTTGACTTGGCAGAGAAATTAAACTGGAGATAAGGCCATGACTGAAAAGGCCCTGCTCCTTCTGTGCATCTACTGCGCCTGAATCGATGGTGGAAGCTGGAGCAGGCTCTCTTCTGTTGCTCAGAGTGCATGGAGTGGAGGGTGGGCCTTAGGGAAGAAGCAGTCCTTCAGATACATAATTCCCAAGCTATTTAGGGTTTCAAAGGTAAGAACTGGCACCTTTAATTGAGCCCAGAAACAGATGGGCAGTCAATGATGATCAAAGATACTCAGAGTAATACGCTCCATCTAGCCAACACCAGAAAATCTATCAGTGGCATTGTGCACCAGTTGAAGTTTCCAGACACTTCTCAAGCGCAACACTAGGGAGAATATTTTACAGTATTCCAGGCTAGAGGTTACTTAAACTTAGATGGATATAGGCAGGTCTGTTTTCTCCAGAATATAATACAGCTAGCTGAAGCTGATCAACCAAAAGCAGTGTCAGATCCAAGAGTACCTAAGCTACAAACCTGCATCTTCAGGGACAGTGCAGGCTATAGACCTATCCCTGGACCAACTTGTAACAAGAGTGTTTCTATCTTAACTGGATTAAGTTTCACTTTGATCACCCATATCCAGTCCCTCACTGTTCCAAGTTTCTACCACTTCCCTATAATCTTATAAATATGAGGTACAGTTGACTATCACTAACATGCTGACATAAGTGCCAGATCCAGAAGGGCCCTGGGTGTTCTAGACCCCACAAAATTCCTGCTGAGGGAGCTGGGCACCCACAAATTATGGCGGCAGATGCCCAGGGCACACGTGTCTGACATGAGCACGCCTGGTGGCATGGGGTAGGTGGGTGGGTGCTGACGTCACTCCTGCACACCGCCGGGTGTGCTGACATCACCACACTTGTCCCCACGGGGTGTGGCCCTGGGCACCCAGGTCATGAGGGCAAGCTGGCGTTGCTGCTTGCTGATCAGTCCAAATATCTGAATAATTTCACTCAGTGGTTTTGTCTGGATGATTTGAAAAAAGGCTGAGCGGAGTCACACTCACTCTCTCTGTCTCCTGATGCAATTGTCCCCAAGGCTAATGTTGACCCACAACTGGGCCAGAAACCACGGAAATAGATCTAGATGGAAAGGTCCAAGGTAATTTTTCCACAGAGTGTGTACTGCTGCTGGTTTCAGTACAGTTGAAGGTATTGCTGTCCATGTAGACAGGCCCAACCAGGTTATCTTAATTTATTAATTTGGAGGCACAAGGGTCAAGCACACACATGATCAGCCTCATCTCTGAATGAATCCTGTTCACATACTCAACTAGTATCCAGCTAAAGTGCAGATTGGCACCTGACCTATCCTGAAAACATAAAACACCATCTTAGGTGGATTGCTTGGCCACAACTCAGGGGTCTGCTAGCAAATTAATTTTCCCAGTCTTGCAGATATTACTTACATTAAAATTTCCTTCCTAACACAATCCTTTTGCCATTCCATTGTATTTGACATGCTGCTGACAGGATAGGAACATTAAAAATAAAGGTTGAAATTGTATTTTACAGAGACAATGGAGATGCCTTCCTACTGCATTTCTCAGATGCCTTCAAATTACACATTCATTGTATGAGCACATAATGAGACCAGATTAAATCATAGGCAAAATTTGTGTGCCTATATAAAGAGGAGTCTGGTGGAGTTCCAGCTACAACAGAA